AACCGCCATGCGAACCACTTCGCTACGGAGGTCGTCAAACTGACATGCTATTAACTGAATATTTTGGGAATTGACCACAGATTAGATTTTTTCGGGCAGGCAAAGATTGTAGCCTATTCAGCCAGACTATACTGTTGTTTTCAGAGTAAATGAGATAATAAATATAATATTTATAGATAATATTAAAGATTTATTGTCAATCCCTTCCTTTTGTGACAATCTTGAGATTGATCAGGGTGGGAAACCGATCCAAGATATTGAAGCTTGATAAGAAAATGATCAATATCGAATAAATGAGGAAGTATTGAAAAAAAACCGTTAGTTCCCGGAATCAAACTAGATGTCGCTAAGGTACTTTCATGATTTCTCCTTGTTCCGGTGTTCTTTCATGTATAAAATTAGTTTTCAAAACAACTCATATTCTATTTGTACTTTATCGTATTTGTATTGATATCTAAATTACGAAATTTGCAAACTTCTGTCTTAATATGTTAGTTAAAAGGAACGGAAGTGACTATCTTTGGTTCATTCGTTTCCTGCAAAATCAACTTTTGCTAGTGTCGCCATTTAGTGAGATGCTTTTTAGTGCTTTCTTTTTTTCATAAAATACTTTCTCATTCAAATCAAAATCGATTCTCAATTCTTCTTGGTCTGTGAAACAACGTAATGTCATCTGTCATTTATGTTAATACGTTGTACTCCGTTTGGAATACTCTTAGAGTAAGTACTTAGTGGAGGGCTATTAGGCGTGCCACCGTAAGGGACAACAAATAAATCAACAGTGTTACCAGGTAGTTAAATGTTCCTCGATTATGGGGAGATATTTTGTTATTAGCAAAGGAGCAATAATTTGGTCAGCAAAATTTGTAGAACTGTTCAGAAACTATCAACTTTTCTGCGATTTCACCAAATTATAGCTGTAGTCAACCACGTATGATGTAACTTCCCATGGATGAAAGAATTAGTAATAGAGGAACATTTTTTATTGTAGAAATATTGATACACTATCTATCATCTTAAACTAACTAGCACATTGAATCAATGGGCTTGGTTACTGAAGTTTTCTAAATCCTAATTTTATTAAGTTTGACTAAATTAGAATAATTATGCTCAAAAAAGTCTAATTTAGACAAACAAAACTATTTTGAAAATGTAATTCAACCAAAATTTAAAAAAAAATGTATATAGACAATAAAGAAAACCGTTTAAAGGAGAATAACGTACCTATTTAATCATAAAATTATGTTTAGAACGGCAAATAAGAAACATTGTGATGATGTTGGGCTATCGTCAGTCCAGCAGCGCCACTGTATGTTTACTCAATAGCTGTTAGAAAGACCATTTTTTTAAAACCTTAGGTCATTTTAGAATGAAATAAAACGTTGAAACTATTGGCACATGTTGATATTTCGTAGATCTTAGTAACCACAAAGTATTTTATCATTCTGACTAATCAAATCGAATATTTTAGTCTCATATTTAGTGACGAAATACTAATAAATAGATATCCAGAATCTTAATAATTAGTGATCGAAAACAAATATGTAAGCCTATTTTGACTTTGATCAGTAATTACTCAGATTCTGGATTTCATTACTTCAAGACAGTATTAGCAGAGCACGTATTAGTGTTTTCAAAGTATGGGCGTTTGTACACCACTGCCGTCGTATCCGTTATCCTGGTCGATTTCATAAAGAAACTTGACGATTATCGTTAGTCCACCACGATACTTCGCTCGAATTCTAGTATCAGATTTCTTATCTCAAACTAGAATATCTATAAAACTAGCTATTTTCACGCGACTTCGCTCGTGTTAACTGTAGCCTATGTCAACTGCGTATGTGAAAGAGTTTTTAAAATTGGTTCAGTAATCTTAATAAAAATGCTTAAATAACCACTTTGTCCCTGGTAGTTTGAGATTGATCAAATATAATAATCGGTCCAGTGGTTTCGGAGCCTATTCGATGTAAAAAATAAACAATAAAACCTTTAATTTTTATAATATTAAGTATAGATAAATAAACATTCAACAACATCACATACATGGCTCATATTGTAAGATGTGTATTTTGGAGTACTAAACCCCGTATTTTAGACTATCTGTGACAACAAAGGTACCTAAATACCCAGAACTCCCAGACTCCAGACAATAAAAGAAAGTTAATTTTCAAAATTTTTGGTTTTTTAATAATAAAAATTAGTGTAAATCATTACACCTGCAGACCTATTTTAATCTATTCTGCCGATGTACGCTGTTGAGTGTGTGAGATTTATTAAGAGCTATGACTTAATAGAAAAATCAATTAATAATTATAATAAAAATAATTATAAATTACTAAACCAATATTAAATAAAGTTACAGGTTGGGTGAAATCAAAGAGGGTACTAAAATAAAAAGCATTTTACTTCGTTTCCACAAAAATTTTACAAATAATTAGATATATCACATGTATTAATCACATATTGAAATTAGAAATTATGCTACTTATAAGTTAAAATAAACTTACTCGATTACAAAAAATAAATAAATTGTCTACTTAACTGCAGCAAGTACACAAGAGGGTGACACAAAAAAAGGGGCCGTGACAAGAGCTGTATTGGTCTTTTATAGCTATCCATCTCCCGTTCCGACATCCATTCCATTACCGCCATTTTATCAAAACAAAATTCAAATGTCGATTTAATTAATCTAAATAAGTATTCGCTTAATAGTATTAATACTATATAATGTTATATATATTTAAAAGCCTTTAAACAAAATTTAAATACTAAATACATACTATTATAAATTAAAATTGGCTTTTAATTGGTTATCCAATCACAAATTAGAGCACAATTTACTTTGTTACAGTGAATTCTAATCACACAAAACATTTTTAAAAATATGAAAATGAATATTAATATACAATAAAATGATACATAAATATTATATTTTAATACAAAATAAATAAAAAAAAATATTTAGCTTACAATACCATAGAATTAATAAGTACTACGTACAACTAGAATGCTCACTGTGCGTCTAAACATGCGCCGAGTGAGAGGTTATAAATCTTGGTTTGTCCCTTTCTAATTAGTGTAACCATTCTTACCTGAATACATTGGACATTAAAAGAAAATATTGATTATTGTAATTGAATAATATTAATATGAAGCAGAAAAAAATCTTATTTAATCTCAACTCAACAATAATAAATTTTGAAACTATGGAAATCAGCAATTTCATAGGCAGCCCTCCCCCCTTCCCCCCCACTGGGGGAAGACCTAATAATAAAACGCAATCAAAATAGTATATTTTATTATGACTGTATTGTTTACATTTTAAAATTAAACATTACTTAACAAAATTGTTTTGTGCAATTTATGGCGTAAAGTAGCGCGAGATGTGCCAATGGCCTTGAATGTGAGACCTTTGCCATAAGTTGATATTCTTATTATGAGAATCTCATGCCTTTGTAAGATTTATTTTTGTTCAATTGCTGATGAATATTTGGGAAACAGTTTGTTATGACAGATTGTACCTTTTCATAATTTTTACAATTTTCTTTTAAAACTGCTAAAAGTGACTTTAAATTATTAATCTTCATCTTCATGTCTCTTCTTTTGATTTTTGCCTAGTATTAATATCAAGTTTTAACTTCTTACATGAAGGACTCTAGTCAGGCGTATAACTAAAGGCGTTTTACACATTATTTTTTTTGTTATCAGGAAAAATCTGTAATGAAATTAGGTAGGTACATAAAAATAAGTTATAATATGAATTGTTGTTTTAACTTATTATTTTCGATATAATGTTGTTTATAAATGAGTGCTTTAATGATAGGTAGGTACCTTTGGCAAGATTGAAGGAATCACTTCTGATTTCAGCCTTTTTCGAGCCTCTGTTCGGTAATCTTTGGTTTTGAAATGAAGTGTACAAACCACACAGCTTTCATGTAAGTTCCCAGGTATCAACCATTTTTTCTTTAACTCTAAATCCGATGGCAAACTGGAAATTTAAATTAAAATGTATATTTTTTATTAAAGTAATATTTTGGTTTGGTTTGGTGTGTAAATAGATATTTGCAAAAGATCGATCAAACGATAAGCCTACTGACCAATAAAATTATTAAAGGATACCCATTTATGAGCCTCCACATGCTTGTTTAATGTAGGTAGACTTGCAAATAGTGAATAACCAAAGTGTTAAGTGATACAACAAGTTTAAATTTAGTACTTAATTAGGCAATAATAGGGTCTATGCTTATAGTACGTACGTACTTTACATCTCTATACGTAAAGTATAGTCACCCTAGTTTCTACTGATGACATACTTACCTGTGAAAAGATAATCCACAGCCAGGTACGATTCTTTCCCATACCCACTCACAGCACATATGTTGTTTACCATTTTTCAATCCAATATACTATTTAAAGCACTTTTTTAATTCAGAGAGCATTAAAAACAAGTCCATATGACAAAAAAGAAAACGCCATGTTGCTTTTGTGGTGCCACGTGAATACTTCAATTTATCTAGTGTTGCATAACGTAAAGGTAATAAAACATGCCTACAATATTGAAATGTCGTGAAATATAAAAACTTTGATTTATCTGGACCTAAAAGCTATTGTATTTATATTATTAGTAAACTTATAAACAAGCCAAATATAATATTCATATAGAAAACCTTTTGTTCTGTGTAAACAGTTTTCACGAATTTACCACCTTTATATCAACAATATTTCACATGGCAATTGTGCGACAGAGACACACCAAGAAAAAAGATGTCTCACTTGAGCTCATTTCTCTATGTAGATAATGGTTATTTAAAAAACACTTTATTCACATATCATTAAGGTTCATTTTGATATGTCAAAAAGATCACAGTTAGCATTCCAGTTGTACGTAGTACTTATTAATTCTATGGGCTACGCCAAGAAGAAGAATAAATACTATGCTTTCTCTGTCTACCACGTTTCCATTCTATGTTTGACGTATATGATCGGTCTCTATGGTCTGTGGTCTGTCAAATCAGTGGTCTGTTATGTTTGTTTTGTTTGAGTGAGGCTAGGTTTTATTTAAAACTTTCGTATCAGAGCTTGCGATGTGTTTAAGAAGGCATAAAAGACAAATCAGTATCTAATAGAACCCTTGAATATATAAAATACAAACTTTTTTACGTAAATTGTATTTGTGAACTTGTATCTGTTAATAACCTAGGTAGAAAACAATGGTAAGTGATGAAATTCATCTCCTTTTGATCAATTTATTAGACCACTATGTAGTCTTTATTATATACCAATTTTCGCTTCTACCTGATAAATTCATGTCATGTCAATTTTTCATGTCATAACAAATTCTGAATTTGTAAAGTTATTTTTTTGGATACTTAGAAGTAATATTCTTGTACAAAGCATCTTTTTCATTAGATAATCATTACATATGATTTAAAAAATTTCAGGCCCGTAATGCAGAGAAGGCTATGTAAGTATCTTTCATTTTTTAACAACATCATAATCAACCAAAGTAATTAAACTGTCAGTTCTGTATGTGTTGGTCAAATGAAAAGCATTTCAGTTTATATCATAACAGGTTTGCTTTGCCAATGACTATGAATAACTCGGCAACCGGCATATTAATCAACTATTGAAAATATTTTGTTATTTCTTATATTTTGATAGAAAGTGATTTCATAGTCTAAAAAGTCACTTTTCAATTGACTCCTCAGTATGAAATAAAAGGGGTAGGACAAAGGCAGCAAACTTGCTGAGTTTCTTGCTGGTTCTTCTCAGTACAATGTCACCTGCCATATATTTACAAACTGATGGTGTAGCTTACAGCATTTATAAGTGCTTTTAGCTTGAATAAATGATATTGAATTTGTGGAACAATTATAGTCTCTGATGATGATTCAATAAAAGGATAGTCATCCAATTGAGCAAAAGTTTTAACGAGTCAACTGCAACATGTACTATTTGCAAGTACATGTTGCAGTTGACTCGTTAAAACACTTAAAGTTTATTTCTATAAAAATTGCTTAGAATTAAACCCAAGCCCTAGGATATAGATACTGCTAAAATGCATTATTGATTGATTTGTTAGGACAACACTAGCCCGATGGCGTGCAGCACAAGTCCAAGAGGCTGGCGGACAGCGGGAACGAAGGCCATACCTAGCTTCAGAGTGCAATGACTTACCACAAGCTGAGAAATGGCGTTTGCAAATAGTTCGCGAAATTGCAAAAAAAGTTGCGCAAATACAAAACGGTAAGCATATAAATAGGATAATATTTAGGCCATTTTGTTAGTAGGAGTTATAGTGGCTTGTACGCCGGTTTTGTAAGTTGTCGCCATCACTGAGGTCGCGGATTTGATACCTGTTTGGGTTAATGTAGAAAATGGATGTTTTTATGTAGTCTTAGGCTTCTATATTGTAGTACCATGGGTATCTCAGATACTCCATATTATGAAAGTTTGAACTATTTATATTGGAATCTAAGAAATGTTTGTTTAGTAGGTAGGTGGGTTAAAACAAAACCCTTGAGTTGAAGAAACCTGAAAAAATTAAATTACCACCACTACCTCAGTCTCAGAGATGGCACTGGTGTTCAAGTTATTCCGGCATGGTGGTCCTCCCTTAGTAAATAAATACATTTATAATAGGTAGTTCTCGATTATTCACAGACTAAGAATGTACAGGCAAGTAATTTCATTGCTTTTTAGGGGAAAATTCATTTCAGTTGTACATAGGTTTTATTAATAGTAAAAAGGCACATCTTTACTACTTTGTGTTAAAAAATGAATTATTTAGTATTTTGTTTTATGATAATCCATTAGGCTATGGCAATAATAACAATCATGACATTATCATGATTATCTCTTATTATGTCTGAAAATTTTCGTTGTAATTAAATGTAGATCATGGAAGAAACCGAAATAGTGAAAATACCATCTGCACAAAACACACCCAAGGAGCCTAGCTTGAGATCACAGAATGTTTCCGTAAATAAAGAATCTATTTCACCGGTGCGGTTATCATTGACAAGTCCATCGAATGCTTCGCCTTCAAGGTACTCACAGCCGTTTCTGGATCTATCGCCACCAGCTCCATCACAGCATTCTTCAGCGGCATCACCTATATTGTATCAACCTCAACCATCACCGATAATTACAAACAACAGTATCACCTCTAGACAAACATCTTTAAGAAGTAACAGAAGCAGTAAATTGCCAGCACCAAAGTTTTCACCCACTGAACAAGTTAAAAGGGAATCTGTGAAAAAAAGTCAATCCCCATCATTGAAATTATCGCCTATACAAAATAATACCGTGAACAACAGCTATAAATCTCCATCACCGAAATTTTCACCTACAAAAGCATTTGTTAATGCGACAAACAGCAGTTACAAGTCTCCTTCACCGAAATTTTCACCTACAAAGAACCATGACGATACGAGAAATAAGTCTCCATCATTGAAATCTTCGCCAATGCAAAACAATATGGAACAAATGACCAGAAGCGAGGAATCTCCGTCACCAAAATTTACTCTGTCAGAACAAAATGACGATGAATCATCAATTAATAAAGGCAACATCGAAAAAATAGCGAAAATGAGTAAACAACTCACTGAAGAGGCAAACGCTCTTCGGAACTCCATTAAAAATTTGAGTTCAGACATTGCCCAAACAAAACTTGAATTGTCCAAAAAAGAAACAAAAAATGAAGATGTTAATTTTCCTTACCATTTATTTTTAATCGAAATAGTCCTCAACAAAATCCACATGAAATGCGAGTGTTTTGATATAGATTTTAATAATTTGGTTATCTCCGCGACCTTTCTAGGAAAACCACCGATTATATTGTATGATCCATCGTTTGGAAAAGTTGAAAATGTCAGTAAACTTAATATCGGTAAATCTACTTTGTTCGCGATGACTTACGACAAAATTTGTTCTGTCAACGAATTTGTTATCGTTTTACAACTAACAAAACAGCCTCCTTGTTCTAACTGTATAACAAGAATAGGCGAAACTCACATGGACTACACTAAAGAGTTTATAGCTTTGCGTGAAGAACTTTGTGAAAAATGGTCAAAGCAAAAGCCGAAAGACGACATACAGTGTACAACAGCCATGCCATTATCTAAAAACTTATACTATCTATCATGTAGCGCTAACGATGATCATGAACCTATAGGTATTATAGAAGCAACGGTTCGTATGTCGTTTCTAGGCAAAGAAATAACTACAGCTTATTGTGCATCCTCGAAACCACAGCCTCCATCATTTCTTTTGAAACAAGATAACGGAATGACAATGTATTCATGTCAAAGAGTTGAAATGGACGATCAAGGAAAAATACTTTTAGATGAAGATGTCATGACAAAGAAAATACCTCGCGGTGTACACAATAGATATCAATCTACAAGATCTCAAAGTCCAATCTCCCAGATATCAAGTATATCACGATCTTTGGAAAAACCGACTATATATAGTGGTAAGATTAATGTACATTTGTAATTTTTCTTCTCTTGTACTTTACTTTCCTTTTTAATATATCATGTAAATCCTCTTTCACAAATGGAAAGATAAATCTGTTCTCTGCCGTCTTGTGGATAAACTCCAGACTGTGTTTTAGTATAAAATAATAAATTGTCTATTGTTTTAGATGGTATACCCAAATACGATGAAATATTTACAAAAATGAACGCAAACGAACTTAAAATCAGGGTACCGAAAAGTACGAAAGTAGAAAGAATGGGTAAATACGATAAAATTCAAGAGTTATGCTCATGCGAAAGTACGCCTTACAATACAGGAGAACAAATTCAATTTGAGTTACCGCAGGATAAAATCTATGGCGATAAAGGGCGTACTCATACCTCTAACTTTAAATATACTTACACAGGAGGTGAAATCTGTAAAAAGGACAATAAAGATAGGAGAATTGTTAACGTTACACCGACAAATTGTCCTGTTCCTGTCGATATGGAAAAAATGGTGCACCCTTTAAAAGATGTGTTTATATTGAAAATAGGAAAGAAATTGGAGACAAAAGATAAAAAGACAGACCTCGAAATAGAACTCGTAACACCCAAAGCTCCTTCAGAAAAACCGGTCGAAAACACTCACATCTCTCAGCAATGTGAAGGTAGCGATATAGATAGAAAGAAGAAACCAAAAACTTTAAAGAAAAGAAAGAAAGTTAAATCGAAGAAAAAAGGAAAACTTAAAAAAGAAAAAGGATCAGCAGAAGGAATGGGAAAAGCAAAGAACAAGAAATAGAAGAATATTCTTTAAATATTATACTTTTTTACGCAAACATTTCAAACCAAAGGTTCCAGATATGTTTATTCAATTTGCTTGTAACAACGTGATCATAGACGGCTCTGGTATTATTTTTTATTACCGTTATCTTTTCTCATCCTCTTTTACTTAGGTTGGTTTGAGAAGGTTTCTTATACACTTTGCTTTTTATTTCAAAACTAGACCGTAAAATAACTGAATTTTTTCTAGCTGGTCTTGGTGAGTTTCGAATACGAGATTTGAACGATGAAATCAATAAGCTTATGCGTGAGAAACGCCATTGGGAAGTACAAATAAAGTCGCTGGGTGGTCCAGATCATGCGCGCGTCGGCCCCAAAATGCTGGATCAAGACGGCAAAGAAGTTCCAGGGAATAGAGGATACAAATACTTTGGTGCAGCCAAAGATCTTCCAGGTAAGTTAGTAGCTAAAACATTTAAGTTAGTAGCTAAAACACTTGTATTATGGAAATCTTTACTTGATTTCAATTTAGCAAAAAAAAAACCTACCTATATTAGAAGTTGTTGAAATCGAATCAGTATCTGATTTTAAACAGACTACTTTCAAGATGTGCGTTAATTATCTTATACGTTGTATATGACATATATATATATATATATATATATATATATATGCTAGACTGCACTTAAAGCTTCTGTGGAAGTTTAAAAATGCGTGCGCTTTTAATGCGTCAAGATAAGCGAGAGAATGTTACTTATTTATACTTTACTACTAATAATTCAGTATGCTTTAAATATCTTTTAATTGTACCTATGGTCTAATTGTCTAATTTTCAAAACTATCATAATCGCTTTTGGAACGAATGATGGTTTGAATTATATAAATGTTATAGACAATTCATTTCGTTAGATATTTCTTAATAGCTTTCAAATATATTTGTAACTAGCACTTTGGTTATACAATTCAGATTAACGTCCAATAAACGTTGTCCTTATCCAATTTGCTATCACATGTCAAATAGATGTAGCATAACCTGACGGACAAACGGATCAATAATTAGTCATCATCTCTAATTTGAGTTTGACAGCCCTGACACTGGTGACACTAATACAGGGGTGGCTAACTTGTTTAGACTTTTCACGGACGACACCCAGTACGATCCGCCAATTACTTTACTTCTTAAAATCTTAAATAAAACCGCATAGCTCGTACACGATTATGTAGCATTTTGATATTATTTATATTTTTTGAATTGCCACGACCGACTGGACTAATAGTCGCGATCGGCTGGTTGGCTACTCATGCTATAATATAATGCCAACATTAGGTGTGCGCGAGTTATTCGAGCAGGAGCCGCCGCCGGCCGCTCGACGCACGCGCGCCGACCTGATGCGGGACGTGGACGCGGACTACTACGGGTACAGGGACGACGACGACGGACTGCTGCTACCGCTCGAGGCGCGCGCCGAGAAAGAAGGTGACACATTCACCGACACTGATTATAGGAAATATTACGAAAAGCTCTAGAAGGCAGCATATAATGTATTAGACACTTTTTTTTACATATTTGTAACAAAAATGTTGCAAATTATGTATAATAACTTTCTAAATATCCTAGTGAGGTAGTTTGGTTGGGTAAATAATTAGAGCGGAGTGGGGTTGATTTTTTATTATTATTTCTTTTAGTTTGTTTATACATTTTGGTTTATTTAAATAATGTACACATGGCTGCACATCACACTATACATTTTGGACTTTGTAACGCGCTTCGTATAGAACTTTGATGTGTAGAGCATTTTTTTTATGAGCTGTATTTTGCTTAGGGTGCCAAGTTTTAATGAGCTCGCGCTGTCCATATAATTTCGTATTCGTTCCAAATGCACCCAATTATATGTGGTTATATAATTTCAGCGATAGCAAGAGCCGTGGATGAATGGAAAAGAAACAAAGAACAAAACAAGGATCAAGATTTACCAGAAGAGGAAAATATATATCCAGAAGATGTAAGTGTATTTTATTTATCTAGGTTGATTTATACCATGTGGCTGCTTTGAGAAAACCATTGACATTTCTTGTTTAGTCTATACTAATATTATAAAAGGGAAAAGAAATGAGAAGATTTTTAAACCTATTTTAAAACTATTTACGGGAAAGTAGTTTCATAAAACGCCAAAGTGGAAAGATGTTAAAACCATGGAGGGTCACCTCGCAAACAAATCCATCGCGTGATTTTGGAATGTGATGTGCGCTGAGACGAGTAAAAACCGGAAAAGCAGAATGATGAAAAGAGTTATTAAGTTCGAGGAGGCTACACGCGTTTTTCGCTTCCTCCACGATCTTTTCGATTAATAATTACTTTGTTTAAATAATAGTTTCTATTACTTTCATGTAGTTGACTATTACACTAATAATTATTATTTTACCAATACCAATTTTGAAACTATCGATCGCTTTCTAACGAGGATTTATTTAAAACTAGGCAAGCTCATCCCACCGTAGATCTCATTAATGTTTTAGCCCTATATTGAAGTCAAGAGTAAGCCCATTATAATTAAACAAAAAAAAGTAAGACATTTTTGTTACACGTTTAAAATACACACTCGCCCCTTTTTAAAGATGTAACGTCACACTCTAATCAATATGACGTCCCGTCGCTCGGAAAAAAATCACGCGTGCGGCTTTTCTTTTTTAAACTACAGTATATGCTTAGCTTACAATGATCTACAGATTTATTCGCTAACTCTACTGATAACCTAAAGTCCTAACCACCGTAAAAAGTGAGCAACTCCAATATGTCAAAATCACTTCGAATTTTCTATCAATGGTTCGCAATTTCGAGAAGTCAATATCGGCGATTACCACTGAACTCCATTTTGACACTTGATCTTGTATCGATAAATTGTTATTTCGTGTTCCGTAAGCGTTAGGGATTACACACGATTTTATCTCAATTAAATATATAATATGAGATTTATTAAAAATGAGTTGCAGTGTACCAAATCCGTGCTATGACAGCTTGCCCACAGAGCTCTGTGATTTCGGTTGTCCTCAGAAGTTGCCAGAGTTACAGAATAAGCGTTCAGTCCAGCGCAGATTACCTAAAATTACCTAAAGTACATTTTTGCATACTACTCATTCTTATGGCTGGTATACACGTGTTTAAATATATCGGTAATAAGTAGATGTTTAACATAATTTTATGTGATTTTTTTACGTTTCACAAGACAAATAGTCCTAGTTTTTATCAAACTGCTATACTGACAATTAAAAAATTACAATCAGAATCGAAAAACCAGTTTGGGTGACGTTTAAATACATTTTGAAACGTGTTTAACTTCAAATTCTTACTTTAAATACACCTGGTGTAAGTACATGAACACACACAAATAAGCAATAAGTAGCAAGTCAAAATTTAGTGAACTGCTTATAAGCTTAATTAGATTTTTTTACTTATTACTTATTTGTGTGTTCACGTTCTTAATCACTTAAAATTAAGTCAAAAATCTACTTAGGTACTACTAAATACCGTGTGAACCAGCCATTATTCAATTATATTCACAGCCTGATGATAAGAGAGCGGATGACGAGGAAGGCCCGGTGAGTGCGGTGGCAGCGCACGTGGCGGTGCCCTCGCAGAAGGATGTAGAAGAAGCGCTGCTTCGTCGTAAGAAGCAAGAACTACTAGAACGATACGGTTGCCTTGACGTCAAGATCGAACAAAGTTGACACCACCAATAATGTTGAAACATATTATAACACTTATTACCATACATTGTTTTATTGCACATTACTTTTTAAATATTTGATTAATTTTTCAATACCACATCATCCCACGTCCCGATTTGGGAATCTGTGGCCATCAGGCTGGCGGCGCTAAATTTTGATTTTGTAATGAACTCTTGATACATCTGGTCTCTTATTTATTATCAGTCAGTTACGAAATACGACCAAATAACATAGTTAGATTCTTCAATTTCGGAGATGAACGTTAGTTTTGTGGCGCTGCTGGGCTGACGTCAGTCAGGCAGGGTCACAGCTTAAACTGTATATATAATAAGATTTTTAAAAAATCAGGTCACCATTTAATCGGCCATTTGTCAGTCTGGGCCATAACAGTGAAATTCTGTCAAAGTAAATACTTATCAGAGATAATTAAGGAAAAATGTGACGCTGCTAGCCTGATGCCAATAGCAGCGCCAAGCCATCGGTCAGTTGCACAAACGTCCGTTAAAGTTTAAAGACGACTAAGCTCCAGTTAATGTATAATTTCAAAAATTTGTATCGGTGATGTCGCTTTTAACTAATGACAATTTTAATAAAGTTTTTGCAACTGGGTATTATCTTCTAACCTGTAGCATTTTAGAAGCTCACTCTTCTAAAATATGTAATTTTAGCATGAATTCAACTGTTCCAATCTAATATTATAGTCCAGAGATAGGACCGCGTCTACCCACAGTCTACCATACCAACAATTTTTGTGTAGTAAATCATGTATAAAGTTATATTTCGAGTCGCTCGATCAAAATGTGTGCAAAGGTCACGTCGTCTGCTGTGAACTGATATTTTCACGAACACTTAAGTCGCCTGAATACACTGTATCCCATGACTGTACTAGGTTACAACCAGTAAAGCTACTAGGTTAGGCCACAAAACGTTTCTCCAGTTCCTCAGGGCTGACCCTACTTTATCACTGAATTATAGAAACAGAATAAAACACAAAATTTATCGTAATCCTTTTAATTTCCATAACTTGGACATTTCTTTGAAGCAAAATATACATAATATTTATTATGGTGAAGATCTAAGTACGTCGATTTCAACTAGGAATAATCACTGGCCTGAATTTCATAACGTATCGTAAGTAATCATTAGGTTGTAGGCCATACTTGTTTACAACAAAATATAAACAAATTCTATAAAAAAAATGAGGTACTTACATAATTATAATTCTTAACCTAAATTGTTTATAGTTGCCTAACATATAAACTATATCATCCCGAACTATTATACAACATATAGGATGTATAGTGCCGAAAGAAACAGCTTTAATTCTATGAAATCCGACAAGGAATTGTAATAATGTACATAGTTATATTTAAAGATCGATTAATATATATTCACTAGTTCACCCGTTGAAACTTTCGGCACCATAATATACATGAAAATGTAAATAAAATAGGAATGTACAAAATTAAATATCTACTTAAATAAACGTGATGAAAAAAAAATAGATTACATTTTGTATTGCGAAACGATAAATAGATCATTTAATAATGACGGGAAATTGAACGGTAGGACATGCCTAAATGCCATTGCATGTAATAAACTAACGCATAAAATGCCAGAAGAAAAAGAAATTTACTTTGAAAATGCCCTGTTAAATGTCTCCGTCATTTATTTAAATGTTAACTTATTTGAATTAAAAAAAAAGAATTCAAAATAACATTATTATAAGATATTATTATTATTTTTTCGGGACTTTTATATTATTTTCGCTAAACAAATTTTATTATTGTATAAATATTTATACATAAACATAACTTTGAAGCTTAAAATACTGAAGTTGGAATCAAACACACTTAGTTCCAATTGAAACATAATTATTTTAAGAAGTCTTACGAATTATTATGACATCTATATTGATCTCTATCAAAACATTTTCGAACGTTTGTGAGATCTATCAGCATTTTTCATTGAAACTATGACACTCGAATATAGCAGAAATGAATCCAGTGCACTATTATCAAATTGGAATCTACATATACGATATACCCATTTATTCCGATTTACATATTTATATTTTTTCCGTATATAACTTAAGCTATAATGTAACTTTTCTTTACAATTTACTAAGAAGTACATCATACAAGAAATAATAATTTTATTGGATTCAATTCTGTTGTAAATTAAATCCATTTACTCGTATTTAAGGTTTGTTTATATTTACAGACATTAAGTGCGCCAAACACGAGCCGGCAAAGACAAAGTAAATTCTGCTATACACTGTCTATTATCGAAGTCGCACGACTGCATAAACACGCGCAGACTCCAACAGACAACCACACACGCCAACAGACACCCACAGACGCCAACAGACACCCACAGACGCCAACAGACACCCACAGACGCCAACAGACACCCACAGACGCCAACAGACACCCACAGACGCCAACAGACACCCACAGACGCCAACAGACACCCACAGACGCCAACAGACACCCACAGATGCTAACACACACGGACATGTGAGGTTTGTCTGCGCGGTTCATGTCTTTTGTCTATAGCTAAATGCGGGCAGTGTAAATAGAGAAAAACGATATCTGTCGCTGCGTGTGTCAGTACGTATCTGACGTGCTCATTATCTGTAGATATAAACGAATCTTTATAATACACACAGTCGGTACTGAAATCAATTTTGTACTTATTTATATTAATGATATAAGGACTGCAATTGCGCAGTAGTTCGATCAGCGATTCGGAGATTAAGCAACAAGGGTTAGGCATAAGATGGATAACGAAAAACTAATTATCACGAGCTCCTCCGTGCTTCGGAATACTTTCGGATGCACGTTAAGCCTCAAGTCCATGCTGCATTTGCATGGCCCATTATAATCTCTCACCTCTTGTGAATTGTGTTCAGTAGGCCTATCACTAACTCAACTGACAACTTAAAATTGTAATCACCGTAAAAAGTTAATTCCAATGTGTAAAAAATACTTATTCGTATTATTTCGATTGTCTTCAGAGTTACAGAATAAGGAGGCTGTTCCTATTTGATTCCATCAATAGGGAACCCCCCCCCCCTGGTGTCCAAATAACCTCAGGACTTTAAAGATTGGTGTGAAAATAGATTGGAGGAATTTGATCTTTTGTTGTAACCTAAAGTGCTATTGACTGTATAAATTATATTGTTATAATAACTTAGTTGATTTAATTTACTACATCACTACTTGTAAAAATAATAGATTGGCATATCTAAAAAACCTTCACTTTATAAAATGTGCATTTTAAACTTTATTGATACGGTCGAAATGCAACTTAAAATTTATTCTACTCTTATAATGTACAACATAATGTATCCATTTATACTGCACTATTGCCACGAAATAATTTACAACGACACAAACACAGAAGCATTCGGAAGATCATCTAGTTACCACATATTATTACATTTCCGTAAGTGATATTGAACCTAATGAGAAATGCATTAAGACCTAAAATAGTATGAAGAAAATTTAAAAGCTTTTTGTGCTTTCAAAAGAACACCAGAACTTTTGAATGCATCTATGCTATTTATTAAGTGCGAGTAAGTTTTTTCCATCTAATGCAACCTGTTGCTACAAGTATTATATGAAAGTGAGAAAGTTTAATTTGTTATTACATAACCTCAGAAATAATGTAATGAGATCTTTTTTAAAATAGATGCTCTGTATCGATTGTAATCGGATATTTATCGTCGATGTCGTTGTAATTTATTTAATGGAACTATTTACGAAGGGGTTTAAGCACATTTAAGTGAATTAACTCAAATGCACATGCGAAAGTACGAATAAACCGTTCAATTTCTTTTAATAAATGTGTAGTGTGCGTGGATGTTACAAATAATTTTGATATAAAATATATTTGAAACAGTTCCGCTATAATAATTATAGTTTTATTGCACCACTGATGTACTTATATGGTCTATATTTAAGACTACATATGTCAATTATACGATACAACACATCAACACCTCTATGACCAATCTCAAGCGTAACATTTTTTTGAAAGTTTTATAACTCAATATTATTCATTACGAATCATACTTGAATATTAAAGTTTAAGCTGATGTTTATACTAAGATACATGTTAATTTAATTATATGAGAAAACTTCCGATTAATACATATGTATAACAAACCCCAGTTGAGTCAATAAAATAAAAAAGAAGAATATTAATATGAGATAAAATTATATACGTTGCTCAGATCCTAAGGTAAGGTAACAACAAAAACATTACAAACCGAGACTGTATAGAAATTCATTTTCTATATTGACCCATCTGAGGTTCTACCGCAAACTCCGATTGATGTATCAAAATGAAAATGAAGCTCTGAATTATCTGTCTAGTTGACTGATGACAATTGTCAGCAAATCAATCAGGATTGATCAATCAATCAATCAGGATTGAATTGCCCGATCAATCCTGATTGATTCAGGGACCTCAGATATGGCGACATCTTGAAACAAACCCGAGAGCCACTCCGCCACGGAGATAACATCCGAAATATTAGATACTTATCAACAGTTTTAATCGGATACATGTTTTGGGGTGTTATGCGAAACTTACCTTATCTTTGTATTGCACAGGGTTGTAAATTGTTCGTGTACAGCTCAAACTTTAAGGAGTATCAAATTAGGAGTGTAAACATATAACACGGAATAATCAATGAACTGGTACATACATTTATCATGCAAACGGCGACGCGGCGGATAACTTCTTAATTTATCCGCATAACAAAAAGGCCGTCAGCAAAATTATCTAATATTTATATTTCACAGTTTACTAAGTGAAAACGCAACTTGTTTTATTGAAACAAGTTTTGTTGTTTAGCGTCGTTCTCAAAGTCGCTCCAGGCGTTGTTCAGTTCCATAAATATCATTTTTGCTAAGTTCTCGTTCGGTGTTCCCATTTGCTGAAATAAAAGATCAATACAGTTTGTTGTGTTAATATAGTAATAACAAGTGCCAATATAGATTAAATGAAGAAACACTTTTGCAATTTAGCAGCTGCCTACAATCTACCGTTGACTAAAAAAGTTAATGGCACAGAAATTTACTCTTGTTGCATTCATCATAAGGTGTAAAATATAACGTCCTTTCCTTCGGAATTTAGCATACTGCGCAGGTACATCGGTGAACCATATTACTTGTGCCTTTATATCTCATTAGGTAGATAAAAATATTGCATTAAAATAAAATAGCTTATAATTTTTAAATAACTTAAAATACGCCATTGCTGCCAAAGCAGAAAGACATCCTATGATCTAGTGTACTATCTCCATATATATAACGATCTCCAGGGACCTAATTTACATGTGACTTGATTTTTTAGATATACTTATATAATGAGGAAGTAATTTGAAAAAACGAAAGCATAAAAAAGCACCTCCCCTAGATGGCGACTCTAGCAAAAGTTGATTCTTGCAGGAAACGAATGGACCAAAGACACGTCATTTCCGTTCCTTTTAACTAACATAATAAAAAACTGAAATTCGAAAAGTTCGAAACTTAGATATCAATTACGAAAAAGTACAAATAGAATATGTGTTGTTTATCGAGTCTGAAAACTAATTTACTTTTAAACTTGACAGAAAACCGGAAAGGAGAATGGAGAAATCAAGAACGTACCGTAGCGACATCTAGTTTGATTCCGGGAACTAATTTATTTTTTAAATACTTCCTCATTTAATTATTCAAACTAAAATAATAATGTATGTTATGTAGGCCGTGTATATGCGTATATGTAATAGTTAAATGTGTATACCGTGGTGATTATAACGTACCTTGTCTGGATGGCACGCGAGACAAGCCTTGCGGTAGTTCCGTTTCACATCAGCCGGTGTGACCAGTTGCGACATGTCACATCGTGTCCAACGGCACTCGTCCCACACCACAGTGTGTAGGGAACATAACAACGCGCGAATGTTCGCCTTCTTGCCCTCCGTCTGACGTATCAACCAGACATGTTATGAATCATTTTACTACGCAAATGGTTTTTTTTTTTATATTAGCAATACAATACACCTATGATAAAAGTTACATAAATTACTTCGATCATTGACCGAAGATAAATTAGGACTTATTGTACTTATTGTGAACTCAATATCGTTGGTTTCGTTTAAATACACATATTCTAGTGCAAACTAAAGATGCAAATCTTAATCTAAATGACATTAAAACTATATATATAGAACCAAATCATATTGACAAAAACTATTCTATTATATACAAGTACAGTGAAACAGAGATTCGTCCCTATTTATATATGTAGTGTAAATTTAGAAATTATAATTGTTAAGTCTCTCTTTGATTGAGTGCATGTTTGTGTGTGCATATATGATCTCGGGTATAGGCGTGTGTGTGTGTGAGTGTGTGTGTGAATGCGAGACTGTCGTAGTTAATGGAAAAAAAAATGATGGAGAGTTTATATAACATCTAGGTATAACATAGCCACTGCAATGTTACAACGGAGCAGCGAAACATTATTTTTTTTGGATAACATATTAGGATGAGTTAATATGTCGATAAACGACTTCAGAATTTTTGTGTGCCCTTATTGTAAGTAATAATACAGTTAAGATGTTATTCGTCGGAAGTATCATAATAATATAAAATCGATTGAATAACAAAAGTTAAGTCTGGAGAAATTTGGAGTTCGATGGGACAATAATTCGCGATATTAGATCTTCAATTGTTGATAATATGTAACTTACACAATAACCGGTCATCGAATGGGTAGCTATAATTTACTATATCAAGCTCCTCTATGTTTCAGAAGAAACGTCTCAGCTGCAACTGCAGTCGTTAATACCCACCAATCCATACTGGGCCCGCGTGATGGATGACCCGTTCTGTGTAATTTTATTCATAGGGTATTTTAGGCAGATGAAGAGATTAGATTACCCATTCATGTATCTTCAGTTTCTCCGGGTCCATGTCTCTCGCCATCTCTTCCTTACGCATGGCATTCAATGTCTTGATGCCGGTGTCTCGTTTGGATGCGAAGTCGTAACCCTGGCTGCCTAACAAGTCGCCAAATACGTCTGTCGACTTTTTCGGCTTTTCTTCGGCCGGCGTTTTTGCTGGCTCGAAGTGAGCGCGACTAAAGCCACAGTAAAGGCATAATCAATATATGCGAAAATAAATGTACTATTCGCACGAATTGACATGAACTGAAGGTCTATTCTATTCTCCAAACAACCGCATTTTTTGATAATTTATGATGCAACGGAAGCAAGACCTGCCTTTGATGCATAGGTAATCTTCATGAATAAGATTTAAACTAATACGAACGATTCGAAATTTTCCGAATTTTTGTTCGATGACAAATAGAATAGGCCCTCGACCCTGTGATTCCATTAAAATCCTAAATCTGATACACTCAGGTATCCGAATTGACTTCAAAAGCGAAATCCGCTTGATCTTGAATTGGTATTAACGTTTCGTGGCATAAATGAAGTGAGTTTCGAAATAACATAAGGATAGAATATCTGAGACACGTATAATCAATCAATCTTGTTTTGTATTTTTATATAAAAAATGGAATCAATACAATTTCTACAATAAATGAATTGAATTCAGACACATGAGTGAATTCAAAGGGTTGGGATTTTCACGGAATCCCTCTGCAGGTTTCATTTTAATTCGTATGAGTTATATAGGTTTTAAAATACAAAATCACCAATTTGAATCTGGGGTTATTTTTTTTTAATATACTTTATAGGTTAACGCTTGACTACGATCCCACCTGATGGTAAGTGGTGATGAAGCCTTGGGTGGTATAGCGCATTAACCTAGTAACAGCCTATTCACTCTTGATTTGAAGACATTCACATTATAATCGGACGGAAATACAAACGCTGGCAATTTATTCTAGTGTTTGGGGGTAAGTATTATGAACATTGAAAACTTCTAAATACATTACCTACAAGCATTCATGTTATTCAACTACCGAGGGGGTTTTCTTTAAAAATAAATATGTCCCGTTTTGATCCAAAGAAAAACATATCACATTATATGCTATATGATAAAAAGATTTTATAAAAAATAGACTGCTGTTTACGACAAATCTAACAGATGCAGAAATTTTTCTGCCCCATTTTCATACGATGGCGGATCGTGTAACAAGTCACGTGATACATGGATGAAAAACTGGACTTTCAATTTTAACATAATAATCAGTATATCTGTTTCAATATACCTATCGAACTACCCTAAGTGAACTTACTTGTAATCAGGTTGGTGTGCGGGCGATCTAGCCGGGGTATGGGTTTGATGGGCAGGAGTGTGTGCTGGCGATGCGCGGGGAGTCACTAACGGGGTCGTTCCTAACGACCCGGGGGGTATCGACCCCACAGGCACAGAACTCGGAGGCGGCATCGACCCCACGGGTACAGACCCCTGGGCTTGGGGTGCGTTAGACCCAGACGCGGGTATGTTAGCCCCGAGCAAACCGAGGTCGTCGAATGGATCTTTTCTCGTTGGTTGCGCTTGCTCCAAAGGAACGCTTTGTGGTCGTCCTAATGAAGCAAGTGTTTTTTTTTAATTATTTAGATACTAGTCTATTTTCAGATACATTTGATAAGTTAATAATGATTTCCTGAGATAATTAGTGTTTCATAAGTAAAGAACCGGGATCATACTCAACAAGAGGATAGATTCACTAATTGACAGATTAACGGATTTCATTATTTCACTAGATTTTCTATCATGTACAGTGCCCGGTATGAAAGAAAAATTAAAGATGCGAGAATTTCGTGTATGTTATTAATACCTATATTAACAGTTTGAAATTAATATAAGATTCTTGTATTATATTAATCGAATTTCAGATTAGCATTATCACTTATTGCTTTAAGGCAATTTTATTTGGCGTGTTATCCACCCGAATTATAATCTTAGAGAGCCGCAATCGCTCCACTCATGCACGTTGGGCTAATGGCGATGACTGATGTCACGCATTACGTCACCCGCCGATCTATTTTCTGCACAGCGTATACTTTCATACCTGGTACTGTAAAAGTAATGTATAACTTCATTGTAAACTCACCATCGTCTTTGATAAGCTGCGGTGTGAGTACAGTATCTTGTTTGGGTAGTGGATCGTTCAGACCGAACGGATCGAAATTGAAATCGCTGGACCCGACCACTGGTTTATCAGAAGGCTCCGTCGGAGGCGGCGCTAGTTCTCCAAATATTGATTCAGAAGAGAACGGCTGCTGCGATTTCATTGAGTATACACAGTTAAGTTTAAGTCACAGTTACGGAGGTAATAGATGGCGCTGATATCAATGAATATATATATTTAGATGTACGTTTCTCATTTATAGCTTAATAATACTATCCTGCCAATTATGAATGTGGTTCAATTTATCTTTCAAAATACCTTTATTTGTATGATTTGTAAATGGTACCGTCATACTAAATATTATAATAATAATAACTTTTTATTGTTATATAAATATACATCAAGACAAAGTGAAGTCTCTGATCTCTGTGCTAGGTATAACCTGAGTGTCAGAAGTCAGCGCCCACTACCATATTACTAGTAACTAATAATTAATATTAACGATAAGATACAATTATATTACTTTTCAATGCAGTTGCTCATAAAGCCCTATTTTTTTAATCCATTGTAAACACCGAAAGTGAGTCTTTAAACACGTGTTAAATAAAAATGTACTGAAATCCTTTACTGAACACGTGCTTAAAAGTATTTTTTAAATTTTTTTTTTAGCAGAGCACCAAAGAAATTTAAAGAAAATTGATGAAAATATGTCAAACTTTAGAGGCAAAAGTATTTCAAAGAGCCTAGAACGAATATTTTCAAATAAAAATGTATGACACGAAAACATGTTCAAATATCACGTTTAATTTTAACAAATAATTTTTACCTTTAATACAATACAAAAATACAATAACCTATATATTTGTTTTATTTCCTCTCAAAAAGCATTGAAAAATGTTGTAAGAAACTTGAGCGTAAAAGGTTTTTCGAATTCGTGCCAATGATCAATTTGACCCTTATTCGTAAAACCTTACTTTCCGCACTCGTATCTTAAATAACTATTATCACATATTATTTATCACTTCAATATGAAATGGCTTGATGGTACTAACGACTTGTATTTTTAATGTAAATAAATATAAATTAATTTGTAATCAATAATAGTATACTTAATATTCACACTATATCTTTAGCGGAATTTTGTAACAGGGGATATACATCATATACTATGAAAATTGTCACAAGTTAACGTATTTACCTGTGCATCATTAGCGCTTTTTCCGCTTAAAAAGTCGCCAAATTCTTCAGTCTTTTTCTCCATCATGCCGAAGAAATCGAAAGAGTCTTCGCTCTTGAGTTTCTTTCCTTCGACTTTGTCTGCGTTTTCCTTCTGGTTGGCCAGATTGAGGAAGTCCGCTGTAGGGGCCGGGGCTTCCGGTCTAGGGGGCGGAGGCCGACTGGGCGGCTGTTTTTCCACTTCTTGAGGGACGTGGTTGTCTACCGTCACTGATAATTGACAATAAACAACTTTTATTACAATATCTATGGAATAATGAAATGTATCCGTATTGATATAAGCTTTATTTTTATTATTTATTTATTGAACTTCATTGACCAATAAAAGCATCGCAGAAAAGGCGGACTTAATGCTAATAGCATTCTCTTCCAGTCAACATTTCATAATTTAGACGTTATTCTTCCCACCATTGCTGTTATTATTATTTTTTTAAATAAAAAGCTAAGAGTCAGTATATCTGTCAGTCTATTAAAGTGTCTTAAGGAATTTACATTATTTAAAAAGTGTGTTTATCAATGCACAACAACTAACCTATTAAAAAATTGTTTATATAAATTATTCTTTAAAATTTATAGAATTATAATCTATGGTTCAAAAGGTAGTCTTAGATGTATGAACATCATCTATGAAATCAATTAACTTTTGGGAAAAATGATAATTGTAACAATATGGTATAGCAACAATCCTATAGCATGTTAAAAAAACCAATCAGCATTCACTGCACATTGTTGTGGTAGACCATAATAATAACCTGATGTTAATATCTAATACTAATTAATAGCAGAACACTCACGTTAACTCCAAGTTTTAGGCCTCAAATTAAACAAAATTTTGTGCTATTAAATTTTAAACAATTATACACAGATAAACATTCAACTAATGCACATAGTTGAAGTTAATATTAACTAAAAATTAAACAACGTGGAAACTAATGGTTTTATACTTTAAAATGTAACAAGTGTTCTCTCTCGCTCCTCTTCACTTGACATTTATAACCATTCACACTTGTCAAATGTAACCACATACACTTGTCACATTTATCCATATTTGTCACAGTTTTCTACTTTGCAATTTAAGAAGCGTGAATGCACATTTAATTGTCATCGATTTAGTGTATTTTCTAAAATGTTGCTGTTAGTTTCTACACTAAAGCTTAATGTCCCATCGGCCGCAATGGGTTCTGAAAGTCCTAGGTATTCATATACCTAGGACCTTCAGAACCCATTCGAGATATATGCGGACGCAATTATGACTAATTAATATATAAGGCTATAGAAAATCCGTTGCATGTCGTGTGTGAATTGTAGCCTGTGTAAGCCAGTGAACGTGCACTTTCTTATCTATAGAAAAAGAAAGAAAAAGCGTTTTAAATTCAAATTTGCTAATTGAATTAGTGCTAAGTAGTGATAGTGTAAATGAACGCATATAAAATACTATTAAATTAATGTATGCTCGCTTTTATGTTGATGAAGATGAAATAAAATATTTAATGTATAATTCATAGAAGACTACAACATACTTTGATATGCAGTGTCCCGTCCTCGTAAGTTAGCTGAATGAATAAATAAATATATACATAAATAATAGCGTAATAAATTTATAGATAGATAAATAACATATAAATATAATTAACGATAATTTTCACGCATATTTAATAAAACATCAACAATTTAAATATTAACTAAATATGATTTAAATATTACTGTATAACAACAACGGTATAGTCCAGTCAAAATTTTCCGTTACACAAAATTGATATAGAAGTTTTAATAAAACTTTACATTACAAAGTCAAAAATCCTCATAGATGCTAATTCTAAAGAATTTTGTCTTACTTACAAGTTTTGTCTATTTTAACCGGAGTAATATGTGTAATTACTTACCAAAGTTGTCTATGGTCTCATATTTCTCCAGGTCGGTGGAAAACAGTACGTCTGGAGTGCGCACTGGGTACGAATGGTCATCTTCCCAAAGATCGCTGCGGGGTTTGCGTCTCTCACCGTTCTGTACAACCAAACTGATGACGGCTGTTGTGTTAGCTGAGAAATGGTCGTTCACCGGTTGCGTTTCATTTATGCCGTCTATTTCTGACCTGTGAACAAAGGGATTAATATTCAAGTATAAATCCGTAATCTCAATTCTAGTATTTAATATTTACTTCAAAATGTATTTGGACATTTCAATGATTATTAACGTTATTTATTGTGTCAAATGAAACAAAATTTTTGTTCAAGATCCACCTTAGCAGGCTTTGCTAAGAGTATAACTCATTGGTGTTATATTATTAGCAAAAACTGCAGCTTAAAAGTGAGGCTTATGATGGCGTAACAATCATAAATGTTAAGCTGCATCATAGTGTATACCTGTGGCATTTGACGACGTAGTAGTCTGGCAGGAAGCCAGTATAGTGAATACCTGTGGCATTTGACGACGTAGTAGTCTCGCAGGAAGCCAGTATAGTGTATACCTGTAGCATTTGACGACGTGGTAGTCTGGCAGGAAGCCAGTATAGTGTATACCTGTGGCATTTGACAACGTGGTAGTCTGGCAGGAAGCCAGTAGTATATACCTGTGGCATTTGAAGACGTGGTAGTCTGGCAGGAAGCCAGTATGCAGTGTATACCTGTGGCATTTGACGACGTAGTAGTCTGGCAGGAAGCCAGTATAGTGTATACCTGTGGCATTTGACGACGTGGTAGTCTGGCAGGAAGCCAGTATAGTGTTATACCTGTGGCATTTGACGACGTGGTAGTCTGGCAGGAAGCCAGTATAGTGTGTACCTGTGGAATTTGATGGCGTGGTGGTCAGGTGGCAGGAATCCGGTGTGGAAGTGCAGGGAGAGCAGCGGCACAGCGTGAGTGCGGCCGAGGTGTTGCCGCGCGTGATACACGCACACACACACGTCGCCCGCAATAGTCGTGTCCAACGGCAACGATACCTATACCCACACATGTATAAACTTACATTTACAACACCCTTATTTTGTTAATCTCAGGTAGATTGTTGAAAAATATTAAACACGTATTTGAGTTAAAATGTCACATGACGTCGCGTTTTCGTAAATTCTCTACAAAACTGTGACGTAGCGAACCCCCACTTCTCAATTTTAAAGCCCGTTGTCTAAACTATTTCTTGTTAAATTGAAGTCAAAAAGCCTTTCTGATATTTTTCTGTTATCTAACTGACGGATCAATCTTTTTTTTACCCAGGCATCATCCGTATTATCTAATGGACAGACCTATACACTTTTCAAATAGTTCAAGGTCCTATTACTCTTAATAGAAGATGAAAATTAACATTAAAATAGTGGAATTAGAAACGCGACTTATCCGGTGCCTTTTATGTGTTAAAAATAATGACTGATATACTATAGAAAAGGTAAAGGTTTCAAAATAGTAATTGAAGTAGTTTACCTTCCCTTCGGCAATTGTGTACATATGCAATCTGTCATAATCTTGCAGCGTCGACAGTACTAATCTATCCTCATTATATATTTCCACATATGGTCTACAGCCATCTCTGAAATGCATTTGTTTTATGATAATGCTACAGCGTTACACTCTATTATAAAATTAACATTATTTTCCGTTCCGTTCAATATTTTATTATAACTTTTTGTGTATTTAATGAGTTTCTTTCCATTAATATTTTTAGGGTTCCGTACGAAAAGGGTAAAACGTGACCCTATTACTAAGATTCGCTGTCCGTCCGTCTGTCTGTCACCAGGGTGTATCTCCTAAACCATGATAGTTGGACAGTTGAAGTATTTCTGTTGCCGCTATAACAACAAATATTAATAAATCGAATAAAGTAATTAATTATTAATTACTTTATTCGATTTATTTGGTGTATACCAAACGTGATTTTTTTTCTCGTTTCCAATAAAGAACCCACCGTGAGCAATTCTGCAATCAATTTTAGGCTTAAATGTCAATGTATTAAGGTAAACAATTTAATTTGTTCGGGAAGACAGTTTAATACATTTTTCAATTTACCTCGCTTTGGTGAATAGAGGAACTGGTTGGATGGTCAATGAAACTAAAGTCACTGGTCTGAAATGTGGAAGTTTGGGATTTTGCCTGAAACAAATAATGTTACATATTACACGTAATTATGATGATAATTAGACATTGTGGCAACACAAATTTATCTGAACTACGACCAATATTTTAAAAGAAGAAAAACATTATTAATTACATAAAAAATATTACCTAATAATATTAGAGAGGTAATACAAATATCTAAGTTGTCCTGGCGAAATGTGAATGGGTGACCGTTTCACAGCGAATATCTGTAGAGCATCTTCGGGTACGGTCACCAATTTTGCGTACAAAAGCAAACCGCATAGTAATACGCAAGACATATCCTTGCCATCCTAAAAAAAGGAACATCAATTATTCATTCTCGTAAGTACTATCTAATATTATAAAGAGAAAAGATAAGATTGTTTGTTTGTTTACAACGAATAGGCTCTGAAACTACTGGACTGATTTAAAAAATTCTTTCACCTACGAGAAGCTACTTCATATGCAGTGAACATAGGCTATATTTTATCCCGCAAAGCAGCAAATAAAGGGATGAAAATGGGAGTGGGTAATTAAAACGTGTCATGATATGAAATGTTATCCAAATGAATTCTTAAATAAAAAAATAATCCTGGATTAACTCATGGGCTACTTTATGTCCCACTAAACAGTACCCTAAGGGACGACTCGAGCGAAGATGCTAGGAGAAAACTAGTTACTTCTAATTAATTCATTACTTAATAGGCAAAATAACTCAGTGTAGGTTAGCCCACATAGTGAACAAACCTTTTTCGAACATTGAGACTTTTGAAAGGTAATGATTTCCTTCCTTCATTAATACAAATATGTAGCAATGGTGAATTATTAGATAAAATTACACTTTTTTATTTATGAATCAAAAAAAAAAAAATCCTATTACGCTCACTACTACTTGACTCGTTGCTTACTACTATTTGAATGACGTTTGACGTTTATAAAAAATCGTTCACTACAATGTGCGATATGGCGATAGAAAATTACAGTAATGTGTCCTATTAAAATTTGCATTTTTTACACTTTATATACAAAAAAGTTTGTGAATCTGATATTAATACTTTATTAATTTTATATAGGCCTTTGTACTTTTGCAAAACTATTTTTTTTGCCACATAAAGAATGTACAGGGTCTCCCTATTTTAAGTTCCCTCAAATTCACATTACTGCAGATTAATAACTTCACCTGTTACACAATTCCATATTGTAATTTTTTTTATAGGCAAATAAACTTATTATAATTATTTATCTGTGAGCAACAATCTCACCTGGCACGTAATAACAACAGCACTCTTCTCATCCTTCCCAAGGTACTGGTACATATGTTGCAGTAGAGCGTAAAAGGGGGCCAGTAACGGTGCCCTGTGGGCGGGCGTCGGCCACAGCGTGCGACACGCGTCCGTGACGAGCACGTGACGTGGAAAATGTAGGCGTGACCCGCGACAAGCGTTATACACGCAATACTTACCGCCCGGGTGACGACTCTCTAAATAAGCCTACAACAATTCCGTAATAAGTATGGATTATAAAAAAAAACTCTACATTGATTTAGAACAGAGAAATATAATATATAGTTTTAAAGTTTCATGGTCATTAACATCACAATGATTGGTATTATATTTTATGAGTTTCGGATATTATGGCGCTATTGGAAGCGCTATGATCACGGATTAAATGAAGTTTATGAACGTGGGTGTTATTTGCTTACCTGCTTTTGAGTTAATATACGTTCGACAGCCGTACCACTGTTTACTATGTCACCACATATAATATCGGAAACACATAAAATATATGATACATGCTGGCAATCCCGTTATTAGCAATCATTCTGAGAGAAACATAAACCAAATATATACAAAAACATTTATGTATACTAAACAAGCTATGCGGCATTAAAATTACCCGCTTAAGCAGCGTCCTACGATAGCTATCAGGATACGAACGCGAAGCGGCGCGGTGTAAAAACAAAAAATAGTCAATAACTATTGAAGTGTATTTTTACATTAACTGGACGCGAACTGACACTGCGGCCTTCATTTTAATGCTATTCAAGAACGTCATATATTATGGATCAAAAGGAATAATAATTCACACACACCGCTCCTCATTTTAATTACATTGGATCACTTCGCTATCGCATTTGCTAGGCGTCGGCCACGTAGGACACGGCCTTACTTCTTATTTGTAAGCGAGACGGCAACTCGTCGAAGCGCGCTATAACTGTCATAATCAGTGGTCGGAATTAGGTAAAGTTATTCATGTACTTATACTGATTTCATACAGCGAAAGAATAAAGTGGATATGCCTCAAATCCCCAGATTAATTTTAAAGAGCAGAAAAAATCCCGTGATTTTTTAAATAAAAAGTTATTTACTTTTACACAATTTAAACTACTGCACGCACGACGTTGCCAAACTTACATCAATGAAAGAAAGAAATAAAAAAAGAAGAAATAAAGAGATCCCGGGAAGGTCCACATTAATATCAACATTTCGATGCAAGTACATAAATAACTCTACCTAATTCCGACCTCTGGTCATAATCTAAGTTCAGAACAGCTTGTCTAATATATACTACAGATAAGTCTTTAATAAATAATTAAAATTATAAAAACTACATATACATATATTACCATATACGTAACTGACGAGTGAATTTTTGATAGAAATAAATTAAAAAGTTATACTTGAATTTCACCGTTTAGTTCATTGCTTTTTAATTATACTTATTTATCATAGGTAAAATTGATAAATATTTGATATACTTTGTAGCTGAGGGTTGGGATTTAGAAATTTCATTCAATAAAAACGTATTATTATTATTATATTTGATTAATTTCGCATTCATTATGCTATATTGAAAATTATTCTTAATGACAAATGCTTGAAATAAATCCTCTTTGTCCTGTGCACTCTGAGATGGGAGTCGCACCCATGACCTATCGCAATCCGGACGACTTATACGCATCATTAAATTTAACTTATACAAATAAAAAAGACTTAATCTGCTGGTTACTTATAATGAAATTAGAACTTCCTTACCTTCACGTCATCAATATGATTAGTCTTGTAGGCACTCTCTAAGCCCTCAGAGGGATATGGCATTACAATAATACGACTAGTTATATACGATATATCCAAATCTGTCCTCGCAATAGACCTGGAATAAACGAGAATAATTGTATTATCAAAATGTAAATATCAAGACGTCGTAGACATGATACAAAGATAAAAAAAAAAACTTAATCTGTGATTGAATAAATTCGAAAAATAATGTAACAAATACATATATTAGTTAATCTTAATATGTACTAGCTGTGCCCGCGACTTCGTCCGCGTGGAAATTAGCCTAAGTTACTCCTTATTACATAAACTACCAGTCAGTGAAAAACCCCTCAAAATTGGTTCAGCCGTTTCAGAGATTAGCCGGAACAGACTGACAAATGTTTTTTTTGTATATGTACTATGTATACCTACATATGTATTTAGTGAATAACGGTTATTTTAATATTACAAACAGACACTCCAATTTTATTTAATTGTATTTACGTATGTATAGATTAAAAGATAATACGATAAATAAACAAAAGATCTCTCTTTAAACCATTCGCCATTCGTCGCTATGACGTCATGCCCCACTAAAACTAATATCGTTCTATGAATGCATAAGGTTGAATTCTCTTAGTTCTGATATGAATAAGAGGGGCGTGACGTCACGCGCTGTTTTCGGTCACGTTATATCGAGTATAAAATATTTAGTTTTTCATTATTAATTTTAGCAATATTATAAATATGATGAGCATAAAAGTGTGTTTACAGATATATTAAACACTACCAGAAATAAAATAAAAAACTTTCGTTTACTGTCTACAGCCGTATACTCACTGTTGAACAGTCTGCATGACTTTCGATGAAGTGTCTTTTAAATTTTTCAGGAAGCTTCCGGCGCCTCCCTTGATGGAAGAAAATAAACCTCCAGAAGTAGCGGTAGTCTGCTGCGGCGGTGGATGATATTGAGGGGCGGGTGGAGGGCGCGCGGGAGGAGGAGGCCGGCTCGGTTCCGGCGGCCGCGAGTTCGGCATCTCTTGGCTGTCCGACACGGGGTCTTTGTTAGCTGAAATAAAAAAAAAAACTCAATCATCTGCATTTCCAATTTCAGAGATGGCACAAGCGATTTCGAGCTGTGTTCGGCCTCTGTATTCTCGACCTTATTACGTAACACTAATGGGAGCAGTCTTTTTTAAATTAATAAAGTCTAGATTTTACATTGAGTCGGTCCTGTCGAGGAATCGTTTAATTAAAAACGTTACATAATGTCAGTCCAAAATAATTATAACCAGAACTTACTAGTTTTAATTATTCCTCAGATATTTGTATTGTCAGTCAAATATAGAATATTAAATATTGCTAACTTTCTAACGTCCCAAGGTCAACGTATCGAATAATCAAATAAACGAACGAGAAATATCTAAGTGCGCATTCTAGCTGTCAGTTTAATACAAAACTATCTCACTGGTGCCTATTCTTTAAACAACAAATATAACAGAAGTTTATTACATACGTTTATTACAGAAGTATATACAGGTGTATAATTAGAATTTTTTGGTTACATGTGACTGCGAAAAGAATAAAATGGTTTCTTTTTTTCGTTAAGTGGTATAGCCGAATTGATGTTAAAGTGTTACAAGTGCTGATAGAGTTCAAAATCTGTTGTGAAAATTTAACTTTATATAACCTGATGTACAGCTGTGTGTAAGACTAGACATTTACACCCGTATCTATAGTTAAGTAAAAGTAATAACTAAAGCAAATAATTTTGACAAATAAACAAGAACTCGAGTGATGTAAAAACTGTTAATGGAAATAATAATATTATAATTAGCTATTAACAGTTCTTATTTCATTCAAATTATCGTCTATTGATTAAAAAAATATATTTAAAAGTCATTTGCAGGCATATTCATAAAAACAACATTCAAAGTAATTTATACATAATTTATTTCTAGATTTAAATATGATTTCACAATAAGCATTTAAATATCTTATAATACTAATAGTAACAAAAATATTGCTATCTTTAAACAATATAACGAAGAAACGATATATTCAAAGAAAAATCTTTTATATATAACGGTAGCAATTCTGTTGTACACACGTTGTGCCATTTCAATTATGAAACTACCTAATATAAAAGACAAAAAATTATGAATTATATTCTTTTGATTACATGTGATTATAGAATAATGTTAATTCAAATCCAAATTATATATAGATGATCGTTTTTTTAGTTTAGAGAATGATACAACAGAATTGGCACTATTATATTATTAATTTTATAACTAGTTGACAATAAAAAGAATAGAAATATGTATATATAATAAAATTGTATCACAAATTCACAATATATTATCATAACTTCAAATGCTAATATTAAACTAATTCTGGATAAAGTTTAGGACATTTGACATGTCTTTAATAAAGCACCAGACAAAATAATTAAATTTTCCATTATATTTTTAGACGGACGTCACTTTGAATATATAGAAACAAGTTAAAATAATGATTGGTATTTCAACGACAAATCCGTTGCGTTATTCGGTCTAAAATAAAACGTCGAACATAATGTTGTCACAATATCAGAAAGTTTCAATAAAATTATTATATTTCTAATACTACGACAGCGCTGCTTGCGACGATGCATTTTACAGAATATAAAAGCACGGCTTGTCATTTGTCTGTATAAAACTCTACAAAATTAATATGCGTTAAGAGTAAATTTTCTAGATTTTTATTACGACATATGTGGACTTGGGACATTTTTTAAATGTGACATTTTAATAAATCTCTGTTTCCCATTCACTATTTGACAAATTTCGGAACATAACAAGTACAAGCATGTTCATTTTTCTGTATATTACGCATAAGAATAACACTGACGCTTAAAAACTTGCGCGAATTCAGTAAAATATCCATTTTATATGCAAGCACTTTACTTTTTTTTTAATAAACAATTAAATTAAAAATTACTTATTAAAATCCTCATGCTTAACTCAGGTTGGAATATATTTTGTTTTAATAGTATAAATACCGTTGATAAATATATTCATGGTATTGCTTAATTAGATTTTAAGATTATTATTGTAGCAATAAATACTGTAACCTTCTGCATTCTTTTGCATTATTTATTTCTACTGTATAACTACCTATATTTTTTTATCATCGCTTAAACAAGACCAACAATCTTTACAGAAAACAGTGAAAGTTATCCATAAAATCGCAATAAAAATAAAATAATTAATCACAGTAAAATGTAAAATTTTATATTGTCCTTACACTCGAGATGTAATTTTTGTGTTAGAAATTGTAATAGACTTAATTTTTCAGTGGTATCGAAAAAGATAACATTGTTGCTCTATACCCGTGGTTCTTAACCAGTAGCTATGCTATCCATAGACTGGACTCAGAGGATGACCGACATGGAACTTTTGAAACGTATAGACCAAAAAGAACAATTAAGTCCACAATTATACGACGAAGTCTCTTATTTGGGTCCTGTTCTTCGACATCGTAAATACCAACCTTCAACTTATAATGATGGGCAAAATTCTTGGGAAGAGAAGCATTCGAAAGAGGAAATCATGGCTCCGAAATATCAGAGAGTGGACGGGAATAGCTAGCGCAGCAGAGCTGTTTTGACTCGCGGGGACTAGGGATGGTTGTAAAAAAATGTCGGCGAACCTTCACTCGTTGAAGAAGCACTTTAAGAAGAAGAAGTACTGAGAACATACTATTGGAAATTCCAACTCGAAGGGGATAAAAAAGGGTGACAACGTTTGTATGGAACTTATTTGTTTTTGGACTTAAATCGATGAAAATTGGTATTTGAGTAGTTAAAACCCTGGGAACATAAAAGGTTATATTTTATACCGAATCGCAGCTCTGAAAGGGCTGAAAATGGGAGTAGAAGTTTTTATGGGGAATCAAAATGATACCGTAACAACCGTTGTTTATTTATAAGTAGGTACTAGATGATATAAAGTATAGACTAAATCGCGCTTTTGAATGTGTCTAATTATTTTGCGTAGAGAATTTTAGTAAGGATAAAATTAATTAATAACCCATGGGGTCCCTAGCGAACTAACTGTTTTGTGGGCTAAATAGTAATAGCCTATACGTTAATTCAGATTTATAATTATCCGTTTACCAAATTTCATCAAAATCCGTTCAGTAGTTTTTGAGTGAAGAAGTAACAATAATCGAAGCTTACTTTCGCTTTATAATATTAGTAAGATTAGTTTTGAACCTTTATTTATAGACGCTTGTCTACCCTAAAGTCAGACATGGTAACCCTTTGTAGGGCTAGCGAAGTATTTTTTGTAACTAGTTGACGATAAGTGATGTTTGGCTATTAAAGAAGATAAATTACAGCTTTTAGGGTAAAATTTCTAATACAGTGCAAAGTGAGGCTTTTAGAAGATGGCAACCCTATCCCCATAGTTAGGTATAGTAACCACTGCTGTATAAGCTGAATCCTAAAATTATTACTCTTAATCATACGGCCATAATAATACATATGAATTAGATTCGCAAAGCTTTTATATTAAATAAATATGGTAACAAATAATACTTAATTGAATCACAACTTTAAATTCTCATATAATAATAGAAAAACAAAACATTGATATTATTATCACATCTTTCACATACTGACACCTTCACACGACATTAATGATATATAATAAATATATCAAGAATCATTAAATCATTAAGATTGTATTTAACTAATGTTAACTCTATGGTATTGTCTTAAGTGCCAAATTTTTCGATTGTCCGATAATTCTTATTCATTACGATAAACAATTACTCATTCAAATGATAATACAGATTATCAAGTAATGTAATAAATATATGTGAATAAACCTGTCTATAGAAATCAGATTGTTCTTTACACGAAAGTTAAAAACGTTTTAAAGGGTTCCGTACCTCAACAAGAAAATACCGAACCATTATAGGATTTTTTCGTCGTCGTCGCAATTTTATTGGTGCCTAATAAAATGTTATTGTACGTATTTAAAAAAAAAATAAGCCATCAGATGTTACAAAAATGTGTGAACATAACAATAATTAATGGACATATTCCATATTATATAGTAAAACTATACAAATGTTCACATGGTATTGTCACAATAAAGTTAAAACTTATAACGTGCACTAAACGCAACGGACAATGCCGTGTCAACGGAAAGTAACAACGGATCAGCCGCGTCACTAATCTTGCCTCGTTTTGGTTGACATCGGATTCAATCAAAATGCACTTTAAGTTGAGTGCATTTTGATTGAATCCAATGTTAACAAAATCGAAGTCACATACCCACATCTGTGCTTAAAATATAAATAATAAATACCATAGACCATCAGTTAGTATAGAATCATATAAAAATATTCATAATGAACGAGCTGGAACCTTAGATTGTGTATATTCTATGAACCCATGCAGTCTAGTTGTTTGCCCGCACCTATTTATTGTGTATTTATTATGTATGTTAACATAACATATATAATGGAATGTATGTCGCTTTTTATGTGCTTTGTAGTCATAATAGCGTAATCACTGGCAATGATTCTCTTATCATTTTGGTTTATGTTCACACTAGGCTTTTAGAAGATCGATTAGAGACACCAAAGTCATTATTTTGAATATATGTAATTTAATAGCAAGGTTTAACATCAGTAGCAAATTTTACAAATGTTTAGCAATTGCTTTTGAAAATATGGTACTATATACTATATAGCCATTCTATGGGGTTGAACAAACACAGGTAGGTGATTTTCGAATTTTAAAGAGCATTTATGAATGTATGTAAAGCAGTTAAAAATACTAAATATAGTAGATATAGAAATAAAGATTTAAACTAATACACAGGGTCAATTATCCAACTCTTTAGTATTTTTATTATATTCTATGCATTTAAAAACACAACTGTTAATTTTTTTTTACACATTTTTGGTTGAGACATTATGAATAACGTTTCTCCTTCGATTCATTACTTTAAGTAATGAGTATACCTTTTTATAGTGCTAGTTCTAGAAGTCTTTTTTATATTGATACTTTATAGGAATGTCCAAGCATTGAGATATAAGTTTCATAACAGTGCATTTAAATTTTTGAGTTTTAATTACATAAAAATAAATGCGCATTTAAAAAAAGACTATATTTTGTTTTTTTTTTTTAAATTACACGTGGAAACCAAACAGTATAATAATTATTGTCTTATTTTTTCTAATTCGAATATTACATTTAAACGGACACCCTGTATTCAGTTAAAAAAAATGCTAACTGGTCTTCTTTTGTGTTAGTAAAAATCACACCAAGGCAAATCAGATAACAAATCATAAAAATTGTTAATGTTAAATAAATAATAACAATATAATACAGTGCGTTTTAAACATTAGTAAATAAAATCTATACTCATCATTGCGAGCATGTCCATTATGTATAGAGCAAGCGTAGGGGGCGTGAATGCGGTCGGCCATGCTAGTGCGCCGGGTCATTTAAACGAGAAAACTATTGGGCACCCGAAAAAGTTGAAAACACCTAAAATGAAAAGAAAACCGTGATATATAATAGCAATCAATATGCACGGCAGTCATACGAAGCCACGCGTGTTGTTTACAATCAAAAAGTACAACTACTTTTTTAAATCAAATATGGGAAGGCTCAAAAGTAATTTAGACCTTATATACAGACACATAAGGTGTATCAAGACGCGGGGCTTCTGTAGAACTACTCACACGAACATGCAATGTCCATACAAACTAAATAAACAAGCATAGAAACTAATTGAAAAATCAAATTTTTACATGCATACAAAAACTCTCAACAAATTCTTTCTAGCAATTTGAAAATAGTACTTTACTTTATTTAACAGATATAAGAACGCTTTGCCATACTTTCATTGATACAGTAGAATAATTTTCTTGAAATTGGATATTAAATGTATCTGGTACTAGGATTCTGGTTATCTAATAAAACATTAATAAACCTGGGAAATCCTCATCTAGTCTAGAATATACAGTCTAAGTATTATTTAATAAACTGCCAAAATTTTCTTTTCTCTCTATTTTCTATTCGCAACAATATAACGATAATTGCATACAATTTAACATGCGTCAATTTATGCAATTTTTTTAAAATAATACATATATATATAAATGCATAATAATAAATTTAAATTATAGAATTAATATTAAGTTTCATAACACAAATAATATTAGTAAAAAATATTTTTTTGGAAAATTAATGGGTGTACAACATTTACAATTCTTCTTGAAATGAAATTAAGCAATCAAATAAATTTAATTGATTAATGCTAGCATTGGCGAACGAAAATAGAATTCAATACATATGATGCAGTGATCGGCGTTAGTAGGTACAGCTATTTTTGCTACACAGCATATATTATCATATTATGGATATGCTTAAATATTCTGGGATTTAAACATATTTGCAACAAAATAACAATGAATTAATTACAAAAAGAACAATGACTTCATTTTAGTAGAGTACAGCTAGAGATAGTATAAAGAAGATACAAGTTACAAGTACCACAATCTATTAAGTTCTAAACAGCTTTGAAATCTGAATCACAGTCATATCCATGTTAGCATATACCATTTATATCACTGATCCGAAACACACCAATTATATTGATTATAAATGATACATTTTCATCCGCCCATTTCGAAAGTCATAAGACCATGAATTAGTGCTAATGCAAATGCTGAATGAGTGCCAAATTGATATGACGCCATATTGTTAGTAATATATCAAACAACAACAACAAGATTGGTCTTTACCTAATAAGATGACTGTTCACCATTAGTTAAGTGCCCCGGCCTCATCCCGTTAATATTCCCTTCGCAGATATAAATAGAAATAAAAACAAACTTCGAATATGAAGAATATACTCATTTATTCATCGATTAATGTAAGCTCTGACGACAAAGTCACATGAATATATGCAACAGACGATATTAATACTTTAATGACAATAATAATTCCAAGTTAACACAAATCATAAGCATGAATGATATGTTCTTAAATAGAACTGAAGTTATCATTTAAGTATAATAATAGTTAAACATATTATATGCTAAGATAGTATTAAGTTTTATGATATACAAATATATTGTGATGTCAATACTTTAATATTATAGCCACTTTCAAGAATTCATAACTCTGCTGTGATATACAACACTATACTAATACTTGTACCAAAAATTCACATTATTTTTTAAATATTGTCTAGAATTAGTTTTCGATCAACAGTATGATCTTAAAATAAAATAATTAACTATTCAATATTTAGTTAACACAGTGCACAATGTTACACTGAAGTACACCTAGTGATGCTACAGACTAGTGAAGTATATTTGTTATAAATATAATTTCTATATTATCTATCAACAAAAGTGCAGGTATACCAAGCCACCATTAATGTTAGTGCAGTATTCCAGTCCTAATTAGGTACTGTACCCTCACTAAGTTAGTTGTGATAAACAAAGATGTATTTACATTCTATATAGTCAATATAATATAAGTAAATTTTTAAAGAATATGTTATTCCTATTGTTATTTCAGAAATTAAAAATATTAGAATTTTATTATGTATAATTATATATTTTTTTGTATATGTAAAATATAATAAAATATAATGTGATGGGGTTCCGATTTGGAGTTTTCAGATAAGAATAACACCCCATAGTATAGAAAACATTTAGTTTATTTAAATACTCCTAACATACAGATGTTTTTAATTAACTAGCGACCAGTATCCTACATCTATAAAAGCTACATTTAGTTAAGTGTGCACTTTAAAAATGCCCACATGTTTTTGGTTTAAATTGTCTTTTATGTTCCTACTACATCAGAATATGTTTCACTTTTACCTTATTGATACTGGGATTTTAGTTTTAAATTCCTTATTATTTAGGTATTTATTTTGTCTATTTTGTGATCAGACTTAAATGTCAAATTAAAGCTTGCTTTGTTTGCTGGTTTTCGATAAGACTTCTAAGCAGGTCAGTTTATTGCACTGGCCCGATATTATTAAGTCAATCATAAGTCTTCATAGTAATAAACTAACACTAACGTCATGTAAACACAAATGAGCATTGAAGCAATATAAATAAATCAGCATTGAATATGATTCAATTACCGATAGTATATTATAAAATAAGAATAAGTCAAATAAATGCTATACTACCTTACATCATTCCGAGAACAATTCTTTCAACATCGCCTTACCTTTGGTGTTGCTCATTTTTGGTGATTAATGACATTGGAATGTAACGAAATCTCACATTTTCAAAAAAGTAACATATCTAATTGAACTAAATTCAAAATAAACGTTTAGAGAAAACAAAACAAAAAAATTTGAGTGTAAAAAGTCAAAAAATAGTTGACCATTTTTAGCTCGAGATCAAATGCAACATAACATAATAATGGGCCGATAAGGTGTATGTATAAACTGTGGCGCGCGATCGCAAATCAATTGTAATAGACGATATCACAAAACATGTTGAAAGTGTCGCGCCAAGACAATATCTTTCAGGATATGGTAGTGTAATATTTACTTGACTTCTTATTACCTGGCGAGCTAGTGGCCACAGATTGTTCAACTTTTTTACGCTCAAATTTGAGTGGTTGCTTGAGATTGACATTGTTCGACTCTGCTATCGCCGCCAATCGCTCCAGCACACTGTTTATGGTTAACCGCTCCTCCGGATTCACTGTTAGGCATCCAGCTGAAAAAATATCGCACAATGAATGATTTTCCAATGGAGATTATTGTCAATTATATGGGAATGGACTTTTCATTATCATCAAGCAGTGACGTGACTGAAATAACCTTAAGAGCCACTGCACTTATCTCATATCGTGAGCGTAATGAGAATGTTCAAGGCAAAAACATATTGGCGCGACGATAGACGTCCACTAGATCATTTCAATTCTGACTAAACCAGAGCACATCATGCATGGAGTGTACTGACTGACACATGCATATTTTCAGTAGTAAATACTGGTAGTCCACCATGCATGATCTGTGATCAATATATTGGGTGTCCTAAACTGAGGAGTATGCAAATATTGCTTTATGTCTCTAATGTTTACCAGTTTTTTAAACCAAAAGTTTTAATTTTTGGCACCATTTGTTTTAAGTATGATACTACAACTTCTAACAATACCAGCTACACCACAGACATACATGTATTATTATTACTATGAACACTTACTTATTATGTCATGAAAACATTTATAACGTTGATCATTGGGGTTCAAGTTGTAGTTTCCATTTAAAATAGCCAATTTGGCAGAATCTTCGAAAGGATGCTGCATGAAACACAGGGTGTATATTATGCACCCCAATGCCCAAATGTCCACTGAATGGTCTATTTTACGATTATCCCACGTGTCTAACATCTCCGGAGCTCTATACATTGGGGTAGTGAATTGGGCTAACTGTAACAAAAAAAGTAATTTATTGGGATAACACATCACAGTTGAACAAGATGCTCCATTGGGCGAATATTAAAAAAAAACGGTAGATTTCAAAGAATAAAACTAGCACCAAACAAACTTCTGCTTTTAGATGATTAGATAAATAGAAGAAATATTTAATTAAATAATTGTGTTAGCAAAGCTAACAGATAGCCACTTACATATTGTTTATAAATAAACATCTAAATTATTCTAATGGGAGTATAATATCCATACTTACATTTTCTTCTAACATGTTTCTTTGATTGGCACTCCAAGATGGATTAGGAGTATAAATATCAGTTGTTGCTGAACCAAAATCACATAATTTTATTGTACCTAAAACAAAGACAATGTCATCAAGTTGGACAGATTTTTTTACATATAATTTTGGGTATTCAGTTTAAAAGGACCAAAGCAAACTGCAGGCAGCACAAAGACATAGTTGTGATCATTTACAGTAGGGTGTAAATGTTAGTACTCTTTATTGTATCTTTGATATAAGGTTTACAAATAATATTATAATTTGAACAAACAATATTATAATTTGTGCACTGATTATTTTTTTTTTCTTGTATAAAATGTAACTTTAAAAATATGCCTTTTTTGGTTTACTCAGTTTTTGCAAATACAGTATATGAAAATAGAAAACGTTAGCATAGGCTTTTAGAACATAATAACATTGGTTTGAAATGGCACTTTGGTCCTTTGAAACTAAATAACCTATTTTTATTTGTTAGAAAAAATATTGTTACCTTCATTTGATATTAGGAAATTCTCTAGTTTGAGATCACGATGAGCTATAGGAGGTATTTGAGCATGCATATGTTGTACTGCACGACAAGTTTGATAGAAAACCCTCAATATAGTCTGCAGTGGGAAAGCCTGACCCCTATTCTGTAAAGCCTCCATTAAACTTCCACCACTGCAGAGGTCTGTCAGCAACAAATACTCTCCCATCCCATGGGTAGTCTTAGATTTATCAATGAAGGAAGCTGCTATATACTTAATTATATTTGGATGTCCAGATAATTTTTTTAATATGCTAATTTCTTGTATTATATTCCTGTTTGCTTGTTCATCAGCAGCCATAAGCCTCTTAAGAGCATACTCAGTACCAGTGGATACATCTTGAGCAACAAATACAAATGCAAATCCACCTGAAAATGACTCAGTTTAATAAATAAATATATATAACAAGGATAATAGTCATCTTGACACATGCTCAAAGTAAAAGGTGACAATGCATTTACTAATGAAGCTGAATGCCTTTATATTACTGAATGCAAATAAACAGATTGTACCCACTAAGACAGAAATTGGATCACAATTTTAAATAAGGAAGCTGTGAATAAGGAACTTCTACTGTATTACATTACTCTTACTTTGCATAAATAGTCTTGTAAAATGTTTAATGAATTTGAAGAATACTTGCTGAGAACATATGACTGATCTAACTCTTATAATAGAATTAATTATTTCTGAGACCCTTGTTTTTATGTTACCATATGACTAGAAATTTAAAGATAGACTAGAATTTTCCTTGCAAAGTTTTAAGCTCATATCAAATTTTACTAAACAGTGTTCATAATACAGAAATCCAATAATATTTTAAACCATTACCCTATGATTTTCATTCTAGTATGACAATAATTTTCATTCTCTTAGTCTAAGATATTAAAATTAACACTTTTTTATGACACAATAACATCATGAATCTTATAAACGTCCCCACTGTAGAGGCTCAGGCCTTCTTTATAGATGGTTAAAGACAAAAACATTAATGTTCTGCTATTGAGATATACATACTTAAAAAAATGTAATCAACTTTACTTATGATTCATATCACCTCAGTATCACTTCAATCACAAGATATTACTAAATTTAAGCTCTAATAAAAGTTAAAAAGCAGTAGGTGGATAATAATACTCATTGATTATTGCTATCCACCATATACATAATAGAAGTATGTAAATAAATTTTAAATTATGTCATTACATTTTCTGTCCAAGACAAAATATATTTAAATATTACAAAGTATCTTAAATCTTAAACAATTTAATAAAATAATTAATTAAACAAGCTAACTAAACACCATGAGTTAAAGGATTCAGATCAAAATCTACTTGAATTATTGTCCTTCAAGCATTAAGAAAGTACTCTAAAGGGACCAAAGGTTATGAAATGTAGTCTGGGCCAGAGCATTGTCATGTTTTCATTATATAGCATTAGGAGAATCACTGATAAAGTGTCTAAGTTCACATTGGAAGTGCTTTTCATCACACCATCCGCCCCCAAGTAGGTTACCATACCACATATGCACTAATCCAACAGTACACTAATTAGACTATTAGGTATATGATGTAAGCAAGTCAGATGAAATTAATCTCGATATTGTCCCTTTTTTATTGCTTATGAATTCCATTCTGAGGATGTGAGGACTTACCCTCTGCAATCACCTTCTTTACTCTTAATTTCATATTGCCAATTTCTACAAATTGACCAATGAAATCATTATCATTGCTTCCATTGGCACCTCCTGAACTGAAGTAGCCCATGGCAGATTTAAAAACACTCATTTTGAATATTATATAAACTTATATGTAAAAAACAAGAAGAAAACTATCACGATTGTTTTAATTCAAAGCCCTTTATCTGGGTCCATTTTACATTGGCATCAAATTGGCATGGCTGACTGACAAGAGAGAACTAGTGAACGAATCGAACGAATGAAATGAATGAATAGCATACAAAGAGTATAGTTGTCCACACGGTTGGTAACATAAGTTACGAGCAACCGTTCGAGTGGAGTGCTACCAGCTGGAACTAATGTTTTATTAAGGAATGAGGAAATGTTAAAAAAAAGACAACATTTTTGTATTGATATCTAAGTTTCGAACTTTGCAAATTTCAGTTTTTTCAATATATTATTAAAAGTAATGGGAATGACTATCCTTGGTCCATTCGTTTCCTGCAAAAATCTACTTTCGGTGAAGCCGCCATCTAGTGAGGTGCATTTTAGTGCATTTTTTTTAATAATTCCTCAGCAGGAGTACCGAAACGGGACAGATAAGGGTATTAAAAACGATACATCACAATATTTAAGAAATTTAAGAATATAAAAAACATATTTAGAGATATTATCCAAACTTTAACTAATCCTTAAGGGTAGTTTATTTAATGACCAGTTTCCTGAAAGTCTAGATGTCCGTTTGCGCTCTTTGCCGTTGTACAAGGCACGATCAAAGAATTCTCGTGACTGGTCACTCCCTTTGTACACTTTCGCTTATATTGTCAACAATACTGAATGGACTGACTTCGGATTTCATTATATTTTATATGGTTTTTACAGTATTATCAGATATATTATCTAACAATGTATAATTTTTTTTTCACATATGGCGAAAACGTCGGAACTTTCTTATATTTTTTAGTATTTTCAATTTCTTAATTTTTTTGTTTGTTGAATCAGTTAAAATATCTTCAAACAAAAAAAAAACATAAGTTTTTTAGCAAAAAAGAAAAACAATAAATTGTTTCTCAGGCTATCGATGTTTTTTTTCGGCTCGATAATAATAACAATTAAAATAAACTTTATTGCTAAAAAAAAGAGAACATACAAGAAACACAAAGATAGCGAAGTTAATATTCAATTTATATTTGTATCACTTTTTCCTCTGAAAGTGTTTTAATTTTTATTTGTTTATTTAGTTAGTCTATACATTCAGCCAACCCCTAGACAAATTTCATAAGTTATATTACCCTAAATTAAAATTGTTATGACCAAATAATCAAGCGGTGTGAACCCGTGTCTGTTGAGATACGGCCGCAAATGTAGAGCGCATTTTTAGCATATGTGTTTGTGCGTGACCCACGCAGCACGGGTAAACCAAAAATATCACTTTGAATTTATAATAACAACATTTTTGGATTTCAAAATGAAGTGTTAATTAAAAATATGATTAATTTTAAAACGAAAGTAACGGCCAATCATGTTTTGGCCTGTAGTGTCAGTCATAAAATATTTCTCTTTTAAATTCTCACTGTTTTAATATACATTTTTCAATATTAATTTTAAATTATAAAGCTCGTTATGACGAAAATTTTTGAAGTAAATATTTGTAAAATTCTCGTATTAAGCGCCTTCACATCTGTATATATTGTTAAATTAATAAAGACATTTAAACATATTTTTTGTTTACAATACTCATTATTATTAATTGAGATTTAAATACTGAATTAATTAACACCGCCGTATGTTTGATACAAGTATAAGCATTTTTCATTATTTTAGTTTACTTATTTTTGCTATAGAAACAATTTCAAATTTTCAAAGTTTCAAAACACACTGTAATTCAAATAATTTATACGTTGCATACATTGTAAAATTATTATAAATTGGAACATTACGAAAGACGTGTAACATTTTTTTTTGTTTTTTTTAATCTCAAGAGTACGGCAATTCGAGTTCAGAACAAGAGTACGGCAATTCGAGTCACATTCATCGGAAAGCTTGGTCAGCAACCGTGTGAATGACATACCTAGAGACGAGACGTCCTAACAAAAGACGCCGCTCTTGGCAACCATGGGAACAACCAATAAACGGTTAACAAATGCCATTCAATGGCTTGCTTGATAGCATTCATTAGCCGTTTATTCATCCAGCTAGTAACATTATTCATCATCATCAGTCTACTATGCGACACTTAACAAAACATAAAAAAATATAATATTAACATAAAAAAGTGAACATTGCGACGGTCGATCGTTTTGTTTTAAAAATGAAAGGTCTAGAATTTCTTATAATTGAATTCTAGAATTTCTATTAATTGATTTATTTTTTTAATTTTATATAATTTGAATCATTAGTACTCATATAATTCTCCAATTTTTTCATATTAAATAAGCGTCTTAAACGTATTGATAAAAAAATAAAAGGTTAATAACTAACCCAAATAAAAATTTCAGACTGATTAATAGTTTTAATAAATTTTCATATTTTTTTTTCTATAATTTATATGTAAAACATATGTAACAACATAAAGCAATAAACATTATTACTATGACTATGTAATAAATCAATTAAAAGGGCAGATTCTCCGTCAGCAGAGAAAAGGTCTTTGTTTCAAAAAAGTGAAGTTTCCAATCAGGGACTACTGTAAACATACTGTAAATAACTTTATTTATTTATTTGATTATTAGAACTTAGACTAAATAGGTGACATGATGGTTAAAAAAACTACTTTCTAGTTTATCGCTTCATAACATCGATTCTAATAAAGAAAACTGGTACATCCTTAACCAATTTGTATTGAATATTCAAATGTTATTAATCTAAGTGCCACAATCATAGTCAAATCATTCGTACTATACCATTCGATTCGATCACATTTGATGTAGTCTGTGGAGGCAACAAACTAAAAAAAATATTTTTTGTTGTTTGTTGCTGTTAAAATCTAATTTGTATTATACTCGATAATATATTAATAGAATACTTGCTAACATATGCAGTTCTGTTTCATGATTTGGTGTAGTGCAAAATAACTATGGGCTTTGAAATTAAACGATTTCAAGGTGACGTTGACGAAGAGTTAATTTGCCCTATTTGTTCTGGAGTTCTTGAAGATCCACTACAGGTATGTTGTAGCCCTCAGTGATTTTAATATATCTATGTATAATGTTTTCATGACGTTAATTTTTTTCGCCCTAGGCGCCTGCTTGTGAGCATGCGTTTTGTCGTGCTTGTATAACAGTGTGGGTAACTCGTCAGCCCACCTGCCCTGTGGATCGGCAGGCAGTAACAGCAAGTCAATTGAGACCTGTTCCCAGAATACTCCGTAACCTGCTTTCCAGGTAAACATTTGCTAACATATTTCATAACCTATAGTTTGACCTAAATTTTACCCATTAGTGGAGCAATCGTTCTTAATCGTAACACTGCTTACATCATTATAAATATTCATGTATATGATAATATTGGTTAAGTCAATATAATTGACATTGAAACAATAGGTTGATGAACTGTTATCATGACATATTAAGAAGCAAGGTACAGAATGCAGAGTTTATAGTGTCTCTCTTACTACGGGATGTTGGAAAAATTTCTGTGTATAATGGAACAAGTCCATATTTAAAAAAAAAATACTAAAATATGAAACAAACTGAGCGAAACACTGGATTTTGGTGAAATCCACAAGCGCAACACCATTAATTAAAAATATCAAGAAGATAATTATTATGATAATTGTCTTGATAAATATTCCTTGATAATGATTAAAAAATTGATTTAAGGGTTTTGCTTATGTAGCATTGTTTTATTATAAATAAGGTATTCTTTAAGATTTTTGTTTTTTCAGACTTTGTACAAGTTGTGATAATGCACCCCATGGCTGCAATGCAGTCTTGAAACTGGAGTCCTTGCCATCTCATTTAGTTGAATGTAAGTTCTGTATCTAATACTCTTTCTTTTAGTTTACTACCCTTCTCATTGTTCAGCAAGTTGCCAGTATACTACATTAGAAAATTGGATAAAATTTCACTCATTGGTCCCTTGAGTGTGGATGCATGTAGCATTGTATTGATTTAATAAGGAAGTTTCATGATGTTGATATTATTATATTTAACACATTATGATAAAAATATAGGTAAATTTTAAATAAAAATTTTAAAAATGAAATTAAAATTTAAAAACAAAATTAATTATAAATGATCAAGTTACTGATTACTTACAACTACATGTTTTCACACGGAACATCCTTGACCTCAAACCTACCGGTGACATCACAATATTAAACTCGAGACCATTGCACTACAAATTAAATAGAATCATTTTCAAAATACATTATTTTCTACTTATTGGATACTCTGGTGTTGTTTTTTAGGCACATTAAATTTAATTTTTTAAATTTGTATGTAGTTAATTTATATATCTATAGTATAAAGAAGTAAAAGACAAAAATGTTTATATTTTCTGATCTAAAAAATGTAAAGATATTGCTTTTAATGTGTGTTAAACTTGTTTACCAATCAGTATAAAAAACAGATACGTGCGAGTCAGATTCACACACTGAGGGTTTCGTAGAAATATTACATTTTATTATCTTAGTACCTATCCAATACTTACTTAAAATACTTGGTTTTCATTATATTTTCATAGTGGTTATATGAATGACAAAGTAAAATTTGCGGCTTTTGTAAATGTGCTATATCTCAGAATGTGACTATTCGCTGGGTGTGAAGTAGGAGGTGGGGGCCCACGAAACAAGAGGATAATGCTAAGATCATATCAAATCAAACATTAAATAAAATTCCTCAAAACTTGTTTTACCATATTGATAATATTTTGTTTATTTTGTGTGTATAAGGAAATTTGCAGTTCTCAATATTTTATAATAAACAAACCTGTGTATGGTTTTTGGGAATGTTACTATAATGCCGCCAAGAAAAAAAGAAAATTTCATAATGCAGTAATTAACATGAATCTTGTTCTTGTATTTCATAATTAAACACCAAATTATAAAAATAAGAATTTATTTTAAAGAGAAAATTAATGTTGCAAATTCTTATAGAAGAGATTGAGTGTATGTAAACTCCAATAATATTTTTATCTACACTCAAATCGAAACATTCGAATTACGAATTCAAAGACGATTCTATACATACGCAATTTATAAATGCAAATACATAAAATTAAAAATAAAACTCATTTTAGTACCGCTAACTGTATCATAAAACTCATTATAGTACCGCTATCTTTTTTTATTCATTAAACTATGGTAGTAGTTTTGTTGGACTTAATTTCGCGCGCTTCCCATACATTTTTTATGGCGATCGTGTTTTTGTATTCGGGATTCCAAAAAATTACTTCCTTGTAACCTACCTACTTTGTTTAATTTCAATTTTTCCTATGAGTGAAGATAAAGTAGTGTATAAAACTGCATATAACTTAGGTATTAAAACACTTGAGTCAACCTATTATTGGACATGAACAGACTCTCGTGTTTTAGTACCTCTTCTTATATGACAGTTGCATAAACTACTATTATTTAACCATCGCTAAATAATAATGCCTGCCATTTTAGAGCAGCAATGTTTTGTTGTTTGCATATCACCCATACTTATATCCGTAACAAAACAATGATAAATGAGTTTTAACACATTAATCTTTTTACATCTCCATCGAGTTAAGCCAAAACAATTATTTACCTTTATGTTTGTTTATGGCGATGTTGTGTGTGATTGTTCGGAATCCAGTTTTTATAATTAATATGTCCATTTATTATGTTTCATCAATTTACTTTTTATTTATTTCCCATGAAATTAGTCATGTGAAAGTCGGTGTGAACTACCTAAAATTTGAGATTGATTTTATATTGAATTACATTTTACATGGGAAGTAAAAAATATCGACATTTTATCGACATTATAGATTTACTGGATGAAATTCGATGTTCTATTGAAATTATTGTTTGCTTATGTAATCTTTTTACTGATCGCCGGTCATTTAACATTGCGAGGCCCGCCGCCATGTAACCGCTAGTTGGCGCCGTCATCGCTCACCCAGCGAATACCCCATTCAAACAGGTTTTCGTTGAAAGTGTTCATTGGAGGCTACAGCAATGTTCACAACCAAAAGCGTGCAGTTTATCGTATTCCGTAGCTAAATTTGATGCATATTGAGTAAAAATCAGCAAAATTATCATACAACAGAACAATATATCATAATTCCGCTAGTAATATTAAGCTCAAATGAAGTAATTTGACATATTTGTATAGCCTGACGCGCTGTTCACTGTACATAAAGTAAATGACTTGTATCATTATTCGATATAAGTACTCGATTGATTTAAACCTGAAAAATACCTTTCAGTAGTGAATTCGAAGGACTCGCTTTTTTTATGATTTCAGGTATGGAAAAAAATCGTATGTGATATTTATTTAAAAAAAAATTAAGAAGTTCACACGTCTCAGGCGACAGACGTCGCTGAATGCGTGATAGCTCTTCCAATTTAGCTGTCAGAGTTTTAAGGAAGTGTACTTGTTTCTTCTGCTGTAAGCAAGAGAGCATCGTTCTATATGATAAATAATAATATCTGTATAAATTTTCCTTTCTCGAATCTACGGATAAATTTGGATTCGTATTTGAACTATTAAGATCGTGCTATGAACGACGGGAAGGAACAAATCATTGTTACTGGCTAGTATACTATGGTAGAAATGATGGATTTTTTTAAAAGTTTGCACATGTTAAAATTATCTTACAATTCGCGTACGAATGGTAGGTTATCGTACGGTTGGGAACACTGGTCTATAGCATACTTTTACGTAGGTATTCCAATCTTTAATTTTAAAAGTTAGGGGGAGAAGGGAGCTGCTGTCACATTTGACGTCTTTGGAAGAAATTATCCAATAACGAGAGAATTCGCGCGTTTGCGGTTTATGTATTATTATCTATTGACTTTTATAATGGCATATTTACATTTACATTAGTCGGTAAACTAATAGCAGGAAATGATCGCCTAATGAAAAAAAGCACAGAAATCTCCGCATTTCGCATGCGGGCCCAATCGATTAATGTCAATGAGCTTGCACTAATTAGTAAACTAATGACAGTCAATGATCGCCAACTGAAAATAAGCATAGAAATCGTTTGTATTTCGCCGCATGCGGGCCCTAAAGACCAATGTAGATGAGCTTGCACTAGTCGATAAACCAATGATAGTCAACGACCAATTAATGAAAATGAGCGTGCATTAGTCGATAAACGTTGGAACTCTTATAGATTTGTCATATCTCTCTGCCTGTGCGTCCGCCAGTATGTCACAGCCACTTTATTCTGAAATTATTAGCATAGATAATTGTTAGTAGGTACCTCATCTGATTTTTATTAAACGCTTTAAGATTTTTTCGGTTCCTTATTTAAAAAACATTTTATTAGGGATTTTTAATGATCTACTTTAATACTTAATTGCAATACAATAATAATAGAAGACTTTTAGTCCCTTCCATCGTGTACCTAATAAACAAAACGCGACTGTAAGATGCAGGCGATGCTCAAAAACGAACTTATAACCAGTGGTCGGAATTAGGTAGAGTTATTCATGTACTTACACTGATTTCATACAGCGAAAGAATAAAGTGGATATGCCACAAATCCCGAGAATAATTTTAAAGAGCAGAAAAAAATCCCGTGATTTTTTAAATAAAAAGTTATTTACTTTTACACAATTTAAACTACTGCACGCACGACGTTGCCAAACTTACATCAATAACATCGGATGTCCAAAGTTGAAAAATACCAATACGCGCGATGTTGCCACATTTGTAGGGAAGGTCCACATTAATATCAAAATTTCGATGCAAGTACATAAATAACTCTACCTAATTCCGACCTCTGCTTATAACACACTACTGAGCTGCTTCCTCGCGGGCATGTTCGGTAGCGTGACGTCAGACGCTGAGGTACCTCGTGTAACTAAATTATTCTAGCGAGCGCAACTTCAAAGTCCCATAACTTTTTATTTATGTAAATATTTAAGAATTTTGATATAGTATTTTTATTATACTTATTCTTTCATTTTAAAATGAAAAAACAATAGTAATCTTCTTCATTGTTCGACTATGCATTCCATAGTAAAATTCAAGGGAATAACCACAGAATAAAGTCACAGGATGCATCTATAATTATTTAATTAGAATGTTCATAGAAAAGTCATTTCTTAAGAAAAAGAAAACAAGTTAGAAATTTGTAAGGCATTTTAATTTGGCAAAATTTAAAATTTACACTATGGTGAAACTGTTCTTACTTATAAATAACTTATTTATCTGAAATCATAATGAGTAGTCTTCAAAACCTGTAACTTATAATGAAAATTATTAAATAAATTTAAAAATGAATGTATCAGTAACTGGAATCTTATATCTTATTTTGAGGTAATGAATTCAAAAGAAAGATTTTTTTATGCAAATGAAAGAATTTTTTAAATTAAATATCTCTACCGATTTTGATGAAGAAATTGTGAAATATAATTAGTTCCTAAGAGATTCATATAAAAATTTCATGAGAATTGCATTAATAGTTCATTGTGAACTCAAAAAACTTGTAGGTATATACTCCACTTCTCACTAAAAATATGTACATACTTACAAAATTTGTTATCAAGAGGGTAAATCTGACTAAAAAAAACAAATAAAACATGGTCAGCCAAACTTACCCAAGTTCATTTTTAAAAAGAAATAGTACATCACATTTATCTTTCAATCAGTAAGTTTTAAACTTTGATTTGCATATTAGTTTTTACTTGGTTTCCTCTTGTAGTTGCCAGTTGTTGTTAATTTAAGAACGTTGTACAAGTTGTTCAGTTAATTGGACCAATATTGACAATAATATGACTAATATGTATATTTATAGGTGAATATAACCCCAAAAGACCGATGCCGTGTGATGCGGGCTGTGGTCTAGTTATACCTAAAGATGAATTAGCAGAACATAATTGCGTGCGGGAACTACGCGCTCTCATCGCGACGCAGCAGGGAAAACTCACTGACTACCAACAAGAGCTAGCCGAACAACGACTTATCATTAATGAACACAAACGGGAACTAGCATTATTGAAGGTAAATATATATGTAATGATATAGTACTAAATAAAACAATCTTTTCTTCACTTATCACAGCATTTGCTTATTTTTTTTAATCTTTATCATACGATCGGATCTGTATCTGTAGCAGATGGGTTGGGTTGTGTGCAAATCGTCAGCAGGTTTGTTCTCCCAATGATCTCTCAATCCAAATGTCCAAACAATTTATTTTAATAAGATATTTACTACATTCCCAACTACAAGATAAAATTTGTCTACCATTTTCTTGTCGTATTTGAACTTTTTTTTTAAAATTGTTTATAGTTAAAGTATTATTTTAAAAGTTTCTATCAGCCCTTTTACGTCTCCACTGCAGGAGCTCAGGCCTTCCTTATGGATGGTTAAGGAGGATGGTTCATGACCCTCCACGCTGGCCCAATGCGGATTGGAGGGTATTAACGACTGCAAATGCAGCCGGGACCAACGGCTTAACGTGCCTTCCGAAGCACGAAGTAGCTCGAGAAACTAATTTATTGGTCACCCATCCGTGACCGACCCTTGCGAAAGTTGTTTAACGACTACGATCGTGGGCCGCGGTGCTTATCCACTACGCCACCGAGCTACTCCTTTTTACTTACTACTTTTAAAAGTTTGATTAAACAATATTTAGCTAGTAGTATTGTATAATAATAATAGCCTTTTATTCAGACAGTAATAACATGATTACATAAAATAATTTAATAATGTTACTATGCATCGACATTTTGTCTGTGTGCCACTAATTGACAAAGGCCTCCCCCAACTGATGTCATTTCTCTCTATCGTTTGTTACTTTAGTTAATGTACCACCTGCTACGATCCTCATCTCAATATCATGATGTTAATAGAATCGTATGCTCTGTTTAAATTAGGAGTTTATGCGTGCAATGCGCGTATCGAATCCGACTATGCGCGCGCTAGCTGATCAGATGGAGCGCGAGGAGGTGGTCCGCTGGGCGGGGTCGTTATCGCGCGCGCGCGTCACTCGCTGGGGCGGTATGATATCCACACCGGACGATGTACTGCAGGTCGGTTCGCTCACCATCACCAATCTATTAATGTCCCCAACGTTGGGTGGGTCACGCGGGTCAGTGCGGATTGGTGGGTGTTAACTGCAGACGCAGCCGGGACCGACGGCTCAACGTGCTTCTTTGCTCTTTATACTATTAGCTTAGACAATGTGTAATCTATGGTAAAATAATTATTCATTGTAGTTTACAATTATTTTCATGTATCTGGGAAAGACTTTATATTTCCAGAACTCCTATTTTTAGTAATGACCAACACTAACATGACCATTTTACGATAACTGCACTTTATCAGTTCATTTTGTATTGTTTAATTTTTTTGTTATGTTTTTTACTGTAACAATCATCTGCTGTCAAGTAAGTTTGCAAAAAATAATTGACTTGTCTTGATTTGTAGATGATGATTAAAAGGAGTCTATCTGAATCGGGCTGCCCACCTCATATAATAGATGACCTTATGGAAAACTGTCATGAGAGAAGATGGCCCCCTGGCCTTTCATCGCTTGAAACCAGACAGAATAATAGAAGGTAATGGGTGTCCTTAAAGAAACCATTCAAATAAGATTCTTAGCGAGTCCTCTTTTACATTCACTATAATTTTCTTTATTCCCAGCTGTGAAATAAAAAAGTTTTTACCATTTATCATTACACACAATACTTAGAGACAGACTTTTATTGTTTTCTTTCTCACAGTAAATATTTGTCATATGAGTTTTATGTTAGGCTTATTACAGTAGATTTTGATATTGAATATATATAAATGTCGAATAATACCTCTGTAAATAATACGAACTAAAACTCACTTTAATTATGATAAACTCATTGAATGGATGTCTACTTGTCATATGCGATAGTATAAACAGGGAAAATAAATAAAAACATTGATATTAAATTTTGTTTTTCTTTAGATTATACGAGAAATACGTATGTAAAAGAGTGCCCGGTAAACAAGCAGTGCTGGTACTGCAGTGTGACAATACGCACGTTGACGAACATATGATGGTGGAGCCGGGTCTCGTCATGATATTCGCCCATGGGATAGAGTAGCAAATCGCCGTTTCAATAGCATTGGATTCTACAAAAAAACACACCGAGTCGCCGATTATTTGATTAGAGGCTGCCGAACTCTACTAAATCTGTTTGCAATTGTCACGCAGTGACAACGTGAAACGGAACGCAAATATGACACTGTACAAAATGAAATATGACGTCATTTTTGTTCGATTTTTATTGTAAATATTGATTTATGTTATTTATTTTGTTAGTGTGTTCAAAATTGTTTTCAATTGCCGCGACTCGACAAAAATGGCTATAGTAACAATGAAATAATAATCCGCTATGTAAAATGAGCATATAGCGAGGTTAATAGATTTATGGACCAATGATTTTTGTATAATTTATGGATGTTGTTTGATAAAAGAGTTGGAATATTTTAGATATTTGAAATGTTTGTTTATAGTATTAAATTGTATTGTATATTGGTTATTGTATAATTGGTTTGCTGAACATTCCTAAAATATGAAATTTTTAAAAAGTGACACTTTTGCCATGCCAGTATTGTCATTTTCAATAATGTCAGTGATTGAGTGCTGTGTTACGATAAAATTAGGGTACTTTTTTATACCTATGTATTTGTAAACGCTTTATATTTCCATTTTACGAATTATAATATCTGGCATCTAATATTTTGTTTGGTAGCTTCATTTTGATATGGCAAAATTGTATTCATTTTCGCTCAATCTCAATAATAAAATAATTAGTCATAATGAATTTTTAATACAATCAAAACTGGTTTTATTTCTGTGTAACACTCGAATGACTCTTATCATTAGGGACTTAATTAACTGTTATTATTATAACTTGGTTCTCTTAATATCATAGGTACATTGTTTGTTTATAGTAAGTACTCTTGTACCATCATTTTTTTTTGTTTTTCTTTTATCGGATCGAAAACAAATTTAAATATCTAAAAACTAGGGCGGTTTAAGTAAGTCTTCGTTACCTGAAGTATGGATATATTTAGGAAATGCAATCTCGCGAGATTGGGACGCGGGCGAAATTTCGCGAGTTTATGAATATCAATACCGCCAGATTGCGCCAGTTACGAGATCTCGCGAGATTGGCACTTTTGTGTTTACTTTTTTACTGTAATATTTATTCAACTCACAATATTTGAATAAATTATAAAAAAATATAGGTATTATGAAATAAACATTTTTTTAAGGGTATTTTCAAAAAAGTTTTATGTATTTAACATTGGTTGACGCAATTATATTTTTTTTTATCTAAAACCTTTAAAAAAGTAATTACTGTATTATAATCTCGGAAACGGTTCCAACAATTTTCATGACATTAAGTATGCAAGGGCTTTCAGAGGCGATAAATCAATTTAGTAGGTTTAATTTTTTATTTTATAAAAGTGCCTATTAAAGCTTAGTCATCCAGGTACTAATCTTTTAAGAAAGTAAACTTTGACGTATCTAATGAAATACAAAATGAAATAAAAAAGCAGTCTTCTCTGCTAATATCAAATTTAAAAAAGTTTTATTATAATACAGTTTTTATAACAAAAATAAAGCTCATTAACTAAGTTGAATTTACTATTTAACTGAGATTATTATTAATGAAAGAAAACTATGAGTCTATTAGAAATTAGAGAATAAATTAACTAAATATACCAATTTAAAGGCTTGTTCAGTTTATTTCATACGACATTATTACGAATAATTTTGAACGTAGCTTCTTAAGAAGCACAAAATGTCCAAAGAATCTATGCTATTCGTCTTATTATTGTGCTGGCCAAACCAGCCACCGAGAAGACCCTTTCGAAAACACAAGTACTGTAAAAGTGTAAAACTTCGCCTTTTAACCCCCCGGAATGGCATAAATTCGCGCTGCCGCACTTAGAATAAATCGAAAATTAGAAAATTTTATGCTCGAGTGGAATCTCGTTAAACTCGCGAGATCTAGCCCATTTTTCGACCGAGATCAATCTCGCTAAAAAAGTCCGAGATCTCGCGAGAAGGAGATTGCATTCCCTAGATATATTGCTTAAAAAAATACATACCTATTATTCTGTGGATAGAGCTTATAATCGGGAACTTCGGACAGTTGTCAGAATTAATCTGACTTCAGTTTAATGTAGGTCATAACATAAGCAGTGGTCGGAATTATAATTACACTGATTTCATACAGCGAAAGAATAAAGTGGATATGCCTCAAATCCCGAGATTAATTTTAAAGAGCAGAAAAAATCCCGTGATTTTTTAAATAAAAAGTTATTTACTTTAACACAATTTAAACTACTGCACGTTTTGTTATTATTATTTAGTTGTAAGATTGTTGGCCACACGGGATTGTCCATTAGAAATCCCGGGAAGGTCCACATTAATATCAACATTTCGATGCAAGTACATAAATAACTCTACCTAATTCCGACCTCTGGTCATAAGAAAAATAAAATAAAATAAAATTTTGTACATTTTTATTTGATTAATTAGTCCGCCTGATGATTATTTTTACTAATTAGTTTGATTTTGACAGCAGTTTAGTTTAGGCTCGGTAGGGGCAGGGGGGACAGAAGATGCGAAATCATGCAGATAATATATCACAGCGGGATATGTGTGGGGATACCTAAGGCGCGAATCTAGCGTTTGTCGAGTATTATTAAAAATCTGGACAAAATTAATAAGTAATCGGGATGCGGGACTACATTATTGAAATCGGGATTGTCGCGGGAAAAATAATTGTATTTGTCGAATATCTAAAAGAAAATATTGCAATAAAAGAAAACTATATGAATATGGCTGTACGGGCTAAATCAGTTTGCCTTCTCAGAGAAATACTAAATAAGCCGTCAAAAAGTCTGATGATTGTTTTTGGATTGTCATTGTGTTGAGTGTAAATTATCCATCTGGAATAAATAAACAACTGGGAAAACGAAGAAGATGTCCGAAATGGAAGTCACAGGTGGCAGTGATAACTGCTCCAATGATCTATGTAAGTTGGCAAAATTTTGATTTAACCAGTTACTAAAGAAGTGTTAACCTCTCAAATACAACCGGTTGTTTCTTAGCTGTTTTTAAAGATTTTGTTATGATTTTAGTACTTCTAGATCGCGTTTTCTTGAGACTCGGTAATGCTGACACGGACGACCAGCTCGAGAGCTGTCTTAATAGATTCCTGCCTCCTGTAATCCTAAAACTATCTTCACCCCATGAACAGGTTTGTTTGTTATTTTGTCTACTTTCTTTAACAGAAAATCCAGTGGCTTTGCTAAATGCCCAATTGTGTTATTACAAATCTATTTATAAAGAAAGTCATACATAAAATGTGTTTCTCAAGATCAATGTAAATTTCAGGTGCGCACGAAAGTGATGGAGTTACTGGTTCATGTCAATAAACGTGTTAAATGTCGTTCTGAAGTAAAGTTACCTGTTGAAACGTTATTGCAACTTTATCGAGATCCTTCTGCAAACAGTTTCATCATAGTAAGTTTTATAGTTTATCTTAAAATATTGCTTTTTTTTTAAATAAATAGTCTAATTAACTTATATCTTGTATTAAGTTATCAATTGATGTCAAGATAAATGACAATTGTTTTTATAATTCTTTCTATTCAAATTTTCTGTTTTCATATAACATTTTTAGGGGATTAATTTATTTTTTATTTCAGAATTTCTCTATAATCTACATTACTATGGGCTTCCCTCGTTTGCCTCATGAACAGCAGTTGACACTAACACCATCTTTGTTAGAAGCCATTGAAAATAAACCCCAAGGACATCAAGATGGGTAATTATGATAATTGCAATTTTTTTAACTAGAAAACCACTCTGAGCATGTTTTCAATAATTTAGGTTTTTTAATAGAAAGTGTTAATTGTAATAGTGAATGTTACTAGCTTTTATTTATTCACTATATTTTAAAAAAGAAGTAACCTTTGTCATTCTGAACTATATCTATTTAAACTTTATCATAATCTGCTTAGCAATTTGGTTATGTGAGTGTAACAAATAGACTTTTGTATTTATAATATTAATAAAAAAAATTGTAATGGTCATAATTAATGTATGTATGTTTTTTCCAGAATTTTAATGCTAGTCATGCCTTTGCTTGGTAAGATTAAAGAAACTGATTTGAATTTAAAAGAGAAGCCAAAGCTTTCATCATTGGTTTTGAAATTTGCAACTGATGTCCTGCTCTTACCATACAGGTATATCTTATTTCAATTATATCCCCGATATTGGGGAAGTTAATTGTATTTTGCAATTACAGACTGAAAAATAAGTCACATAATTGCACAAAAATATCTTGATTTTGAACAACAAAATAGGATGATTATCTCATTAAGATAAAAGTAGAGTTATTTGTTTGTGTATTATGTTACTTGAACACACCATGATGTGACAACACTTCTGCATTTATCAGATTAGTCATAAACATTTCCCTTTTTAAATGCAGATTCCTAGATTTTTTTGCCAGATTATTAGGTGTCCAGTTCTTGTCTGGTTAACATATTTTAATCCATTAAACAATAAAAATGTGTATTTTGTGTACACACAATTGCACGCCAGCTTACAACAACTTGTCAAATTTCTCCAATTGATTTAAAAATTCTTACAAACATTAAAGTTTAGAATCAACTAGAGGACGTATATGTTTAACTTGATATGTTGTTGACTGTACATGTCGATGATCATCATGAATATGGCTGATAGTGTTTGCGCAGGTGTAAAAAAAAAAAGGATATCATTTTAAAGCAAGAAAATATGTTTATTTATCTGACACAAACACAAGTGCTTTTATGAACAGATTTAACTACCCACAATTTACGCACAATTTGTCAATTGAATTGAACATAATAAAATAATAATATTTTAGAGCTTTACCGCATCCAGGAGAGAGTGATTTCCAAGTACCACCTGGTATGAGTATGAAAACATACAAGAGACTAGTGGATAAAAATCAACTGAATCCTAATCAGTTGGAGGAGGTAATTTTTTTTAATACATTTGCCATATAAACTTTTTAATAGGATTAAAAGTAAAAATAGAGTGTATGCACCAGTCTCATACCAGTTGTTAAAAGTTCTTCTCCAAACAGTCCTCTCCTACACCCCAAAGGAGTCCTCTCCTAGTGTTAGTTTTTAGTACTAAAGCCTTAGAAGGTCCTTGCAATGGATCAGGTTCATAGAATATACTCACTGAACCAAATTACCTTTAGAAATTACACCAATTCTAAAAGAAAGACTAGACTAGAAAAGTATTCTCATAATTATTTTAAATACAAAATGCTTAAAAAATCCACTTAAAAAAATCCCTGGCACCCTGAGATGGGATTTTTTAAGCATTTTGTATTAAGAATAATTTTCAGTGTGGCATTGTGAATGCAAAATTAATCAAAATATAAGTATTCTCATAATTTGTTAAAAGGTGATTGACTAATTAAAAAACTGATTTCGTTATTGACTGATGTATAAAATATTATTTATCAAGTTTGACGTCTGTTTTGTCTTAGGCAGTTATTTTCCATAATTATTGATTTCCCATTGATAAAAATTTGTTGTTTTGTTTGTATTTATTTCTGTTTGTGACGTAAATTTTATATATGTGATATGTTTGTAGATGAAGCTCTCTATAGTGAATTTCATAAGTAAAGACATTTTCAACAACAATGATATTCTCTTGACATTGATCGTTGCGGCCGCAGATTCACGGTTCAGTGTAGCGAACCACGCAAATAGTCCACTCATTCGGGTTAACAGGTAAGAAAAGTCATCAGGTTAATACAAAAAATAAATTTTAGTCTCAATCCATTCATAGTTGGTTCAAAATGAAATAAGAAATGTTTTTAAGAAAAATTTCAGAATTAATCTTAAGTACAGATACCATTGCTTACATTTATGGCCTATTTGCGTTTACACAATTCCGCCAATGTCACGTTTGTGGTCTTTACACGTAAAGAAACAATAATAAAATATTCGCTGCATAGTTGTTAAATCTGACATATTATTTCAGGAAAAGTTGTATTGCCTCCTTCGAATATCATACAAAGACATTGATCAACATCAATATAAATAATAAATAAAAATTTATGCTTTAAGCTACATTCTTATCTAAGAATTTAGGAGGCAATATATTTGATATTTTCTATTATTATCATTATACTTAGGGGGCGTCCATAAATTACGTGAGATGTTTAAGGGGGGGAGGGAGTCGAGTCAAATCTCATCTAATCTCACGTTGGAGAGAGGGGAGGTCTCGGCAAATATCACGCAATTTTTAAAATAAGGCTCGGTGCGGGGAATCCCTCATAGAGTGACAAGTCTAAGGTTAAGATCATTTACTAATTCGTTGGAAAGAAAATAATTTCATTCGTACTTTGACGTTATACATCACTCCTGATTGTCAAACCACTATACTCGTTTTATACCAAATAGCTCAATTTAATTTGAATTTACGGTACAATGTAGCCCGTCCTTTGTTTTCGCGCCACTGTCAGCTGAACGTGTGACTCGATGAATGAGAGCAATATTGATTACTAGTCTCTAACTAGTCGTAAATAAAAGTACGAAGCGAATTATATTTTTTTTCTTTTTATTAAAAAATCCAACGTGTTTAAATAAGAAACCCACTTTTTGAAAAATCTCACGTGAGATTTGGGGATGGGGGAGGGGATTGAATAAAATCTCACGACATCTCACCAGGGGGGGGGGGGGAGGGTCAGAAAATTTGAAAAAACACCTCACGTAATTTATGGACGCCCCCTTACTTAATACTCGTAACAATTATTTTTATAGACAGCATAGCAAAGTTTGATCGTGGAAATGGTGGATATGATCGTTTGTGTTTGTTTTAGTTCCGTGGATTGGTCACAGCCTGCTGTGGTGGCGCCACTGTATTCCCTCTATCTAGGCACCTGGGGAGGTTTGAAGGTACCACCAGATGATCGCAAGGTCAGTCAACGTATTAAAGTTCTAAATATGAACGCGAATGTGTACAATACATTATTAAAAATTCACTTAGACTATGCTCACTTTAGATGTGGATGCGTACGAATTTTATTCGTAACACGCACGAAAACATACACGATCCCAACTTCAGAAGTTGTACAGAATAGAATTTTAACAGAAATACGTACTTCGAAAATTTAAAATCGACGAAGAAGTATTAGATCATGTTAGCTTTTATAGATTCTAGAATATCAAGTGAGTTTCTTTTATTCATTCATGCGTAACCGAGAAAGAGTATGCGGTTAAAATATAAACATTTTATAGTGACAGGAATTAGTCGAAAATATTAAATATATCCTTTTACGTGTATTTTACGTACCTACGAAGCTGTCGTAGTATTCGAGTTGTAAGAGAATAGCTATGGAAAGTACAAATTGTTTTTCATCGCGCTTTAACCGATTTGACTTATCCAATATGAGCGTATAATTAATAATTACATATGAAAAAATACGCTAGAGAACTTTTTGTAAAAATTAGCAAGGGCTACCTTTTGTTTCAATTCGTTATTTATTTATTTTAAATTAAAAGTAGGGTTTAATGAAACATTGTCCCTTTTTAAAACAAAACTATCTATGCTAAAGTAGCCATATAAAGCACCACCTTAGACTAGTAATGACAAAGCAATAAAATGGATATTTATTTATTTATCTATCCTTCCTTATATTGCACCTACCACCCCCATACTATCCATTAAGACTTATTTTTCTCTCCATTGGTTGCCTGGAAGAAATTGCTACACAGCAATAAGGCCGCAATTTATGTTCTGTTTCTTGTTAATGTAATTTTCCTGTAACCTGTTATATATTGAGTGCAATAAAGTGTATTATTATTATTATTATTATTTACGTTTTAGGTTCCAGCTTGCACAAGATTAAGATTGAAGCTTATTCAATATTTAAACAAAGCTACTGGCCCAGCCATAATGTTCCCACATTGCGTGCAGGTATGAAATTTGATACTAAGTTTGAACATTTACTTTAAAGAAGGTAGGAGAAAAACTGTGCCGTATTGTTTTTTATTTATTTAAAACATTACAAACTACAAATTCATTGATTATATTGTTAATACTTAACACCGTAATATTCAGGCACTTTTAACACAGTTTTGTTCAAAATTATAAAAACATGAACAAAGACTTTTTTTATCATCTTATTATATTAAATTATAGCTTAAGTAACTCACGTATGTGCCTTCCCGTAGGTGAAATATATGGTCCGTAGGTGAATTATGTTATCAGCACTTCCGAAGATTACTCCGTTTTTATAATATAATATGTATATAATATAGTTTCCCTTTAGTCTCCCTAACCAGTTGCTACATCCAAGTAGGACCTTAATCACCTTTCGTTTCCCTTTAGTTTCCTTTTAGTCTTTCTTTAGTCTCCCTAACTAGTTGCTACGTCCAAGTAGGACCTAAATTACCTTTCGGTCATCCTATAAGTATAACAATTGTATTGAGTTAATAAATGTTTTTTTTAGGTTGTATTCTCGTCACTATTCGATCCGAATACGAATTCAAGACTCAGAAATATGGCGTTGGTGTTTTTATTGAACGTCATTAATGGGTAAAGTTAATTATAGTATACATGTTTTTTTTTTTCATTTATGTCGTTATATCGATGCTATTTATATTATTGTTGTGGTTTTAGTGGTGATAAGACACAATTAAAGAAAGTAGCGGCTGTTTTTTTGCAAGGTTTGTTGAAACTAATCCGATCAGAAGAACATGCAGAACACCAACCGAGAGCTTACATGTGCTTAGGTAAGTCAATTGCATTTCAATAGCAATTGGGTAAAAAAATAAACTCTATTTAGTCCGTAGGTCAGATAATAGGACTTGCTACGTAGAACTATGTAGAAAATGTACACAGGTGTGACTTTATGTGAAAAAATTAAATACGTGTTTAATAATCTGCTTGTTGGGCAGGCAAAAAAAATAGTTATCATCCATATTCCCTTGAATAGTTCTGTAACGTTTTATCACAGGTGCAATTAAGTTTTTTATTCGCCGCTGGGATGAGAAAGTTTAATCATGTGAAAGAATTAGAACTATTGTTGTCTACAATCGATTAAGTGATTTGATTTATTTCTAATAGTACAAATAAGTTTCTATGTTTATTGCCTTATTTAAATTTGGCACAAAGCTCAGGTCAACACATAAATACACCATTATTAGCTATACCTTAGAAATAATAGATCCTTGATCCATGTTATGTATATTCTGGCAGAAGTCTAGTTAACGATATATTATAATAGGTAGATTGGCTATGAAGTGTCCGGGCAGCATTGGCAATCAGCTGGGGCTGCTGGAAGAGCTAGTGAATAAGTTGCCTGCACCTGCTCCTGAACTCAACACCGCTCTCAGAGACGCCGTGCTGGAGATGGCGAGTGCCTTCAAGATCAAACCTGAAGGTAATTTTATCTCCAGCTGCAACTGCTGGAGGAGGTCGTGAATAGCAAACAATATGGAATAAACGCCCTGCAAGCGAATTCTGCTTATGTTGTCATCGCATCTCAATAGAATGTCAAATACTTGCAGTTTGCCTGTCACTATTGACGTGTGAGGAAGACTACTACTGCTGGGAATTTTGCAGCACATAATACAGATATTTTAAAATAACTATCGGCTTATTAGTCTCGTTTTGCGGAGTTTAGGAAGATAGCTTTTCCTCATCGATACAATAGCAAGTGCTTAGTCTGATACGTTTATCTGAGACTGCAGGCTGTTAATATTAAGCGTGTATTATTTGAAAATTATAAAATTTCGCAATCAGTCTCTGTCTTAATTTTTATTGTAAAGGTATAAAGTGCAATATTTTTATTTAGATAAGCCTTCGAGTGATACTGTTCAAGCCCAGGGACCGAGTACTTCGCAAAATGATGAGCCGAACCCATTCGACGAACCTCAAGCGTTGGCTTTGTTCGCGTTACTGGATCAGTGAGTTTTTTATTATATTACAGAAATCTAAATATCAGTGAAATTGAGACGCTTATACTGATATTTCACTGAAATCGACTTAGTAACTCTTATAACTATTAGGAATAAGGAAAAAAGTATTAACTTGGCCCTTTGATATGTTTATCTCTGTTGTTATAATATAATAAATTAAGTAATACCACATATAATGAACTACTGGTTGTTTATAGTGTGTTATGGTAAGAACTCAGATTAATATTAATATTTGTAGTCCGGTTTCTTTTATCGAAACGGAAAATACATAGCGATAAAGGTCGGTGCACATCTAACTGAAGATCCGTAGCGTATCATCGGTAGCGTCATTTCAGAACTGACGAATATTATATTACAATCAACTTTGTATAACCATCGGATGATCCGTCAATCTATCGAACATACATATATAAATGCGTCCGTCGATCCGCTCGATGGGTCTTCTGTTACCTATGCATCAACCCTAACTCGTATCTATAGTTAGGTAGAAGTAATTACTCGAGTATTCAAATATTTTGAAGTATAGACGAGAATTTGAATGGAGCCAGAACTGTTGATAGCGTATAATAGTATTCTAACTTTTGAGAGTCCATATTTCATTCAAATTCTTATTTATTTTTTAATAATATTTGCTTAAGTTATTACTTTTAATCAAGTTACTACCTGACTATAGGTACGAGTGTCAGAGTATCTACACTAATATTATAAAGAGGAAAACTTTGTTTGTATGTTTGTTTGTAATGAATAGGATCAAAAACTACTGGACCGATTTTAAAAACTCTTTCACCATTCGAAAGCTACATTATCCACATAGGCTATATCTCAGACCAAATAAAAAGTATAGACGGAGTTTTGCCTAACAGAAAAGTGAAGCCAACAAAACTACGCCTCGGCGTATTCGTACACAGTTTCACGCACACACACATAACGAAACTACGCCTTCCTTATCAGTCTTACTATCGACAGTGTACGGAACGTTTCGTTATAAAAAAAAAATCAAAAATTTCTTACTAAATACCGAATTGTGTAGTGAAAGGTTGTAAAAACCAATCCTCAAATAATAAAAAGCAGGATGGAATCACACATTTCACACGTAAGTATCGGAGAAAAATTACATTTTCAGTACTTTTAAAATAAAATTTAAGTTACTCCTTGGAACACAAAACCTCAGCCAAATATTACCATTGTTAAACGTTATTATTTACCCCAAAATCAAGAAACTTAAATTTTATAACGCGTTATTTCTAACAAAACACAAATTACGTTACGTATTTGTTTCTTGTTGTATGAAAACGATATTTAATAAATTTTGCATTCAAAATGCTACATAGAGGTGCAGATCACAGATATTGAAGTGTTAGAATAAGGAAGTAAAAAATAAAAAACGGGTTTAATTTTTTACTTCTTTATTTTTCCTAAACGGATTTGCATTAATTTTTAGATTTCCAAACCGACATCAAAATGTGAAAGAGAAGTGGATTTCAGTCATTCGTAATAATCGGAATGAACCTTCATTGTCGTCTTACTATACTTACTACGTCTTACTATATAGTCTTACTAATATATGGCCTCCAATAATAATTACCTACTCTTAAAGATTTCAGAATATCAAACAATACTATTATTCTTTTGTTAAAACAGCCAAAACCAACACATCACTCACAACAAATTGCAATATCTCCCTTATTTCTGGTAAAATATTAGCGTTGGTTAATATTATTGTTATCTTTAAGGTCCCAACTGCAGTATCAGACATATCATTTTTTGCTTCAAATTAGCCTTCTACTTCACATACCGTAAGTCAAACATATCGACTTGACCATATCGTTTGCAAAAATGACTGAGTCATTAAGTGTTCCTAAAAATCCTTAAAAATGAGAAATACCTCTACTTGAAAATAACGTCCACTAAAGAAATATTTTTGGATATCAACAACAATCCATTTAACTGATTGGACAAGAGACATTCCATTGTAAAATAACTTCTGAAGCATGAAATATAGTAGAAAAAATAAGCCGCCCTGGCTTTATTTACTTGTAAATGGTTTTTAATTTATACAAACACAAGTTTTATACATATACAGTAGTTTTATTATTGATACAACTTTTCTTTTTCAATATGCTGATATTGACAAACGAATTTACATTATATTATTAAATAACATAGCATTAACGTTAACTCTATAACGTTGTAACGTTAAGTTATTGGGGTGTTTTTAATGACTATGGTCACACTGGCACGCACACTACAATTGCTAAAAATCGGCTTCACTTTGTTGTTCAGCGAACTCCGTCTTTACTTTTTATTTGGTCTGAGGGCTATATTTTATTCTAGAAAAAAATAGGGTTACGTAGGATATTTGGGTTTTTCGGACATAATGTGTAAAAAATCAACCAGAAAAGTTACTTATTTTGCGTACTCAGCCTAAACTATAAAAGACAGAACCATAAAATGTTCTAATAAATTATAGATCTTATAAATATCCACAAAAAAGTCCGAGACACACTATACCTATCTATGTCGAGTGAGGCACAACAACCATTTTTTTATTTAAAAATCTTGATTTTTTTTGGATCACATTTAAACGCGTTTATTTTACTCATGCTATTATTCCTTATCAAAATAATCTCATCACTAAGTACAGTTTATGTAGATAATATTTGGTGTTTGAATGATTAAAATTGGACGATAGGTTTTAAAGTTATGGCGAAATAAAAATATTACTATTTCTGCTGATCGGTCCGTTGGAAAGTGGACGTCCCCAAGGCGGGGGTGCGCGTTCGGGGGGGGGGGGGCGAAGCCGCTGTCGGAAAGCTAGTATGATATAACACATGAATACTTATAGTATTTTGTCGTCAGTTACATGCACAGCGAGGAGGTGATGGTTCGTTACATCGCGATGAGATACGCGGCGGTTGTGTTTCCCGCGCATTACGTCCCTTCGCGTTACCTCTTACTACTGGCCAGCGGAGACAGGTCAGTATTTATTTTATTTCTATAGTCAGAAGGTAAAAATAAACCTTACCTTTAAATTAAATAGAAAATATCAAATATTTAACAGCTGCAAACGCATTCTATCTGAAAAAGAGTGGGATATCCGCTCTCATTCAGGGCTACCGTTTTTTTATCCACTAAATGGCGTAACTGTCTTGGTCCATTTAAAGTTTGTTTACTTTCATAGCGTGAACTTAAATCATTTATAAATGAACCATTTATTTAGAAATGCGCATAGCTTACCGACATAGTATATTTTACATTTTGAAAACTTCAATTAGTATATTTGATAATTTTGCAGAGCGCCTCTAGTGTCTAATTCAAATGTTTTTGCCCCTGTTATGAGACACTAGTGTTATTGTAATGAAAAATATGAAACGCAATGTAACTGTTTCCACAGTCAAGACGATATATCGACGGAAGCGTTAAAATATCTATACGGTACATCTCGTCCCAACGAAATAGAGGACGTTGTGAACAACGTGTCCAAGAAAGAGGCGGCGGTAGTCAATTTAGATGAGGATTCCTCTAAGAAGGAAAGAGACGACAAACAGGAAACTGAAGAATTAAAAGTACCTAAGTTTACCGAGGTGGTGAGCTACGTATGGGAACAGATGCAGAAACGAAAGACTGGATCGAACGCTAAACATAGGTTCGTGATCGGTAACCAGGTGTTGCAGTTTCATCCTCAAACCTATCAGGAGGTATTTTTGATATATAAGTGATATATTTTATTTTTCAATTATCTGTACTGAGTTAAGATTTAAAGGATCAGGGTAAAATTTTTCCTGGATCTGTAATGCGAATCTGGGGTTTTGAACAATTTACTACACTTGTTTTTTTTAGATGGCTAGCTGTTTAGGAATCTTTAAGACAATTGCCAACATAATTTTCAGAGTTCCGTACCCAAAGGGTAAAAAGAGAACCCTATTACTAAGACTTCGCTGTCTGTCTGTCTGTCATCAGGCTGTATCTCATGAATCGTGAAAGCTTCAACATATATAAAAAACCAGAAAAAAATAAACATTCAAGGGGGCTCCCATTCCCGGTATTTATGCGCGGGTCCGACTTGCGCTTGGTTGGATTTTATGTTTTAGACATATAAGGCATGTAAATTAGGGTACATAAAAAAAATCGATTTGTCCATTCTGATACTACGTCATTCGTAAGCCATCACCCCACCATGTGTCGGGTGACGGGGTGTTGGCGAAGTTCGCCATGAAAACAAAATTTAATTTTTTTTTATGGAAAAGCTGTATATATTGTAATTGTAATATTTTTCTAAATTATATCAATATGTTCAATTACATAATGAAATTTTATAAACGTAATCGTTAATCAGTTATTGTCTTTTGAACCAGTTCTGTATTTTACTTTTATACAGAAAACCATATTGTTGCAAACGTATTAAGTAATGTATTATAAGCAGAGGTCGGAATTAGGTAGAGTTATTTATGTACTTGCATCGAAATGTTGATATTAATGTGGACCTTCGTGGCAACATCGCGCGTATTGGTATTTTGCAACTTTGGACATCCGATGTCATTGATGTAAATTTGACAACGTCGTGCGTGCAGTAGTTTAAATTGTGTAAAAGCAAATAACTTTTTATTTAAAAAATCACGGGATTTTTTCTGCTCTTTAAAATTAATCTCGGGATTTGAGGCATATCCACTTTATTCTTTCGCTGTATGAAATCAGTGTTAGTACATGAATAACTCTACCTAATTCCGACCACTGATTATAAATGACGATTGCAATGAGGAAGTATAAAAAAAAGTTCTCGAAATCAAACTAGATGTCGCTACGTTACTTTCTTGATTTTTCCATGACAATCCTTTCGGTTTTCTTTCATATATAAAAGTAAATTAGTATTCAAAACTCAATAAACAATTCATATTTTTTTCGTATTTGTATTGATATCTGAGTTTTGATTTTTACAAATTTCTTCTTTTTAATGTCTTAGTTAAAAGGAACGGATATTATTATCTTTAGTCCATTTGTTTCCTGCAAGGATCTACTTTTGCTAGAGTCGCCATCTAGAGGAGGTGCTTTTTAGTGTTTTCTTTTTTTTTTAATACTTCCTCAATGTCCGATTATTAATAGTTATGTTTTAACTTTAGACTTTAAACTGTGTGTTATTTTTAGATACTAAGGTATATGCGGATGTGTTTGAATCGTGACGCCGGCTTAAAAGATTGTTCCAACCATCCGAATGCGACCTCGCCTCAGTTGGCCAAGTATTTCTATGATAAATTGCTGGATACTGAGGTTCTGGAGCGATATCTAACTATGATAACTACTTTACTCAACGCTCGCCCAGGTAAACAACGATATTTAATTTTGATTTTTGGTAAGCTTTGTTATCTATCTGTATCCTCATCATCAGCCCTTTTTACGTCCCCACAGCAAGGGGTCAGATCTTCCTTATGAATGGTTAAGGAGGATGGGCCATGAACCGCTGGCCCAATGCGGATTGGAGGGTATTAACGTCTGCAAATGCGTGCCTTGCCGTACCCGTTAATAATAAATGGGGTAATAGAACCTACCACGCACGGCCACTATGGATTAATGGGGGTTAACAGCTACAGATGCAACCGGGACCATCGGTTTAACGTGCTTTCCGAAGCACGGAGGAGTAAATTTTTGTTTGCCCATCCTAGTAGCTCTACTCCTGCACGGTAGACTGATCTAGATCCCTTGTGGGGCAGGTAGAGACAAACAAGTGGCGATTTGTTGGTGTACAAATTGTACTATATTGCATTTAAAATACTCTTTGATGTAACTATGACACAAACGTAAATAGAAGAACATTGAGTTTTATTTATAAAGTGGAAGAGAAAATATAAAAGAAAAATAATTTTCAGATGTGATGCCATTAACATGCTTCCTAGATATTGTCGGCTGTGTGCCTGAAAAGATGGCGTCGAAATACACAAATCTTCTATCATTCCTTAAGAATTTATTTACGACCAGCACAAAGGAGGAAATGAGGGAGAACGCCGCTGTTGTTTACGCAATAATAACTGTCAGCACGAGTGATAAGTCCACTGTTGAGAAAGAGATAAAAGAGTTCGTGGAACAAGGACGGAATAATAAGAATCTCGAGAGCCAGTGCGGTTATTTGTCGGCGCTTGCGCATATGTGCGAAAGATGTATAGTTTATTCGAAGAGGGGCAAGTTTGGGGGGAAAGGTTTTAGTGCGGCCAATTGGGAGCCATTTAAAGAAGGTGTTATAGTTTTAGGTAAGTGATTTTTTTTTTATATTTTCACTTACAACATTACCAATTTTTTACTGCCGTATTTTCCTATGGAATAAGACACACACTATTAAGTTATACATACAATTTTCAACCTTGTAAATGGACTCTACATGCTTATTATTTCTTGTTTACTATCCATTAATATGTAAGAAAGAGGTTATTCTAGTGACACAGTTTTATCCGTTTACTATTTTTTGGAACTATCATTGATTACTCTAATATTTTTTTTTTCAGCTAATTTACTTATAAGTCCACTAACTTTACTAGTCAGTACTTCCGTTACTGCCATATCTCTACTGGCCCGCTGCTCAGGGATGCCAGTGCCAGATTATACAACGAAACAGAACGCACAATTACAAAGCGATAATCCGTTCAACATAAATAAAAGCGACGCGAATATAGACTCTGAAGATGAGATCACAAAGTTCACAATCGCAGATAGACTGTTCAGGATCGTTGGTAACGCAAAACTTCCATCGAAAGTCAAAGAGAGGTCGCTTTATACTCTTGGGCTGTTGTGCTGCGGAGAAAGGTTGACATTCGCTAAACAAATTGTCATGGGGTTCTTGCAGATGGCTAAAGATGTAAGAAGTTATTTCATTATGACTTGATTATGTCTAAAAACAATGATTTACTAACTTTTAGTTCTCTTTCAGAGTAAAGAGTTTGAAATTCACCTACAAATAGGAGAATCTTTAGTGCTATGTGTGGAGGGTGTTAACTCCAACGAAAATCGAGATCTATGGACAGAGTTGCCCAAAGAAGTAAGTCAAAATTCAGCTTGATTAATTTTTTTCAAATTCATATATGCATTACTTTTATCTAATATAAATATTTCTAGTTTGTCTATTTAAATTTATTTTTTTTTCAAATCATCCTTGACAATTGTATGTCTAATTGATTTTAAGTCTTAAAACTTTGAAGATTACATTCAATATCGAACGCGAAATGTTCGACTTTTTTTGACTCTTATACTAAAATAATAATTCTATAAAGTTAATTATAGTTACATTTTGCTTTATTAAATATTTCAATCAGGCAAATTTAACGCTTACAAATCAGCATCGTATAATTATTCTAACCCGATCCGTAAATATAGGGAGACGCAAAAATTAAAGATCAAGATGTGCTGAAGGAAAATGACAAGTTATTAGAATGGCTTTTGGAAGAACTTGTCAAGATCGGTAGACATCCACATCCACATTCCAGACAAGTAAGTGAAATTGAACTCTATAATTATTGTAGGATTAGTACAGTTAATTGCATTGAGGAAGTATTTAAATAAAAACATTAGTTCGCGAAATCAAACTAGATGGCGCTACGGTACGTCTTGGTTTCTCCATGACAACCCTTCCGGTTTTCTTTCATGTTTAAAAGTAAATTAGTTTTCAAAACTCGATAAACAACTCATATTCTATTTGTACTTGTTCGTTTTGTATTGATGTCTAAGTTTCGAACTTTTCAAATTTCAGTTTTTTAATATGTTAGTTAAAAGCAACGGAAATGACTGTCTTTGGTCCATTCGTTTCCTGCAAAAATCAGCTTTTGCTAGAGTCGCCATCTAGTTTTTTAGTGCTTTCGTTTTTTTTAATACTTCCTCATTAGCTTACTGATGTGCTAAAGGCTAAAAGAAACGTGACAAATATTGACCAATCAGAATGATTCAAGTAGCGCGTCATTGAACAATCCGCGCATCTGACCGCGAGTGTGACTGAAAAGGAAACCTTATGGTGATGAAAACAAGACTGATTACATAAATTTTGAGTCATACGTTCAGTCACAATCAAACGAAAATTCACGTATCGATAGAGTTATAATTATGCAATATAATATGGGTTTCGTTTACGGCACGTGGCAGATAGCGCACTGTTTTGACACGGGTTCATTTATTTATCTATATCAACGCATACTCACTAGTATTTATTGTTGTTTTCGTAACTTTTATAGGCTGAAAAAGCTCTTTAATTCATTAAGAAATAACCACAATTTTCGTACTGGGTGACAAACATGCTTCATTACCGGATACAGCTTCTTTTTTATTAAGCAATCCATTGTAATTACAGGCAACTAGCATATGGTTGTTAGCATTACTAAAGAATTGTCCAGAGCGTGAACCAATTAAGACCAAGCTACAGTCTTTGCAAAATGTTTTCATGGACTATCTGTCGGAGAATAGCGGTAAGGTTTCTTTTCAATAATGTCAAGATTTTTCTATCAATTACTATTTGCATTCTTGTTTTGTGTTATCAAAGTTCATATTTGTTTACAGAGATTGTGCAAGACGTGGCGAGTAAAGGTCTCAGTTTGGTGTATCAGAATTCGGATGAAAGTCAGAAGCAGGCTCTAGTTGGGCAAATCATTGAGCAATTGACTAGTGGCAAGCGGGCGGTAGCCCAGGTCACCGAAGATACGAAGGTGTTCGAAGAAGGACAGTTGGGGAAAGCCCCTACTGGGTTAGTGTTTTTAATTATATAGGTGGTCGCTCAATAGTTGGAATACGCCAAATAAACGTAACGAGGTACTACGGAAAAAGGACTTAAAAAAATCTAAAAATTATTCAAACTTATTTTTCTTTTTATAACTCCCTTCATACAGGGCAATTTTATCTTGCTATATTCCATAAGAACTGCGATTCTACGCAGATGAATTCGTGCGTTGTTTTCTGATGATTATTTGAAAGTTTTTTGTTTATTATAAAGTGAAACTTCTTGCGCACTTTGAAAAAAATTTGGAAAATTGAAAGAAGTTGTATTAGTTGCCTTTTGATTTCATTTTGAGGTGTATTCGGCTAGATTTAACCAAGAGCGTTTTTCTTTTGGTATAATATTTATCTATTTTGCGTAATGATTTAGTGTTTGATTACAGAGGGAATCTCTCCACTTACAAGGAACTGTGCTCGTTAGCTTCAGATCTGAATCAGCCAGACTTGTTATATAAGTTTATGCATCTCGCACATCACAACTCTATGTGGAATTCTAAAAAAGGTATTATTAATATCTAAGAAAACTACTCAAAGTTATTATTTTTACATAAAGATAAGTGCTGACAGTCTCGTAAATTCAATGGGCTTTCAGTGGTTTGAAATGGGCATTATAGTGGATAGTAGATTGCATAAAATAAAAGAGAAAGTTTGAGCGAGAAAGTTGGTGGGATTTTATGGCGAAACCACATTAAATAAGATTTTTTGTTATGGCCAGTTCAGGTGATAGCCTTTTTGACGCCGTTCCTCTATAATACATTTTTGACGAGCATCTACTAGAATGTTTGTTAAAAAGTTTGTAGCACTAATTAAAAGACCAAGGGTTCGTTGCACCAACTTAATTTAACAATAATCATAATATTTTGACAGAAACCTTAACTGAGTTATTTCCGATTTCGAGCCCCATCAAGAATCCCGCGTAGTCGTATCACACCTCTATGTCCTCCCTTAAGAAAAACAGTATTGGGTTTAAATTCGCCGGTGGTCAGACTTTCTAAAACTTTTAATTCCTGTAGCGATTTACTTGATTTACATTTTGACTCTTACTCCACATACCACAAAAATGTTCTAGATTTTCTAAAATATAATAGCAAATAAAATTAGTATTGTTCACCTCATATAATAATAAACATATTTCATGTATGACAAGAGGATATATATGTGTATGTGTGTGTATGTATGTATATATATATATATATATGTGTATGTGTATGTATGTGTATGTGTATGTATTTATATGGCTTATTACGTATGTGATAATATATTTTGAACATATAAGTCTGTAATGAATAACTAAATAGATATTGTAAGCTCATTATGCATGCGGAGCTAACCTTTAAGTGCCTGTTGCAATAAGTCGGAAAAAAATAAGAATTAATGTTATCAATAGTATGTATCATTGTAAACAGATGTTGGTTAGTCAAATAAATAAATAAATAAATAAATAAATAACTGCAATCATATGCATGTCAGCCTCTGACTATTGTTAAAACTCATGCTTAACGAAATAAACATTTTTCATTTTCATTTTCAATTATGGTGCAACCGAGCCTAAGGTTAGATTGCATCATAATTGCAGATTTATGTCAAATTTGACTTTATCTGTCACGCTGACTTTAACATTGACTGTGATATGCGTTGCAACATCCTCTTTCTTGGCATAGTAAAACAATAACTTTAACCAGCGAAACTTAGGCGGTTCTAGTTTACAGTTAATGTTATGACGTCATCCAACCATTGTCAAATGATAACTCATTGTTATTTGCTTAACCGGTACTTTAATGTTTTTATTATCGTTAAATTAAACTGGTGCAACCAACCCCTTAAAATATTTAATTTGTTACAATCTATCAGCACTTTAAGGAACACCAATTCCTATATATTTTTTTGTTTCACCTAATAATCTATGCTCTAGTATATAAGGCATAGTGCCTTATTGCAATTAGACAAAGTCCAGTTTTGATTACCATACGTTATGTTGTTAGGTGCGGCATTCGGTTTCCACTCGATCGCTCTGCAGGCGGGCGCGCAGTTATCTGAACATTTGCCTCGCATTGTACCGAGATTGTATCGGTACAGGTTCGATCCTACGCCGCGTATACAGAACTCTATGGCGAGCATATGGCACGCCATAGTTCCTAACACGCAAGCTACGGTAAGTACTTGTTGGAAATGGGTGTTCAGTTCTAAATAACATTTAGTTTTATTCCAATTTATTAGTTCTAATTGATGAGTTATAGAATTGGTTTATATTGTAATTGGTATTACTTTAAAGGGATCGGTACAGTTAGCATGAAAATCACAAATAAGGGTTCAATACAAATCTGATTTTTCGTAATAAAAAATTATATTTTTTTCCCCTCTTATTAGGTTAAGCATTTTCCGCAAAGGTTGTATCGGATGTGTGACAAAAAATTTACACATTAAGTCGTTAGTCCCGAACTTCTGCAGTCGTAAATGGGTGATGAATTATGACCCATTTTTTTACATGTCAATTATTAATATTGTGGAAATCAATAAATTGATAACGATGATATAACACGAATAACGAAATTTAAAATGAGATTTCCTTATAAATCCTAATCTTAGTTTTATTTTTAGGTACACAAATACCACAAAGAAATATTAGATGATTTAGTGGCCAATTTGACATCGAACCAATGGCGCGTCAGAATGTCGTGCTGTAACGCGCTCGCTGATTTGTTACGGTTAGTAGCCAGTTATATAACATTATACTACTCGTACAAATTAATATGACACTTGGCTCAAAACTTATTTCGTTACTTCGTTATACGTTACGTGTCTTTGTGATTTCGCAATTTAAAGTTATTAAAAAAAAAACTTAATATTCAAATATAATAATTAGTGTTATTCTCTTGCTATTGGTTATTTTTATCGGATTATTGTTAGGATTTGAGGTTTTACTTTTGACTGTAGAGTTTTTATGTTAGATATTAATATTCTTAATGAAAAATAAGCATTTTTCATTAAGCACCCTGGCATTCTGAGATGGGAGTGGATTTTTAAGTATTTTTCAGTATAGCATTGTGAATGTAAAACTGATAAAATGTAATAATATATTATTAAGTTCGAAATACAACTTTTTTTCACGTTGTCCTTTGCACAAATGTCATACTAGCTAGGTGTCATGTTAATTTGTACGAATAAAAAATCTGCAGATTTTTTGCCGTTGTTAATCCCTCTTTTACTCTGTTGTAATGTAGTAACTTAATTTTTATGTTAAAAAATGATTGTATCCTTATCAGTGGGGCACAGAGTCTACATTCGTCTCTAGAACAATTACCTACGTTATGGACTCAACTGTTTCGAGTTATGGACGACGTACACGAAGGCACTAGACAAGCCGCTACCTCTACTGCCAACGTGCTCTCTAAGGTACTGTAAGATTACATTAGACAATTTGGAATTTATTTTTGGATGTGTTTATTATTAACTAGATATTTTAATATTCCTAATAATAAAATCATAAGATTTATTATATGCCTATAAATAATTGATTGGTTTGGAGCGAAGGCGCTTTCTCGGTCATGCCCTTGTGATGTTTACGAGCGTGACCAAGACTTCAATAGACAGACGTCACAGTCTATACTCCATTCATTATAACATTAGAAAAAAGAGGATCTCAGAAGCAGAGGTGCAGAACATTATATTTACAAAATAAATTAAAAAATATTTATAATAGTTTTGTTGAAATTTTGAACTATAGGTAGTCTGAAAGAGTTGGGCAATTTTACATTTTCTCGGGGTTGAGATGAGACTAGCATTTACTAAATTCATCTTTTACTGAGAGCCAACATGGAAATAAAACTATCTATCTGTTGTTTTGATTGATTCTAATTGTAAGTGAATATAATTAGAATATAATTTAGTTATATCTATGTCCAGAAAATAAAGATAAAAAAATGAAATTTTTATTATTACTGTTATAACATTTATTCAGATATTATTAGACTATTGATTATGACTTTGGAAAAACTTGCTGAAATGTCAAAGGTAATTGTTGTAGGTAACTCGGGCCGGCACCTGAATCGCAATTTAGCAAAACTTAACAACAAAACAAAACTATAAGAAAACAACAATAAAATAGTAATTACTCAATCACCGAAAATGGCAAAACAACAAGAAAGGCAGTTGCATTCACAATGAATGACAATCCCAGATTACGTATTTTGACTATTATGAATAAATCATTATCTGACAAAATTAAAAAGCTGTACTGCCGAAACGTTTGAAGGGATTAGGCAACGTTTTTAATTTGGTAGAGTTATAGTGACATGAGAATCGTGCCGAAACTATCTAACCCTGCTTCTTTAGGTTCTTTAAGGTGAACACTTTTTATTGTAATAATTATTAAATGTTTTAAGTCAGTCAAATACTCATAAATTTGTTTAATATATAGCTTAAAAAGACAACGGTTAAGTAAAGCAGCTGATATGTAAGTGGATATGTAGCAAATTAGCCGTTAGTCTTAAAAGTAACATGATTGTTGACAGTTTGACAAAAAGTATACCATAAAAATAACCTTATTTTCATTCTGTCTAATGCTATAATGAATGGTGTATAGTATATGTTTATGCCTGTCTAAACGTTGATATCTCAATATATTATTGAAATATTGGTTCTTGCAAATTGTATTGATTAGTCCTTGGTTTATTTTCCTTATCATGAAGATTTTTAATTCCGATTGTACTCTCAGTTCTCCATGTGCATTTGGTTACAAGAGCGTTGAATGGCAAGTCATATTGAATGGCATAAAAATCAGTTGAAGTATCATAAAAAATTGATACTAAATTTTGTACCAGCTTTAAACGATTATCCGACCAAAATAAGTCGACACGTCTGAATTTGACCTTTCCTCTTTTGTCATTTTCAATTTGCTTTAGACGGTCAATGGTTTAAACAAAGCATTAACTTTAGTTCTCGATTTATGATGAAACAGTATATGTGTATTTAGAAAAAGGATTATGCCTATTTTGTATATAACGTATATTACGTATTCGAGTAGCTCGGTGGCGTAGTGGATAAGCGCCGCGGCCCGTGATCGTAGTCGTTAAGCAACTTTCGCAAGGGTCGGTCACGGGATGGGTCACCAAAAAATTATTATCTCGAGCTACTCCGTGCTTCGGAAGGCACGTTAAGCCGTTGGTCCCGACTGCATTTGCAGTCGTTAATACCCTCCAATCCGCATTGGGCCAGCGTGGAGGGTCATGGCCCATCCTCCTTAACCATCCATAAGGAAGGCCTGAGCCCCTGCAGTGGGGACGTAAAAGGGCTGATGATGATGATGTCTGAATTCGACCTTTCGTCTTCTGTCATTTTCAATTTGCTTTATACAGTCAATGGTTTAAACAAAGTATTAACTTTAGTTCTCGATTTATAATGAAACAGTATATGTGTCTTTAGAAAAAGGATTATGCCTATTTTGTATATTACGTATTTGCAGCTTTGTATCCGGGCAGCGGACGCGAATCAAGGTAAAGACGGCAAGGAGGTCGTCGCTGTTATATTACCAGTTCTATTGGAGACCGGCATCACTAATGTCGTGAAGGAAGTCCGTAGTGTCAGGTCAGTGAAAGATCGTTGATATATTTTTTTGTTTATCGATTTCTCTGAATTGTGTGATTTTATCTTTAATTTTATTTCAATAATACTCGTAATTTGATTCCGCACCAAAAAATCATGCCTGTTGTATAAGAGCTCCCCCTAAATGTTTGTTTTATTTTAATGATTTAATTTTTTTAAGTGAATGCTGAATATTGCCGTTATCAATGTTGAGTAAAAACGAGCAATAAAAAAACACATTTGTATCATTCTTCGTTCGTTTTACCCTTAAGGTAGAAATAAGTAAAAAAAAAAAAAATTATATAAAAGGAGGCTGTTATATGCATAAAAGCCTCTATTTATTTATTTATTACTTGATGGACTGATGTATATAGGGGGACTTAATGCCTTAGACATTCTCTCTTAATAATCTTTATTCAAAGAGACTTCTTAAAAGTACTTTTAAAACGTGCAATTTTTTCCCCTACCACTCGTTCAGAACATCTTTTGGCTGATAAGAGGAACGAGCACGAAACTCACCAGCTCTAATAGGAGTAAGGGGCCGTCCATAAATTACGTCAATTTAAATTTAGCCCCCCCCCCCTCTTGTCACCTATTTATCTATATACCTATCTCCCTCTTAAAATGTGACGTAATTTATGGATGACCCCTAATGACATTCACAAAAACTGCCATTATCAGATAAATCTACCTGTTAATTATAAAGTCACGCAAATTTTTAATGTTGATGTTGTAACCATTGAATTGCACCCATCACCGTTTACAAACGGTGTCGAAGCTTGTCACCGCGGCGGACCCCCCCCACTCCTAAAGTATGACGTGATTTATGGATGATCCCTTAGGACATTCACAAAAACTATACCATTATTAGATAAATCTACCTGTCCATTATAATAAAGTCATGCAAATTTTCAATGTCGATGTTGTCGATCGGTGCAGTTTACAAACGGTGTCGAAGCTTGTCACCGCGGCGGGCGAGACGCTGAAGCCGTTCCTCAGTCGGTTAGTGCCGGCACTGGCGAGCGCGGCCGGCGAGCTAGAGTCGGCGCGCCTGTCCTACCTGAGCACGGCGCTCGCTGCGGACGCGACCACGCGCGACATGCTCGACGACATGCGCGCCACCGCCGCCCGCCACCACTACACCACCGACACCGTCGTCAAGGTGACGCATCACTACGTAGTACAGGGCGCATCTGTAGCGCGGCCGGCGACCTGGAGACGGCGCGCTTGTCCTACTTGAGCACGGTGGATGCGGCCACGCGCGACATGCTCGGTGATATGTTCGACGACATGCGCGCCACCACTACACCACCGACACCGTAGTCAAGGTGACGCTTCTTCGTCTTCTTCAACGGGCGTCTCCGCTACTTGACGGACCAAATTTCGCTTATTTTGCGTGTGGAGGGTGTGTGGCCTAATTCAGCCAGCCCAGCACCGTCACATCTGCGATCGCCTACTGGAGGTTACCCGGCTAGCCGAGGTGCTTTGCCCGATAGTCGTCCACTCCGTTGCATTCCAGCAGAACATGAATAGCTGTTTCTTCCGCCTCCATGCATGCAAAGGTGCCTGTTAATGTTGCCATGACCAGTAATAGCACCCGTTACTAGGCGCAACTATGGTTTACCTAGCTGTACAAGGGCTTTAGAGCTGATACGCATCACTACATAGCGTAGGGCCCATCTGTAGCGCGGCCGGTGAGCTGGAGTCGGCGCATCTGTCGTACTCGAGCACGGCACTACATAGTATAGGAGACAGCCATCATTACTACTATTCGTACGAATAGGGGTGTAGACAACTTTTTTATATCTTTATTTTATAGATGTATATCAAATATGTCTAAAAAATATGGTTAATATCTAAAAAACTATTAATTTTTAAAATTTCCCGCGTAAACGCTACTTCTGCCTTGGCGTCGCTATGACGTTACGGCACTCGAGTAACGAATGTCGTTCTATATATGGATAAGGTCGAATTCTCTAAGTTCTGGTAGGAGTGAGAGGGTCGTAACGTCACGCGCTGTTTGCGGTCAAGTCAAAGTCGAAATTCTAGAGGCCCGTGGACCAAAAAGGCTAAGAACCGTTACACTACGTTTCCACTATCTATACTCGTACAAATGCGTAATAAAAAATGGTTTGTAAATATAAATGTAAATCCGCCAGTGTATGCCGTACATCGATATAGAAGTGATGAAGGAGATGTTGCCGAGTATCTTGGAGCTCATGAAGTCGCCTCAGTTGGGTACTAAAGTTGCCTGCTGCCACTTCATAGTGCTCGCCGCTCATTACCTCCGCGCTGATCTGGAACCTGTCGCGGGCAAAATCATGTCCAATCTACTGAACGGCACATTTGATAGAAACGCTACTGTAAGGAAGAACTACGCGGAGGCTTTGGGACAAGTCTCTGCATATGCTAAGGTAAGCCTAGGATAATTTATTGGAACCTTCACTACATTTTATTTAATTCTTTATATATAATTGTGTGGTCGATAGTATGTCTGATAGCTAAAATAGATCGCATTTCACATTCTCTGAGAATTCATCATTCTAGGGGCAGGGGTCGTCAACTTTTTGGAGCTGGAAGAGCCACAATCTGCAATGTACAAAATTTTACAGTTTTCAAATAGCCACAGAATGTCTATTTTATTTATTTTAAACTAGCTTTCAATGACTTTGCCCGTGTGGTTCTGTATTATACATATAAACCTTCCTCTTAAATCACTTTGTATATTGATTTTTATTAATTACTTCAAGACGTATTTTCACTGTCAAGAAGAATGAACCCAAGAAATTTATCAGCTCTTAACAAAAGTAACGCCATTTACATAAACTTTTGTCGTTAAAAGTAATTTTCAGTTCTTAGTGTACATACATACAGCTAGAAGCAGCTAGCTATGTTTTATTCTATGTATACGACTTTGAATATTTATCTTTCAGGCATAGTTACTACTTCTCAATCTTATTAATCAACTGTGGATAGAATACACTATTTAAAGAGTTTTGACAGTAAAAATTTTTGGTAAATGGACTTTGAGTATCGTTACTTTATCGAAAAAGCCGCATGCGACTTGCGTGCCGCAGGTTGCTTACCCCTGTTCTAGGGTATTAACAAGTGAAATAAATTACAATGCGACTTAGTAACGATATAGTAATTAACGCTATCTACTTCAATCGAATATTCCGGTTTCACGTTTTGGTAACTTGGTTACCAAAACATGAGACCGGATTTATATTTCCATATTAACTGTTATAAAACCCCGAATCAGAATAAAAGGGTTAAATATATTTTATTACGATCATTATTGCTTTAGAATAAAGTCTATGTAAATATTATTCAACATTATTTCGTTTTCGCCTTGAAAATAATTATTAAAAAGTGCAAAAAGATATGCGGTCACTTCAAAATATGCAAACTCCATACTCCATTTATGATCTCGAGTTTCTCCGTGCTAGGCACGTTCAGCTGTTGGTGCCGGTTGCATCTGCAGTTCGTCATCATCAGCCCTTTTACGTCTCTACTGCAGGGGCTCAGGCCTTCCTTATGGATGGTTAAGGAGGATAGGCCATGACCCTCCACGCTGGCCCAGTGCGGATTGGAGGGTATTAACGACTGCAAATGCAGCCGGGACCAACGGCTTAACGTGCCTTCTGAAGCACGGAGTAGCTTGAGATAATAATTTTTTGGTCACCCATCCCGTGACCGACCCTTGCGAAAGTTGCTTAACGACAACGTTCGCGGGCCGCGGCGCTTATCTACTACGCCACAGAGCTACAGTTAGTAACTGCCAATTCTATTCTTCCTATTCGATTCCATACATTAAAAGGCTGGTTTTAACTGTAACAGGATTGTTGGTTTCCATCAATGTTTAGGTGAATCTTAATACATTATTGTATACCCAAATTTAATAAGGATAATAATGTAATTTTCTAAATAACAGCCTCAATCAGTGGAGAAATTAATGAAGAAACTGGTGAACCTTTATGAGACTAAAGAGGACGATTTGTCTCGGTCGGCTGTGGCATTGACTTTGAAGGCTGTAGCCAAAGCAAAGATAGAACATATAAAAGACAACGAAGATATATTGGCACCTATGGTTTTCTTGGCGATGCACGGACTGAAAGACGACGGTATGTATATTTTACTATTATCTGAAGTATTTTTAATGTAAAATGCTTAAAACAATCACTTTTGCCATGCAATTTGAGATGGGACTCGAATAAAAGTTATGAATTTTCTGATTCTGAACTAGCATTTTCGTGAAATTAAAAATCCGTATCCTAAATCATTTTAAGGAAATTATATTTATGGCAGAATCGATTGATTCCTTTGCGTCCATGAAGGATCTGTTGGACAAAAATACATTTATCGTGCCATACAAATTACGTCATTAGGGGCTAACGTTTTTCAGAAAAATAAATTATTTTAAATATTATTTTCTTATTCATATAAAACCGGCAAAATGCGAGTCAGACCGGAAACGACCAAAAAAATTCACGTTTGTTGTATGAGAGCCCCATTAAATATTTATTTAATTCTGTGTGTTTTTTATATTTGTTGTTATTGCGGCAACAGCAACACATAATCTGTGAAAATCTCAACTGTCTAACTATCACGGTCCACTAAGATAAACAATAAAATCATACAGATACAGAATAAAATTAATACTTATATATAATGGTACGGAACCCTTCGTGAGCTACTCCGAATTGCATTTGGCCTGTTTTTTATTTACCGAAATTGATGTATTTGATGTCGTAAAGTTAAATATTGTAGGAAATAGATTAAGTGATTCAAAATTGATACTAATACATTGAAAGTAGTATATACAACGTGTCCCAAAATTCAACGATAAGGTGGCGCCAAGAGGTAGACCTGCTCATGTGTACTTATGGAAAAATAAGAAAAAAATTATATCTTATTAATCTTTTTTATTATAAAATAAAATTCGAAAATTTTCGAAAGAGTTGTAGCGAATAGTAGTGCTACTTAGGTATCCGATACCAAAAAAAGATTGAACATAATTGAGAAGTTGTGGTCGTGGTAGTTGAAAATATCATAAAAGGTGTAAATTTTCGAAGATTTTCGAATTTAATTTTATAATAAAAAAGATAAGATATAATTTTTTTCTTATTTTTCCATAAGTACACATGAGCAAGGGTACCTCTTGGCGCCCGCTTATCGTTGAATTTTGGGACACGTTGTATATAAATATATATATTTTTTGGGTTTAATCAGAATCAGGAAGTGTGGAGATGTTCGAGGAGATATGGGCGGACGTGAGTCCAGCACGCGAGGCAGGCATAAAGCGCCATCTGTCCGCCATATGTGCGGAACTAGAGCGAGCTCTGTCATCCTCCAGATGGGCCGATAAGATACAGGTAAAATAATTCTTCATTTTCCAACTGTACGCTTCTAGTTGGCTGCTCCCACCCCTTTTTTCAATCGAGTACGAGTTTGACAAATTCACTCGAGTGAGTCGTGTTAAAACAGGGTTCGAGTAGCATCATTAAGTGTAATGATGCGCTAGAAATGCCATCGTGCCTATGCAACTTTACTCTATAATCAATATTATAATGTCGAACCATGTCGATTCCAATACTTTCATAAGAATGACAACCCGGAAGTGTATTGGCGCGAAACTGTTCAAACGTCAAAAGCAAAATTGACAGTGACAGCTAACTTGGATTGCTCGTAGTGAAATCGACAATTAGTGTTGCCAGTAGTAGTTGATGTTTTTGCCCTCTAATAGTATAGACAGATAAAATATTGTTATTAAGAAATTTTATTTGTTTTATATAACTTAGGCGTCGAACGCAATCCAGACGGTAAACAAGGAGTTGTCTAGTGGTTTGGGCCCGCAGCGTGAATCGTTACTGCGCGCAATACTCGCCGCCGCCGCCGGAAAGACATTCGACGGAAAGCAACACGTCATAAACGCCCTCGCCGACCTCTGCGAGTCAGTTTGTATAATATATATATATATATATATTTATACACGAAGCCAAAATACAAAAAAAGAAAAAAATGTATATTAAAATTAAACATTATAAAAAATATTATTTCAATAGTAAAATTATTTTAGTAAATTGGAAATATTATATTATAATAATTCGTTTTCTGCATGTTACATAGTATAATGTTTTATCTTAAAAATACTTAACAGAACAGTTTACAAATATATTTTACACAAATAACTTGAACTATCTTTAAAATAGGGATGTTGACAGGTTAAAAAAAAAGAAATTCTGTTTTGTCCGTCAGTCAGATAACAGAAAAATATTAGATACCATTTTTTTCCGCTTAAATTTAACAAGAAATAGGCTTTAAAGTTAACTAAGTCACGACTAGGTAGAAAACGTACAAAGGCGTAATGCGACATTTCAACTGAATGTATCGTCGTAATTTATTGATTACACAAATAAAAAAATACGTGTTTAATATTATTCAATAATCTACCTGACGGACAAACAAACAAAAGTTAGTCATCATCCATATTCTGTATAATAATTTCAGGGTGAAAGAAGGTGAGCCGGCAATATCTAGCTCATTGGCATCTGAATGTATCAATGCTCTAATAGTGGAGAGTCGTAAGCAGGAGATGGTATATAAGAAACATGCTGTATTAGCACTCGGACGAGCGCTCGCTCACACACACTGCGATAGATTCACTCAAGTATATGACATAGTCAAACTGGTGTTAACAAAGGCGAGTTGTTTTTCACTTTAAAAAAAAAAACATATGTTTTATCTAACGGCCGGTTTCTGAATTGAATATAGTAAGTTCTACAAATCTGACAAACTCAAATTGATTTAAGTCTTGATCTGTTGACCGTTAAGTTTTAAATGTTCTAATGTCCTTAAAAATATACAGGGTTATCTGTAAAACACTAACAACCTAATATGACTAGATATATAGCTAATGTCGTAAATAACAATATTCATTCTACGAATTTTGACAATTAAATGTAAGAATTTTACTATTTATGAATAAAACATAGATGTAGAAATGTTACGATAGTACAATATAAACTCAAAAATAATTTCTGCTACAATGATTGTTATATTAAAACTCATAGATCGGAAAATCGTTCATCGAAATAGCTATCTAGTCCAACTAGTTGCTGGTGGTTTGCAAATCACCATGTGTATTTATAAGGTTTTCTTACACTCGCAGGATGAATCGTCAGTAGGTAAAGAATCAGATGAAGAAGACAACGAAGGAGCCCGCCAGAGACGGGAACAATTGACAGCATTAAAAGAAGCGGCTTATGAGCTTCTAGGCAAAGCTTGGCCCAAAGATGCACAAACACAGGGTAAGTTTCAAATCAAATATAAATGAATTTTGTTCCTGTCCTACTAAAAGGACACTTAAAGTTTTTTTTAATACTTTAAAAATGAAATAATAGAGGTTTGGAGTTCAAACGGTAGGAATTTTTAAAAAGACGGAGCATTGTGTGACGTCACATTTCAATAAACTAAACGTCAAGCCTTTGTTACAAGTGCAACAAGGACTCATATTTATTGAAATGTCATGCCACGGCCCGAGATATCATGTGAATGATTATTTTCGTTAGATAATTTGAATTAATGAATAAAAAATAAAAATTAGTAACACTTTTTGCTATGAGTGGTTTATAGTATAATCATATGAAATTAAAAAAATAAAATTGTTTTCTCAAAAAAGTGACCAATTAATGTATTTTATTATAAATTCCAAGAAAAAAGCGAGCATTTTAATGAGTTATGAGATATTGTCGGCTGTTTGATAACTAGCGCTTTATCGTATAATAAATACTCCAATACATGCCAGAAAACTGTTTTTAATTATACGATAATTATATATTACAGAGAAATACCAAGACGTATTTTTCGAGCACTGCGCCCAATCTTACGCGTCTAGCTCTCGATCGACGCAATTAGCCATGTTGTCGTCCATCGCGCGCGTGATAGAGAGACTAGTTATATTCACACGAACGGACGAACCGATGGACACTGACAACGTGGCTGTCACAGACAAGGACAACGCAATCGCCACCGTCACGGGACATATAGCTGCGGTTATTGATTATACCCTCAGTGAGTACTTTTGATGGGATTTTTATTCTTTTAACAGCAACAAACCTCCATTATATTTTTCATTAGTTTAAAACGACATTACCCATACAAATTTGACATTCATTAGAGTTTAAAATCGTCATTAAACCTTAATGGACGTTTGTGCAACTGACCATTAGTCGCGTGAAAATAAATGTTGTTTGTACTATTTGCATCAAGGAGTAATAAACCAATGATCTCGTTTTTCGTTTTATTCACTATATAATTAAACTAGTGATGTGCTTTAGGTGCTGTGATGATTGATCGATAAATATAATCTCAACTTAGAATTACAAATGCGTGATTGTTATTTTAAGTTATTTAGATATAACAGTGGGGAAAGGCAATTGAAGCGTTTGAAATAGGGCACAAGTGTTTGTATAGAAGTTTGTCATAGAACGTAACTGTATGACACGGATGATGTCGCAGGCAAAAGCTAGTATCCAAAAATGTCGTCGACTGGAGATGAAATTGGAAATAGATCTAGTTAATAATGTTGATTAATATTTAATTTTCAGAAAACAGTAATCAAGTCAGACACAGAAGAGATGCCCTGAATATAATGGAAATCTTAATTAAAAAACTAAAGGGTGAGCTTTGATACATTTACCCTATTATTGTTTACAGTGCTCATTAATATATCGACTCCTTTTTATTACACTGTTATGATATACTTTGAATTATTTTACAGAGTTGAATAAAACAGAGGAACTGAATAAGCTGAAAACGATTTACCAAACCTACCAGCAAGACTTGTCGAAAGATGCGTCACACGAAATAAGAACTAAATTAGATAGTATTAAAGTCCATTTTAAATAATTCTATGGAATGTTTGTAATTTATTGTAATTGAAAAATATAATATTAAATGATGATCTTACTTGCATTAGTTTTAATATAATATGAAATAAAACAGAGTTTTTTTGTCACATTCATGTTTAATACTAGTATAAAATAAATAATATGGAATAAAATTAATATTATAAATGTGAAAGTTTCTTTGTTTGGATGTTTGTCGGTCTATCACGCCGAATCTACTGAACGGATTTTGATGAAACAAAACCGTACATGGATGGCAATATGACAAATAAATAATATATGATTAATAGATTTTATTTCTACAAAATGGTGAATTTTAATGCCGGGGAACCAAACTAAAATATTAAATGCTGCTAATAAAATTATCAAGATAACAAAACGTCTGACGATAGTGCAAAAACAAAACGCGAAAATCTTCTTAAAAAACGTTCTGGTCTACGCAGAAGTGCTTTAATAAAAAAAAATATCTTGGAAGTGTTTCATGAATTTTGCACCAGGCAATAAAAGGGTCATCCATTTTAATGGATAGTATAGTTACCTGTAAATTGCAATTAATTCTATTGCTTTTAAAGTACCATTAATACGCTTAATAATCAAATATAAGTTAAAAATAAGATTGTATAGAATAGATTCCGTTGTCTTTAATTGAAAACCACAAAATATTTCAAAGGGTTATAGTTTGGATGGTTTTTGAAAAATCGGTCACATACATCAACGATGTCAGAAGCGATTCTCAATTAATCGCGAGTTTTTCAAACATGTTCTATAGAATATTATCTGTCATTTACGTAATTTCCTGCTAATAATAAGTGATATGTGATGTAATGATGCGCACAGACTAAGCGAATGAACGTCAAATATATATCTATTCAATAAAAAAACTTAATATGTTATATTATATGAAATACGGTCTTTGAATATTTTCATAAATATTTTTTTATTCGTTCTAATTACGTATTGAATACTTGAGAAATAAAAAAGTTGAAAGCTTAGATACCACAACCGATTTAAGAAGATTATTGCCAGTTCCCCAGTTGATCCGATGAAAGGTTAACGTATCTTATTTTGTTCTAAATAATCGATTAGTTGATTCTATTTTGACATGCTTGTTTTCATCTATGAATGGTCTATGATGATGATGGTGAAATGATAGTGGATGATTGGTTTGGTTTGTTTATTGTGTGTTTGTTCGTGGAGTTTTATATTTATGTTAATATTCAACTTGACAATTACGTGTGTTTCTTGGACTGCCAGTATACTGTTACAGTACCGTAGGGAAATTTATGACGTCATGAATTGCCGCCATATTTGTACTGTGAGCACTGGAGATTTCGAGGTGCAGTGCTCGCAGTGCTTTTGACCACGTGATCAGTCGAAACAGATAAAATAAAATACTTACGTTTATTATAAGATGGATTTGATTGATAAATATTTTTTTTATAGAATTTTCCAATTTTATAATATTTTCTTTTGAAAAGAGGGAATCTTTATATTTATATTCACCTTGCATTAACAAATTTGAAAATGTCGCCAAAAATAGGATTAACAGTATTCTGGACTGCGTTCCGTTTTAAAAAGTCACCAGTATAACTAGCTATAAAGGAACGGGCTTCCAGTATACTAAATTGACGTCATACTGTTCAGTGGTCGCAGTGTATATCAGAACATACCCTTAGATAATAGGATACTTTTTATTCCACTTAACATTTCCCTAGGGTCCACGCGGGCGAAAGCTAGTATGAAATAAAACAGTTTTTTTTTTATCACATTGTCGTTTAATACTAATGTATAAAATAAATAATATGGAATGAAATAAATATGAAGCATGTCACAATTATAGATTGACAAAACAATTAGTTTATATATTGAAGTATTGTTGCGATAGCGATAGGTGTAGTATCACTATACTATCGTGCGTGACTTTGAGAAAACACTAATCGGTATTAATATTGAAACCTCGACTTTCAGTATCAGTAATAATAAATTTTGCTTAATATCTATACTTACACCCGGTTTCTGAATTGAGAATTTCAAGTTAAATACGTCTCAAACCGTACTTAAACGGATTTTCGCTTCTGTTTTAATGACCAGATGATAGCAGATTGATAAAACTAGGACTTTGCAATGTGAAACGTAAAAAACTTAAGTTATTGAGAATAATGAGTTGAGATTTTGAACTTTTCTCATTTAGAAACTGGCTGTAGGTCTTCTTCCTATCATTTACTTTATTAAAGGGGCCATCCATAAATTACGTCACACGTTAAGGGGGAGGGAGGGGGTCGACAAAGTGTGACATTGTGTGACAAAGGGGTGGGAGCGTCATAAAATTCGTGACGTCACATTTAAAAATCTATTATAATCTAAGTGTTAAAACACGAACTTTAAACTATTACTTTACAAAAACCTTGCAAAATATGTGACATCACGCTAGGAGGGGGGTCTTACAAATGTGACCAGATGTGACTAGGACGGGGGGAGGGGCAAAAAAGTCATGAAAATCGTGTGACGTAATTTATGGATGACCCCAAATAAGAAAGACAATCGTAGAACATGTCATAGACGGACACACACATATTGAACACAACAAATGTTTCAGTAGCTAGCTACATCTAGTATAATTTAGAGGAATTTTATATATACTACTTCATAGTCGATTTTCCATAGCATTGTGAATGCAAGATTGATCAAATATAATAAAGACATTCTAATTAGTCCGTCAGTCAGATAGGAATATATTAGATACGTATTTTTTTTGCTTCAATTTAGCAAGAAATAGCTTTAGACAATAGACAGACAATTAAATAGAAAATTTACAAAGGTGTGGCCTCATACGACATTTCAACTCCGTTGAGTTTATCGCCATAATTTATTGATTACGCAAACAATTTGTGTTTATTATTCTTATACAGACAAAAGAAAAATAGTAATCATCAGCCCTATTTCTATAAGTTCTTTCAAGGTTTCATCGCCTATGATACTTTGTCCATTACAATTGATTTATAACAATAAGGTTAACTTAACTGAGAAATTAAATTAATTACTGATAGTAAAAGAGAACGCCTTATTTTACAACCATAAAAGATTTATCGATTAAAATTATATTTTTTTGCTAATTGTGGTAAGCTACAGTTTAATGAAATTTCATTATTTGAAATATAGTTTGATATATCTATATAAAAATACAAAGTACTAGAGCTAAGTGCATTATAAATACAGGATTATAAAACACCAACAATCACGTAGGACTAGATAGCCAACAAAAACAGCATGTTTATTCCACGAGTTTTAATAATACATTATAATTTTTACTTTTAACATTATCACCATGTATGTTCCCACTGCTGGAGCTCGGGCCTTCCCTATGGAATCCAATCAGGTCGAATAGGGAGAATTTTTAACATAAATATAATACATCTAGGTACATCACACAATGTACGTTATTTTTTGCAATGAAAACTGGAAAACATTTTTGTACAAAGAGTTATGTTATTTTTACGTGAAATGTTGTTGTGTGTGTGTGTGTATGTGTGCGTGTGTGTAAGTGTGTGTTTGTAAGTGTGTGTGTGTGTAAGTGTGTGTGTGTGTGTGTATGTAGTTATGTTACCTTTCTAGTCCTGTTAGATTCCTAGTGTTTTTGAAATAGCCCCGTATAACAAACGAGTGTCATTTTTAAATTCGCAAGTACTTAATTTAAAACTAAGTGATTTTGTTAAATAAATACGAATGAAAGTATTAATTTCATATTCTTAAATACTACAGGACGTTTTAAATACTACGTATTGTTATTATGATTTCAAACCTTATTATGGCAATTTCATTTTTGAAATAAAACTTGTCTATTAAAGACCACTATTTGTATTAAAATATGGACTTTAATTTATAACACAAGAAACTATAAACATTTAATGTTGTCACTAATTAGTGAAAGCTATTTATCGAATTATTTTTGCATTTGACACAGCGTATGGTTCAAGATTTCTGGCGTAGATGATCTCATGAATATCTGACGCAACTACAGCATAGGTATAAATGGTCGGATCAAGTTACAGAACCTGAAGTAGGGAACGTAGTTTTAGTTAAGGAAGACGACCTTCCTCCCTCTCGTTGGCTTTTTGGAGTCATAGTCGAAAAACATCCTGGTTTGGACAAACTTACACGCGTCGTTTCACTATGTTATAAAGGCAACATAATTAAGCGACCTGTATCTAAATTAGTTATATTACCTGTAGAATAAGCAGATACTTTTGTAGTGTCACATTGTAATCAATTGCATGTTGAATTTTGTGTTATTATTATTTTTTTAATCAGTCACAGTGTCAATTTTTGTTTTTTTTTTTTATTGTATACGTATCTTTTATTTCGTGATGTTTTCGTATAATTCTATTGGTTTATGTAAATGTAATTTTTGCATTAGATGTCTTTCACATTTTATGGACTTGTCCACGGCGGCCGGAATGTTAAGTAATGTCCTTTGATAATGTCTGTGGTTGTCAATTTGTATATATTTAAGATCGCTAGATGGCGATGACGTTTATGTGCCTATATATGTGATACATTACATATAATTCTAAATCGCGTATGTAAGTTATTTTATCAAAGACTTATATACTCTAACGATAATTTGAATAAATAACCTTTGCCATAGAACCTTGTGTTTTATTACATTTTTGACTTTTTGGGATTTTTACAGTGAGGTCAAATAGGTTTACAACTATACATTAAATAATATAATACACAAGATCATAATTAAAGGAGCAATAATAATCTTAATTAAAATACTAGTAAAAATTTGGGTTCTATTTTAATGTGAACCCATTTTGCAAGATAATTAACATTGAGCATAATTACGATAATGAATTATCAAGGCGACAATATCTAGCTGTAGATTTTTTTAATGACAAAACAGTGAAATGTAAGTTTAACTTAACAATTATTCAATTAGGTGTTATGATATGGAATAATTTGTATGCCATGGTGCAATAAGTTATGTGTTGGTATTATTTATCATAATACAATTTCTTAGTGACCTAAGACAAAATTCCACCTTTTAATTCATCTTTTTATACCAGAATAGATTTACAAACTCATTTATTAACTTGGATGAAATTAAAAAAGCAGATACTTATGTATTTGCATTTAAGAGACCGTTGAAAATTAGATTTATATACCTTAATTTGCTTTAGTCTCGATTAGTTAATGGTAATTACAACTTTAAAACTCGTTTTGAAAATTCAGTGGCGGGAAAGACAATATAATGCCTTAATTTGGTTTTAGGAAATAATATAATAAATATCGAGCACTAAAAAAAAAGCGTTTAATTTATTATACCAGCTGTTTGTTTCACACACTAAATGCGAGGGAGAGAAATCTGGTTATATCTCATTACTTTGTTTCATTTTTTTCAATGTATAAAACAAACATTTACAAGGTAAGAAATAAATCTCCATTTTTTGACACATTTTTCTTCTTTGCTCGCTCAATTCACGTTCGAAATCGTTTAAAACAGTTATCGATGTAAATATCGATGTTCCGTATCTTTTATTTATTTCATCCAAGTTTAACGATAACTACTCTTCTATTTCACACTACTTATTTACTAATAAAACAATACAATAAACACATTCTAAAGCGCGTATATTTTTATTTTTACACAATCAAGAAGTTGCCAATCTTAGTAAGGTTTTTCTGCCACTAAGACTTCACTTCACTAATCTCAGAATATGTTATTTAATTTTTAATTATATTGCACATTAAACATCGTCGAACAGTCCCCTCTGCGGCATAGTCATCTTGCTTCTATCATCGAAATCTGTCCTCAGCGAAGACTGAGTGCTTTTCCCGAAGCGTTCTTCTATCTCGTCCTCCAAAGACAAGTCTTGTCTATTGTATGGCATCTCTGCACGTTGATAGTCTGTGATGGGGGCGTCTTGTGTTCTCTCTGGCGCAGTGGTCACGTAATAGTCTGAGTCCACGTCGTTAAGTAGCCCGGTGCGGGCTGAAATGTGACGCACATGCAAGATAACTGATAGCATAAACGCTTTTAAGATCGGAAAGTTTAACTCGTACGAATTAAAATAGATATTCTATTTGTCTATCCTGAGGGCCTATTCTATTTGTCCTCGAACGATGATTTGGGACATTTTGAATATTTTATATAATTTTCTTAAAATCATATCCATGAAGATTATTTGTGCATCGGTGGCAGTGTTAGGTCCTATCTTTGTTGCATCAAATTATAGTGAATGCGTTTCTTTGGAGTCGTATTATCATTTCGAAAATAGACGAAATGTCGTTTCCGCAGAAATAGAATAGGCATTCGTGTGTTATGTTAATTCGTACGAGTAGCGTGTGCAAATTTTAGTAGGTGTATTTATGTAAATAAAATGGCAATTGTAATAAACTCCTTAAGCATAAGAACAAGAATTAAAAATGATATATAGAAGAATATTTTGTATTTGTACTGTTACATTAAATGCTATGTCAAAAAATATCCAATATCCAACATATTAATTATAATAATAATATAATTTGAGCCTAAAAAAGGTTTTTTTCTGTGACATTAGAGGTGTTACATAACGCTCCTATAACGAAAACCAGTCACTAGGGGCCGGTCCAATCCCTTTATATACATAATATTTTTTACGACGTAGTTTCTCTACAGTGACCCGATGGAGACTCTGTCCCTGCACTTCAAAGATGGCGACATCATGAAAATGGACTTTAAAGTATATGGATATTTTTAAAACAAAAGAAAAGGTAGTCGTATTACCTCCGTCTCTTTCGTCCCTGGTGGTGCGATAGTTTGAGAACCGGTTGTTGTAGTCGCGACGACGCGACATCGACTCCTCGGCACGTTGACGTTTACGTTTCTCTAAAGCGGAATAATGATGGGTGAAACAAAATATACTGTATCACAAAGACCTCGATAGTCTAAAGTACAACATATATCTATTTTAATTCATTAAACATTAGATAAAATATCTATTCACGAGTGAATTTTTATATTAGCTTATAAATATGTAATTTATAAACTTCTTTTTTATTCATTTCAATAACATTTTTTTATGTTTTGAACAAATAATAGTTTGAACTTTCTGAAGTTGTGTGTTACAGATATGACTCTAGCCAGTTACCTTTTGACTTCGCCATTTAGTACTTGCATTGTACAAATACTGTCAGCATGTCAGGTTATACAAAATTGACAAATTTATACAAACCTTAATGTATTGAGGGTAGTTTTTAAAAAATCCAGAAAGATATTGTGGATTTAAAATGAAGTCGCTTTTTTAAGACCATATTTTTCTTAAAAATTACTTTTATTTGATACCCTGTCTCCTCTTATAGACGGCACAAAATAACCAAGTCACCTTGGGCGATTCACCATATCAGATCTAATATTATGTAATTAAAAATAAATTTCAGCTTAATCATTTGAGTATAACTGCTTTAAAATTCAGTTACAAAATTTGCCGAACGCACATCATCACCCGCACGTCGCCCACAGCTTAGCATGGGCCCCCCATATACCTAAGGCGGTCCTGCTCTACCCGCATCTAGCGGCATACGTTACGAGTTAAACGAAAAGTTCGTAAATGTGCGAAAAATGTGTTGGAACCTCTCTTAGCTATCTCCCTGCCCTCGTCGACGAGGTCCGCTGTGAGATCGTCGTCGCCCACGAACTGCTGGAAGCCGCACAGCGAGAGCAATCGGCTGCCCAGCGACAGATACGTGGCCGCGCATAGCACCACCACTAGCATCGGGAAGTAGATGTTGAACCCTGCCGCTATGATGCCCAACACCTCCATGTGACCCATTATCTGTCGTCAACACAATGTTAGAACACCGACCGTTTTATATTTGCACGGAAAGGGACAACAAGGCAGATTATAAAAACTGGCCATCTATTGTCTGCATGGAAAGTATGTAGGGTAGATAACCCAATTTTGGTCAATTTTCGCCATTTGAAACGTAAGGAAAAAGTGAACTCTGAATTGGTATTCGTATATTGGTGTAGAAATTCTATTGATTCCATTTTTCGATAAAAATACAAAACCAGATTCGATTGATTTATACGTGTTTCAGATATTGTCAATTCAAGGTTGAGCGGATGGTTTTGAAGTAAATTTGGACACCTGAGAGAATTCGAATTTGGGTTCGGAATTTTACAGAATCGCAATAATTCAATAAATTAAAGACCGTGTACGGTAAAGTAATATATTTTTGCCTCCCTAAATATTAGATTGCATTTACATAGGCCGTGGTAACCCGGTCGTAACGTGGGGAAATAAAGGTAGGTGAAAAACTTAACTAGGAATATATCGTGTTAATACGTGTTTCATACAATCTAATATAATGCAATGCGAAAGTTTGAAAAATCTCTAAATATTATTATATCATATTCTTTTGTTATACTGTATCAAATATATTAAGTTTAGATTTCCATGAAATTTTTATGTGAACGCTAGCGGCTAATTCCGCCAGCGGCCTTGCCTGCGTGGTCCCTAAAAACTGTTTATTTGGACATCGATTCATATCATGATACGGATATAATTACAATGACAAATTAAATAGTAAACAACGGTCAGTATGGTAAAGTTTTAATTCCCTACACAAACTTCCACTCCCATTTCATCTCTTTATTTGTTGTTTTTCGGGATAAAACATAGTCTATATTCACGACATATGATGTAGCTTCCCGTAGATGAAAGAAATTTTAATATCCGGCCAGTAGTTTCGAATCCTTTTAGTTGCAAACAAACAAACAATCAAATTTTGCCTCTTTATAATGTTAGCATAGATAGTACTCACATTTGTATAGGAAGTTTCCACTATAACACCTTTCTCGTTACTGTGCATTCGCGCGTCCATGTGCACTAAACTCAGGAAGTTGAGACACATCGCCGGCGTCAGTCTACAGGCCATCATGCCAGAGAATATCAAACTGTACTCGTTAGTCTGATGGTGAGGCGCCAAGTAGTACAAGTTCAAGAAACGTATCTTTAGAACTGTCGAGTATGCGCAGTAGAACATGTACCCTATTATAATTGTAGATATCCACTGGAAAGAGAAATTGTGTTTCGTTAACTGCAAATGAAGTCCAATTATGGATTTGCAGAAATTTATTTTATCAGCAATATTGTTCATCTGATGAAATTTGTGAATGAAGTTTCCAGTAATCAGTAGCTTTGGTTGTAGTGGTGGTATAATGGAATAATGGGAAACAGATCTAATTTTGATTTAAAATATGCTATTTTAGCAATAGCTTAGGCAACAAGTTGTCTGAAAATGTTAGTTTCAGTTAGTAAAATACTCGTAAGAAATAAATTTTTAAAATTTTAAACAGTTTCCAAATCTTTAGTCTTTGTTTTTATTACGTGACTCAGTAGCCGCCATGATATGACGTCATTCGTTTGTAAACTAACAAGACAAATAAGTTTGAAGCAAAATATTTTTTAATATATTTTAATGACGAAATAAAGTTATTTTTATTAAAATAATATTGTAGAATAGGATTTTGTAAAGGAAAATCGCACAAATTTACCTATAGAAAACACTTATCGTCGGAAAGATTTTTACTGCAAATCTCGATTTCTGTTATGCTGTATAAAGGAATGTTAAAACATTGATGTGAGTACTGTAAAGGACATCGAACCACGCCGCGACAACAGCGCCACCAGCGGGGAAACAGCGAAACCTTCCCCTCACCGCGCGGTGCGGGGTAGCGTACCCCCACTCTAAGAAATCTTATAAGATAACTGATTTGTATATGAGATAAGTGCGATCAACCAAATTGTACTTAAGTAATCGATTTTTCGCAATTAAGCATGTTCTGCCTTCGAACGTTCTCAGAGTTTCTCCGAGCTCTTGTTATTGAGTAAAAACTCAATAGCAACGCGTTTGTTTGCAAAACCAAGTGACGTCACAAATACAGAGCAACATGGCGTCCAGCATTTTCGTCCAATACGAAATTTGAATAATGTAAAGTTTAGATATTATTTTATGACACTTACTGACTTAATAAAAATAGATGTAATATTTTTTGTTTATGTAATGGCATTTTTTTTATCGTCGCCATAACTATTAATCATTTTAATCAACGCTTAGCTCTTGACCATTGAATTCTGAACTTTTCTTATGCGATTTACGTTTTCGAATAACCTGAGGTGCCACTAAGTTTGTTTAACGTAGTATACTTACCAGTATTGCGGCATAGTTATAAGTGTTCTTTGTAGCAGTAACTATATGTGCGAAGATTGACAGCACCGGACGTGTGGAGAAGAAGGTCATCTCCGACCAGATGATCATCAAGGACATGCAGCCCGTCACTACAGCCATAGTTTTTAGGAAATATTGACGTAGGAAACACTCCCACCACCACTCTGAAACGATATTGCATATAAAACAATAAGACAGAGCATTTATTACGTAAGAAATTTTAGGTGGAAAACGGTTCAACAATGTCTAATTTTTAGGGTTATATTACGCAAGAAACCCTTATAGTTTCGCCATGTTCATCTGTCCGTCCGCTCAAAAACTATAAGTACTAGAAAGTTGTGATTTGGCATGAGTATACACTTAATTACACCGACAAAGCAGTAAAGAAAAATTTCCAAAAAAATAATATTTTAAGGTACCTCGCCTATGTGTTGGGGAGTCTTTTTATGAACTTTTTATGCTGTTGCATGCGCCATGATCACGGAGTAACTGAAGTCTATGCTATGTACGAGTATTATATTTACTAGGTATTTTATAGATTCGTACGTAATTATTATAAAACTGCATAAACTACTAGTAATAGCAAAAAGGGTCAGCCACGTCGATTCATATTTGTCAAAAACTGGCCAACGTAATAAATGCGCCAAACTGGCTTCACACAAGTTTATGTGGTCCTTCGAGCCGGATAAGTTTAATAGCATTTTGTCCACTTAATCTTGTAGACGTAATAAGACTTTGCAACAAGGTTTTGCGACTTCAGTTTGGTTTATACTCACCCACCAGCGGCGGATATAGTATTCGTTGTATACGCGGACGAGGCGTATGGAGGGTTCTTTGAAAGCGTTTGTCTGGTGAGCGAATGTTGGCTGCCACGTCCTCCAAATGAAAGATTCGCTCCAACATCATGCCCCACTGAGTCTCCGTACGTTGTAACACGTGAAGTGCTTTGATTGTCTACGACATTTGATGGTTACATGATTGGTTACAACAAATGAATATACTTTATTGCACAAAGTAAAATATTTACATATAAACGCACATAATTAGGACAAAAAAAAACAAAAGACAGCCTTGTTGTTAAGGTAGCAATCACTACCAGGCTGCCTAGGCACTTCTAAAGAAGATTAAGGAGAAAATACAGGCTAGTATAATAAAAGAAGAAAGAAGGTCATTTACAACAGTAAATTATGAATTAACTTGAGTTGACATGACAATTATATACATGTATTTTGATTTTTATTGGCTCAACTACCTGGCTGGGTAAAAATAATAATAATTTGATATACAAACTCTGAAATACTTCTGCTACATTTTTATTTTAGTTTGTTACTCAAAGACAATGTTGTAACAAAACTAGATATTTGATTAAAATATGTCATGAAAATAATATTGTTGCAATTATTTCTTATGTTATTAATAAACTCACTGATAGTATAGCAAGAAATTATAATATAACAGGTAAATATATACAAATTGTCAAGAGTTCAATTTAAATTATGGATAAAAATAGTTATTATTGATTAGCTAATAATATTCTACTAAAGATGATGATGTACCTTTTTGTGTAAGTTGACAAGGGATTTAAATGAAGGCGGTGCTGGTCTGTATGGTGGTGCTCGTGAACTGAGTCGATCTCTCAGTTGTATAGGTAGCTTTTGTATAATGGTCTCCACGTGCCGGTGTAGGGGGTGGTCAGGCCCTATAGCTGTTGTAGCAGCTTGGAGACTCTATAATTGGTATTACATTTGTTAACAAAATCTTAACTAAACAGTAGAAAGTATTAGCATCAGCTGAAACTGTTAAAATTACAAATAGTATTTATTATATATTCAGATGATTGCAAAACCTTACAGCTTATTGATTTGTACATTGCCAGTGTGGAACCTATATATGGATGAATGAAAATACAAGGAGACAATAACATAATCATAAAAACACACCCATTTAGTAAATTGAGAATTTAAAGTTAAGAATGTCTCAAACTGTGTTTAAACAGGTTTTAATGACTGATTTTAGTTTTTTAATAGCAGTTTGATAAAATTAGGACTTTTTCACTTGTAAAACATAAAAAACCTTAAGGAATCGAAACTAATCAGTTGAAATTCTGTAATTTTCTCTATATTGTTAGTATATTTTATGAATGTTTATTAATTTCTTACTCTATACAATTTTATGATACTCACATCAAGAATTTCATCAATTGTTTCTTCAGCTTCACATTTATCAGTACTTAATTTTGCCATTTTAAAATAACTATGTGTAAGTGAATAATTCTTTTTGGAAGTGTTCCATAAATTTCTCGGCACTTCCACCAGAGCATAACCAAGTAGAAGAATCAATAAGAATAGACCCCATGTGTTACTTGCTGAGGATGCTATAGCTTTAATTTTAGGACCATCCAAGTAAACATTTGGTTGGAATGCAAGGTAAATGAGTAGTATGCCACATATGAATAAGTATGAGCCATAATATATAGCATTGTCAATGAGAGCAGATTTCAATTTGCCTTTGACAGTGAAGTCCCCAGCTTTACTGTATGATTGCATCATTGGCATTATGAGCCTGAAAAGAAATGTTAGTTTTCTTATAGTTTGGTTTAATCAATTAATTTCTTTTCTTAACTTTAAATAGAGGTTAGAAGACAATACCAAGTCAAACATTGTGATGTCCAGTAGACCACTCGCCACAAATTGGTAAACACATTATCGGGTACATAACTCCAGGGCTTCTCACACGGATTCACAGGGGGCGTAACAGTTGTAGTATCATTGCCAGCAGTAACTTGAGTTTGTGATACAATTGTTATGTTATTATTTACCAGGCATTGTCGATAAACAGTCTGAAAAACAAAGAGAAATACAAAACAGCTTAAAAATTAACTTTGTAGCAATAAATTATACATACACAATAATACAAAAGTATGTAAATATCAAACCATAAATGTAATGCTTCATTAAAAAAGAGCTAACTAACAGTTGGTTCCACAAACATCCATTAAGCATTAACAGTGCATTTGAGCTCTAATTCATGTAAAATTTGTATAAGTAATGCCACTTTGAACTATGATTATTTTAATGGAGGTTTGTGCAACTGATTGTAAAGGTTTTAAAAACAAGCATCAAAGAATGTATTTAATTTATAGGAATCCTTTATTTATTAAGCTTTTAAAAGCAGTAAGAAACATCTTTCACTGTTTCATAGTTTAAATTAAAACTAAAATAGTAAATAATATGGAAAACTTATCGAAACTTACTGTAGATACATCAATCGGTAATATGAACATAATAACAAAGGAGAAATACCATGCTGTTAGTACAGATATTGTCACAATCAAGTGATTTCTGTAACAGTCTCCATATCGATAGAGCAATGTTGCTGCTAAGGCGAACGCAGAAACTAATTCAATAACAAACAATGTGTACACCATTTTCACAGTTTGTAAGGGCTGTTATATTTTAGTGTTAGTTTTCTTTGCAGTTTTTTGCTTCTCTTTCCACACTCTAGTTGCTTCGTGTTGTAGCTGCTCGAAGCGAAGCTGCGTCGATGATTTTAATGTTAACAATCTAGGGGGTTCAATTTCATACTCCTGTGGGCATTCTTCGTAAAACAAAATCCCAGTATCTGGCAAAATAGGATCGAATTCGATGACAAACGATTCTTTCGACCCTTTTTCTTCAGACATCTTAAGTATATATCAACAGCACAAACATCGTTGTTTTGGTTTTAATAAATTTATCGATTATAAATGATCAATAAATATTATTTTTTATATTCAGAATCTTTATTTCACAATCAATCAAGAAATTTACTGACACTACAGTGATTTTTTTTTTTTTTTTTTATTAAGAGCATTGGCTACCAAGGCCATCAGCTTAATCCTTTAGTGCATACATATAATTAGAACTAAACACTACTACAAAATCCTTAGACTAAAAAACCCTTAAAATTATGTTATATAAATATTAATATAATAATGTAAATATTAAATGTAAGAAAGAAGAATCAAATTTGATATAATCATTTACAGAAGACCAAAAGTATTACTATAAAAATGATAAATTATTACATACAAATCAACTATTTTCAGCATGTCCTGCACATTTTTTGGAAAAATTTTGTTTTTTAGATGATCTGTACACAAAGAAACAAAAAGAAGACGCTGCAAGTTAAAATATTTACAATTAAAAAATAAATGCTGAAGGTCACATATTGTCTCTGTACAATATTTACACAATGCACTGTCGCTTAATCCGAGGCGGTGAAGATGGGATGGGAATTTACAATGACCTATTCTTAATCTACAAAATGATGTTATGAAGTTCCTATTCGGGGTAGTCAATTTCTCAAACCAGGCTTTAGTGGTGGGCACAGGGACAATTTCGGCATGCCATTTACCCTTAGTAAGACGTGAATTGGCTAGGGATATAGACCATCGTTTGATCATATTTTCTTTTAGACGAATTATTAAATCACTATATGGCACTTTGTAATCATTTATCAGTGTTATATTCTGTGCAGATCGTGCAAGTTTATCTACGAGCTCGTTCCCAAATATGCCGGAATGTCCCGGTACCCAACAAAATTCAATTAATAAATTACATTGATTCAATAGTTCAACCAGGTTTCTAAGTTCATAAACTAAGTAGTTACATTTCACATCAATACATTTATCCTTTAATGCAAACAGTCCACTCATAGAATCACTAAGTATTATAAATTTGAAAAATGATGATGAACTGAAATTCAATAATATATATTTAACAGCATAAATCATGCCTAAGATTTCAGCAGAAAAAATTGAGAAATTGTGATCACATGAATAAACTTTACCAATTTTATTACAAGAATCGTAAAATGCAAAACTAGTGCGATTATTTGTTTTAGAACCATCAGTATAAATTTTTATGTAATCTTTTTTCTCGCTCAGAAACTCATAAAAGTCTTGTTTTGAATCGAATCTCGTTAACGTAACTTCAACATCACGTAGCATTACTTCAAAGTTGTAAGAGAAACAAGGAGGTTTAAACGACCAATAAATTATATCTTGAAATTCAAAGTTTAAATAGGTGATTGATTCTGTAATGGAAGGCATCGCAGGTATAGGAATATTATTATAATTAGGGATTGCAAAATTTTCAAGGTAACGACTAACTAAAACATTGTCACGACTAATTAAATTCAGACAAAATTTTTCTGATAAATAACTTCTTCTTATATGTAAAGGCGGTACTCCAGATTCGACTTCTAAGGAATTTATAGGAGAAGATATCATAGCCCCTGTAACTATTCTTAGCCCTTTATTTTGAACAATATCTAGTTTTTTCAGAAACTGTTTGGATGCGTGAGCATAAAAAATACTACCATAATCTAATTGACTACGAACTGTAGAAATAAAAAAGCTTTTCAATATTTTTGGATCAGAGCCCCAGTTAACCCCAACCAGAGATTTCAAAATATTTAAACGCAATTCTGCTTTTTTACATGAATATGTAATGTGGGGACCCCAAGATAATTCTGAATCAAGTATGATACCTAAATACTTCTCAGACGTTTTGTAAGGTATAAGAGTATTATTATAATATATACGAGGACTGACAGGGCAACTATAGGCAAAGAGCATAACTGAACTTTTGTTTACGTTTACTTCTAGTTCTAATTGATTATTTAACAAGTTACTAAGATAGGTAAGACAATTGTTCATAATTCGTTCACCCTTACACAGATCTTCACAGTCTAAGTATATAACAACGTCATCAGCATAGAAAGTATATTTAACTAAATTCGGTATAAGTTTCATAAAATTTACAAGACTTAAAATAAAAAGTAGTGGTGAAATAACTGATCCTTGGGGGGTACCTTTAAAAGACTTACACGGACCGTATAAACTATCCCTAATTTTTAATGTAACGGAGCGACCATTTAAAAACTGAAAAATCCAAAATAAAACTGGACCAGGAATACCTAATGAACTTAAAGTTTGAATCAAGTACTCGTGTTTAATATTATCGAATGCGCCTTTTATGTCTAGAAAAACGGCGATAGTTATTTTATTTTTTCTAAGATTACTTTGTATGTCGCCTAATAAACAACCTAAATTGTACATCGTGCTCTTTCCCTTGCGAAAACCAAACTGGTAATCAGGTATAAGAGAGTTATGTTCGATAAACCATTCTAATCTATTTTTTAACATTGTCTCAAATAACTTTGCTAAGCACGAAGTCAAAGAGATGGGTCTATACGCATCTGAGCTATTGCCATCCTTATTAGGTTTTAAAATAGGTATTACAATCTGAGTCTTCCAGATAGGAGGTATAATATTATTTTTCCATAGTTGATTGTATATATTTAAAAGAAGACTTTTTGCGTTTTCAGAAAGATTTTTAATGACAGAATATGGAATATAATCAGGGCCTGGTGAAGTATTCTTTTTATTATTTAAGGCAGCTTCAAATTCAAACATATGAAAGGGATTTTGGATCCATTTCGCTGACTCACTTCCCTTGGATGTGAAGTACGAATCTAAATTATAGGAATTTATATCAGAAGAATTCGAAGGAGTTATATTATTTAAATAAGCCCATGCGTTGGACTGATTATCAAAATAATGTGACCTAGAAATATTTCCTAATTTAGCAAATTTAAATCTTCTAATTTGATCCCAAATTATTTTAACAGGTGTAGTTCTGTTAAAGGAATTACAAAAATTGGCCCAACTTGAAAGCTTTTGTTCAGCTAATATTCTTTTCTTTTTAGCATCGAATTGCTTATATAAAATATAATTTTCTAAAGTAGGATATTTTTTAAATGAGTTTAGAGCGAGTTTAGCTCTTTTAACTGCTAGAGAACAAATATCATTCCACCAAATAGTAGGCTTGCGTTTTCTGTTATGGCAACTGAATTTTTGTTTTTTAGGAAATGTCATTAAAATATTACATAAATTTTCAATAAATGAAGTATAGTTTGTTAAAGGATCCGATTCTAAAGTAAAACAGGAAAAAGCATCATCACATAGCTGGGAAAATTTTAACCAATCTATTTTTAGAAAGTTAACATCAGCCAAGTAAGAAGAACTATCTGAAATATTCTGAGAATTTACGTTCTTTGCAGATGATGAAAAACTGATATGGTCGTGATACAGAAAGCTAATTAAAACGGGAAAATGATTACTGCTTATCAAATCGTCGTAAACAGAGAATGTACAACTTGAACTTACCGCAGGTGATGCAAAAACCAAGTCCAAAACGTTGCCGTTCTGATTATACGATGCAAAAGTTGTGACTGTGTGATCATTTAGGCAAATAAGATTATGGTCGTCAGCAAAAGAATTAATTATATTGCCCCTTCTGTCGTTATACCTAGAGCCCCAGGATGAATGATGAGCATTGAAGTCACCAATCAATAAATAGTTTCTGTTTTTAATATATTTATATGAATTTGAAAGCATTTCTAAATCAAATTTACCCTTAGGTGGAGGAGGTACATACACACATAGTATATCAACACAAGTGTAGCCAGTCTTGACTGAAATTAATAAATTTTGAAAGTGATAATTTGATGGTGTATTAATTATTTTATGAACATGCTTGTCTTTGATAGCAACTGCTATGCCACCATGAGGATGATCAGAATCACGTCGAATAATTTTGTAACCAGGCAACTTAAATAGCTTTGAAGTATCAAGCCAAGTTTCATTTAGAAGAATTAAATCGAATTTGGAAGAATAATTATTGAGAAAATATTTAAATTGGTCTAATTTAGATAAAATGCTGCGACAATTCCAATGACAAATGTGAAATTCATTAATACCAACCTCACTGTCCATAAAATTAGGAATTAAAATTGGAAATAAGAGTTTCTTTTATGAGTTTTGATGAGATAGTGTTACCTGAATGAGCATCTTTCTTATTTACAGCAATGTCTACAAGTGTTTTTGTTAATACATTTAGCACATCATCTGAGTTAAGAATATCTGTAAATAACAATCTTTTCTGTGGTGCATTAAGTAGCTTCAAGTGATGTTTTGGTGTAGAAGTATCAGATCTTGGGATATCTGAAGTTACTGTCTGAACTTTAGAGGTGACTGTAGCATAAGTTTGTTTGCCACTAATTCGATCTTTCAGTTCTTGATTTTTGGCTGATTTAATAGGGCAAGTGTTGCTGATAGCCATGTGAGTACCATTGCAATTGATGCATTTAAGTTTGTCTTTATTGGTGCATTCTTTAAAGAAGTGATTCCCAGAACATATAGAGCATACTTGAGAGCTTCTGCAGGATCCACGGCTGTGTCCAAATTTGTAACAGACAAAACACTGGCGCACAGGTTTGATATATTCCTTTACATCAAACCACATAAAATCATAAGTCACATGATCAGGACGAGTTGAGCTCAGAAATGTAACAAGCACTGTTGGTGTAGGGGAGAATGAT